AGCTGACGTTTCGGCAGTATCGCTTTCTTCAGAGCCGCTTTTTTCGTGACTTCCAATGAGGAAGTTTAGAACAGCCGATTATAGTCGCATGTGGTTGACCTCTAAACTTCCTCATTGGAAGTCACGTAAAAAGCAGCTCTGAAGAAGGCGATACTGCCGAAACGTCAGCTCGCGTTGTATTGTATTGTGTTTCTCTATGGAAGTAAATGTATGCTGTTTAAAAACCTTGCGATTGCTGAACAAGAGAACGACACAAAATTAAAGTTATAAGTAAAGTATAACAAAATGGAAACCAATGCAGTCATAAGTTTATATACACATTCTATTTGTGTTGAAATAAGATGACCATGCACTATGTTATAGTCTTGCGTCGACAGAGCGAATCGTACTCAGCATCTCTGGATGGATAGATCATCATATCTTAACAGGACTACAGATAATGGAGGTGATAAAGACATTGAATGAGTCTCACACTGCCACTACTACTTTTCGAAATTTTTTCCAAATCGACTTCTATTTAACCTCGGTATAGATATCAACGTCTTTTCTCATTGACTGATAAACCAATACCAAGTCTGTTTCCATCAACCGGTTTTTAACCATAATGATTCTGAAATATTTGCAAAACACCGAACTGCTGGTATCTGCGGTGGTGACCGCATATTTCATTACCTCTTCGAAGGGGTAACGCGTTCTCCACCACACGATGCAAGCCTTAGTTTCGCCTTTCTCTCAGCCGTGTTATTGAACTATCCTACCTAACATCGGCAGTCCGGAGTTTTGCAAATATTTCAGCATCATCACGGTTATATTTCACATAATATCCTGCCATTAAAAAAAAGACTAGGGAGTAAATAAAAAGTGATGACAACCTGTTGTTAATTAATAAATGAAAAAAGAAAGGCTACTAATACGGTGAAAGTTTGTGTGCTCTCATGTGATTGGTTGACTCTTTGTTTTCTCAACGATTAGAGGTGGACTGATGTGAGACAGGAATACGGTAGCGAAGTCGCTGGTGTCTTTAAAACAACCATCGTAGCCATATTACCAATAGAACTTCGTCCATAGTACTATGCATAGTACAACTGACGCGATGTAAAGGAAGTCCATTACGGCAATAAACTTACTCTCCAGCACTACTTTGCTGTAGAAAGTAGTCCCTTTGCTTTAAGGCACGTTCCATTTTCGAGTCACTATCTCCCGAGGAGATTTCAGCCGCATGTTGCATTTCGAAGATCGTATCCTAGAGCACTTTCTAGAGTCAAATATATGTATATGCATATGTATATAACTATATATATATATATATGTGCATTCAACTACTAGAAATTCCTCCTAATATTTAATCAATGGATATTCTTTGTTAAATTAATAATTAATATATTTAATTGCAGCCGATAAGAATAGGAGCTAAGATCGTGCTAAAATCCACAGCTCCCAGATATATTTTTCCTCTAAACGACAGAAATTCACAAAAAAATGTTGTTGGATTATTGTGAACTTTTCCTCTGGTGTTTTACTCCATACATATCCATGGGCTCGTGTGGAGCAGTGGTTAAAGGCGCGCTGGAATGCGCACTAGGTCGACGGCTGGTTCGATTTTACGCCATGGGCTCACTAATCTTTAATTATAATCAGTTTCGGTCTAGCTTTAATTTCAGAGTACGAGTCTTCCCCTTTATAGTATACCTCGCAAAAATTGATGAACGCTTCTAGTTTTCCTTGATCACCGCCGTCATCTTGCAATACATTGAATAGGAACGAGTTCTTGGAGTCACTGAAAGAAATGAAAGGTGTACGTAAAAGGCAAACTATTACTTTCTAATTTATAGAACAAGAGATTTAGTAAGTTTTTAGGGGTATTTCGCAGTGACGCCTGACTTCTAAGACCTTAGATTCGCACAGCAACACGTCGCAAAGATAAAACAATACTAAATGGATTTTAGACAAATGATATATGAACTTAAAATAACATTTGAAAAAAAATAAAATTAGTAGAGATCTCACCGGATTTGTTGTTTTCCCCATTGCTCTAGCCACGATTCCTGGATTTCAAAGTAGATTTTCTCGACTCGTTTGCTAGATCCCATGATTTCAATCCTTCCAAGGAATGGATCGAAGTATTCAAGTAGGGTCTGAGCCTGAAGATAGACGAAGATTTCTAATGGAATACGTTCTTAATTCAAATATGTGTCGGAGTGAATTTTTACAAAAAATTTATTGCAGCGGGGAAACGAATATGCGCTAACTTTAACATTGAAAGACCGAATGTACTCTGTTTGTAGCTTAAAGACAGGTGAAGGAATACTTTTTGAGTGCTACCATCGAACATCAGAAATTGTTGCGGCGTTCAAAAAAGTGATTGATCTTTTCGTGCAGTTATCCAGATTTCAATTTTAATAGTAGGACTAAATAAAGATACTTCATTCCAAAATCTACTCTTAAATCTATCCGATTTCCACAAAGCATTCTTCAGTGGCATGCAAGCCATAAATATCAGAAAGAGAGATAATCTTCATTAAGAAAAACTAAAGTTTTAGGGATAAGAAAAACGATCAACCTTTTCGATAATTTTCTCCAACCGAGGGTCGTTAGTAATATGTTCCTTGAGATTTGTGAGAAGTACGGCTAGATTAAATCCGATATCTCTGGCCGGATTATGGAATCGTTCAGTAAATTCCATATAGTCCACTTTACCATCATTGTTCACATCCGTGCACATCATTAGATATGTTATATCTTCACTAAAATAGTAGCGTCTTCGAGAATCCGTTTATTTTCGTATTTAGCGCGCGCAGAGCATAACCTACGCCAGCACTCGAACGTCGAGACACCAGTTTTGATAGTGTTTGCTATGCTTCTTTCTCGCAATCTTTTTCATGATCTAATGTTTGTAAATGCATAAGAAGCTAAGTATAACATACACTGTGTACATTTTCTGACTTTCCATGGCACGTTGAAATTCTTTTGGACTTATCCATCCGTCTCGATTTGTATCGAAGTCCTAAAGTAATGCAGTTTTTAGAATGTTGAAAAAAAGAAGCAGGTGTAACGATTTCTTTAGCCAAAATTATAACCTGAAGTGTGCCGTTTAAAAAAGAAAACTGGAAGATGTCTACCATTACCATCCACAACTTCTATTGCTCTATCCAATGCCGACTATCGACGATATGATTTTTTGAGCTGCGTTTCACAGGAATCGGCTCAAGGAACTAATATTGCGGGAATCTTCAACCAAACATCGAATGATTGAAAGTGGGTCAAAGTCGACATATGCTTCTAGGCCGCTATATTTCTAACTCAGATGGATCCTCGCACGCGAATCAAGAACACAGGCGCGAAAAACTCTCGAGGCACTCTGGATTAATTCCAGAAATCCGAAAATGAACCGCAGGGAAGAATGCCTCATTATCACGCGTGATATAGGGCAGTATATAAAACTGCTTTTCTGATGTGAGGGGCACATTATACTTCCACGTGATTTCTGTGCGGTTGGTTTCTACGTGACATACTTAGTGGAAACCTCATAGAAAGCGGTGAGTGTGCAAAGCTGTGATCAAAGTGATTGAAATCTTGGTTTGGAGTTTCTTTGTTTGGTTATGGAGGCGTCTGGCCGAGTGAGTTGCTATCAACTTGACCTTTCCAGGCTCTGAAGAAGGCGAAATCTGCCGAAACATCAGCTTAATCGTGAACAAAGAATAGTAACACCTCGCGTTTGCTCAACAAAAATACGAAGAAAATAACTCAGATGTGTTTTCTTCTCTCCATTTAATTGACATTTTTGTTTCCTCAAGATATCATGGAATTTCGAAGAAAGTAGATTAATACAACCACAAGATTGCTGAGATATTTGCAAAACTCCGGACAGCATGTGTCCGCGGTGGGGAACGAACGCGGTATTGTCCTTTCCGGAGAGTAACGCGTTCACCACCACACCATGCGGGCCCTTCGTTTCGCCTGTCTCTCAGCTAGTTCTATCTATAGGAGTTTTGCAAACATCTCAGCGATCTTGTGGTTGTATTTCGCTTAATACCCTGCCATAAAAATAATAGAAGACAAAAAAGAAAAAGTAAACATTGAAAATAGATTAATTTTCAACCGTCGAGAACATTTTTTTCATTACCAAGAATGCCTGTGAAGTCGTAAGATCCTTCAGCTTCAGGAACATGTCAGAAAATTTGATAATTTTCTCAACGGACGGTTGTGATTCTACCAGTGCGTCCACCATTTGCTTTCCGATCGGTCCATTAAGAACGTTTCCTGCAGAGCAAGGATTAGATTAGATGCAACGAAACCAAGAAAAAGCACTTCGTATGAACAGAACGGCATAATGAAAGAAAGAATAAAAAGAATGTAAATCAGATTATCTCTAATTTCTCAATCCAAAACGAGAGAAGGTTCTCCTTTAATGCTGATTTTAAAAATTAAGACCAAAGCAAAACAATTTCTTCCGTCTTTCTTGGAAACAGCTAGGAAAAAAAACAGTACTCAGTGTTGGATTCGAAATGTTAAGTCAAATGTTCTCGACTACTATTCGCGGTACGGTAATATGTACATGAGCAAAAAGTTATAATTTATTAAACAATCATAAAAAACTACACAAGGGAGTAAGGTAAAAAGTGAGCAGTTCGGTTCGACCTCTGAATAAGGGCAAACATTCTGGAAAAAGTATAAAATAATACCTTCAAGCATTGAAAGCATCAGGACGATCATATCCTTCTGAAGGTTAAGAAATTCACGAAGCAATTCAAGTTGTGTGGAATTCCTATAAAGCTTCTCCATCATGTGAGCGAACAAGAAGAAGAAACCGTTGATGGCATCCCACAGACGTGAATTTGCCAATGTCATCTGGTTACCGACGCATGGACCCTGAATGGGAAGTTGTTGTGGGAGTGGTGAAAGGTTCTAACCGACCGAGTTCTGACCACAAATTAGGAAAAACATTTAACGACGAAACTGTAAGGGATATAAGTGGAATTTCCCCTTTATTTAAACCGTACTCTCTGTCCCTCTCTCTTTCTCTTTCTCTCTCTCTCTCCTTCGCGCCTTCTATCCCTCGTTCTCTCTTTTTCGGGTTTCATAGTTCTAACGAACGCTCAAGGGAACTTTCTCATTGTCTTCTCCAACTTCCAAGAATGGTCTAGTTTTTTCAGAAGAACTTTTTTCCCACTCTTTTCGAGTTTTTCCGGAAAGAAAGTAACTACCAGACAGTTTTACGAGGTAGAAAGAAGGACTCAGTATTTTGATTAGTCAATTAATACTAACTAAAAAAGTGTTTATACTATTTATGAAGTGAAATATAACTATGGAACCGACCTGGATACTTTCCGTCAACGTATTGAACACTTGACTGCATACTTGTATCGCTCGAAGAAAGTATTCCTTTCCTCCTTCGTCTATCACCTCCTGTAACGACTTCTTTATTAAAACGCTACATAGCTTACAGCTACATAGCTATCATAGTTATCTTCTCATAAACGTTACTATCTCCACCATAAAGATATAAGTTCTAATGCTCTTGGGCGATCATGAAAGATATTATAATGATCGTGAGATTGCCGATGCAATAAAAGTAGATTTTAGAAAAGTCATGGATAAAAATTCACCTTGCTCGAATAATGCCAGTAGAAATCCATTACAGACTCTTGAAGTCTCAACAGATAGTCAACCGTGCAGTTGATAAGGTTAACACTTGTAGTGTGACCAGATTGTGTACGAAGATAATTTTGAAAATCTATAAAATGTCGATAGCGAAAGCTTTAAAAGGAAGAGAAAGTTTTTATAAAAGCGAATCATTCCAAAATTTAAAAAGGAAGAATACTCTGCCTCAAATACAAAAATCTTCAAGGTTATGAGAGATTTCGTAAATTGTTAGTTCTGAGAAGTTTGTTTACTAAATTACTAAAAAAAAACAATTTTTTAGTGTTTGCCTTGTAGCTTCATGCATTTACAAAAAAAAACAATCTTTGGGTTTTGAGGAGCAATAGCTCGCTTAGTGTAGTGCAGCGACAATGGAACTCCTACGAACGCATGTTCAACTCCACATGGGTAGAAGAGATGGTCTACTAGATCCACATTTTCTCCAATTCTTCCTAAAAGATCGCTCAGTAATGTTTCCAACTAAGGATACGTGTTTCTCCAAAGCAAGTTACATGAAATGATCTAAAGTTCAGCATTCAGCTCAGAGACACTTTCTTCCAATGAGGAAGGAAATGTAAGTCACGAAAAAGCGGCTCTGAACAAGGCGATACTGCCGAAACGTCAGCCAGTGTTGTATTGTATTGTGTTTTTCTATGGAAGTAAATGTATGCTGTTTAAAAACCTCGCGATTGCTGAACAAGAAAACGACGCATTCACATTCCAATGGAGAGGTTAATAGAAAGTTGATCCTGGGAACACTTTCTTCCTTTGTAAGAAAAGGTTCCTTTCTGTCCAGTCACCAATGCTTAGCTAGAAATCCAATTTTTTCAATTGCCGACATCTCATAGAACTATGTCCTCGGTGTGCATCCTACTACCATAGTTTACAGTTTACCACCAATGATATTCGTATACACTTTTTTTCTTTTTGCAAATGACAGTGACATGTTAAAGTGGAGTGGAAGCGACAAGTCCTCACGGGTTATCTAATCCGTGCATAAAACTGGTCAGTTCTATGGATAACCGAGACGCTGAAACGAAGGATAGATCTACTGTTGACTGAAGGAAATGACAAATAAGCAGCACAAACATAATATATAAGCAAAGAGGTAGGGGCCCAAGTGATCATACGTCAAGCTCAACATCTCTCTGTGATCAGCAAATTGTTGCCAAGGTTGGTAAACTCGCACTTCTATCTAATGAACTGTTTCATAATTTCTTCTTTATCGCATTTTTCCATATTTAGAATGTATAGAACATATGAAAAACAAAACAATAGAATTGTTGCTCCCGTATCAAAGTAAATAAATAAATAAAAAAATCAGTAGTTTACATACCAAGATTATGTCCTTCACAAGTAAGCTGCAAGAAACGGAACAATGAACATGTGAACTCTGCATCATTCAGATTTTGATTGGCTCCAGCAGCCAGATCCGCTCCCATGCCCAAACCTTCAGCCTGAAAGAAATGTAGAAACAATAATATAACATCACAATAAAAGCAGGAAAATTATGTAACATATAAAATACTAGAGAAAGATTTGTATAATTCTTAAAATCAAGATTGAAAATATCTAAGAAAACTAAGATGGTCCATGAGCTCAAGAAACCGTGAAGAAATATCGGTCTGCTGTTAAATCTGAAGAAGACCCAGTTCATGAAAGAACTACATGCGAAGGAGACCAGATCAAACTGGATTGTTCTCTGATTATAGAGACCAACTCGTACGTGTTCGATAAACATGGAGAACAACATGGGAGAAGGAATTAGACAGAAGATGGATAGCAGCATGAGCAGCATTCAGGCCTATCAGAGAAGCCACCGGCCAAGAAAAGGACCAGAAAATCCGAGCTCACCTTTTCGATTCAACACTCCTTCTAGTGCTCTTATACAGCACAGACGCGCGCTGATGCTTTAACCAGGTCAAAGATCTACGCACTGCACAAGAACGCTTGAACGATGTTAAATTCAACCTACACTCACAACGTCTGGCCGGAATGCGCTGCTCAGATCTTAGAAACCTATCCCATCTTCAACATCAAGGGGAATACAGATCGATAGCGAAACATACGTGGGTCAGTCATCTAATGAGGAAAACAGACGAGAGAGGGACGAACAGATCTGTAGAGTAGTCTACGAAGATACACACGTCCCGTAGGGCGATCATCTGAACGTTTGATTGACGTGTTCGTAATCAAGGTTAAACAGCTGTACTCGCAACTGCAATTGTTTTACAGATCACGGTATGAGACTCACACTCCCCGCTATGCCGATTCAAACCACCATCATGGACAATGATGGTGAACTTTCTATGAGAGCCCAGAAAGATGAAAAAATACGTTCCTAGGAATAATTTTAACTTGTATTGAATTATTAGATGACATATGTTCATGCAAAAGCTTAAATCTGAAAGAAGGTTAAGGTTTTTTACGTAGATCTTTGTTACATTCTCATTTTTGTTGATAATTGGAAAAAAAAATCTGGTAAGTGGTAAAAGAAAGTGAACAATGAAGGTAGCGTTGATGAGCCAACCTTAATTTGACGTTCGAACATCTCCAGATTCAACACTGAGCACTTGTTCATGAGACCTGCCATCGACGTAAAGAATCGCACATCTTTCTTCAGTTGAAGATATTCGATCAACATCTGGAATAAAAGTGCTGAAACTTTTCATAGCTGAAGAGTCGGAATGTTACACACTAAAATTTCACAACCTAGAGAATAGAAAAGCTCCCTCAGAATTAATCTATATTAATAAATAAGTTGCGTCCTAGAAATCCATCTACATTAGCGCACACTATCGTATTTTTAGGATTAGGCTAAACCATTCTATGTAATCAATAATATTCAATTGGCAAAACAAAGCCATGAAATGGTGAAATTCGATAAAACCTACTGTAATCGGCAAGGTGACAATGTTGGTGAAAAGGAGCAAAATATTACATTAAAAATCTACTGTAACTAATAATAGCACTGGCAACAACAACTGTATTTATTAACCATAGGAAATCAAGAAATTTGAAACAATATAGTAGGTAAAAATTGATGCCTATGTTTTAATATTTAGCAAAAAAGTACTACAAGGAAATATTACGGAACGTAAGGAAATAAACCAGAAAGTGAAGAACTGGTTTCGAAGCATTTTCAAAGGCATTGCCGAGATCAGCAGCAATTGAACAGTCATCGGGTAACGAACGAGTTCTAAGTGGAAGCACTACTACTACCTGAAAATGGAAGGGTTTCCACGGATGGATTCACTCACTCACCCGTTGAATGTCAACGTTGCCTCCGGACAGTAAATGAATTCCAAGTTCGAGTGTTCGTGCTACCATGTCGTTCGGTTCACCATTACTGGCGGAAAGGTACATTAAGCACATGATGGCAGCACCTCTATCCGCCAGCACACCTTGTTCGGCTCGTAGAGCTTGCGACTGCTCTTCCTTTTGCTGTATAAGTTATAATAACTAAGTGAGTTTAAGAAAAAAGAAACACTAAAAAGAGGACAAGAGTCTTTCTGACGTTCAAATTAATTCGCAACTTATTGGATTATGTCACCTGCCGCTGGGTCACCTATGAATCTTTGCCGTTTCATCCGTACCGTACTGACAAGGCGTCTTGAGGGAAGTCATGGACCATACACTCATGAGCTAATGTCAGTCATTTTCGACTTATGAGTAACCTTCTGGAAGATGCTGTTGTTGACCAGATGAACAGCACTAACGACCACACAGAGTGGTAATGCGAGCTCGCAAATGCCACAAAGGTAAAGCTATCGAAAAGAAAAGACTACGACAGCGAGAACGCTCAGCTTTAACCCATATGGTTAACTCTAAGGCAAATCCACGAGTTCCAATGGCTTGATTCACTTCACAGTTCAGTATATAGCGCTTTCAAACCACTTGTTCGTTAATTTTACCGGGGCAACTAGGTCGGTTCAACGATTACAGTAGCCTAAAAATACCACCATACCTTCTTGAAGTATCAGTCAATTCCTCTCTGAGGCAAAAGTGTCAAAAACCTACACAAAATGGCATATTATTTATTTTCTCCGGAGGTATGGCAGCCTTACACAGCCCGGTGCCAGAGTTGACCAGAACTTGTATTCCATTGTGGTAAATGATTATTTCCGTAGGTGAGCATTTCTTTCGCTGTTGATTCCGAGAAAACGACGGACAACTGATAGATTTTTTAATTCAGTACTGTATTTGCAAAGATTGTACGGCCGTTTAAAACGTTAAGGCGATAAGGGAGTAATCGATCAACTTCTTGATGATAGTTAAAGGTTAAGGACTTTATTTTAAAGAAGATGACAAAAGTGGAACACAACATCGGCTGGAACAAGTTTTCTACAAGATTTTCATTTTGTTTACTTTATTAGCGTGTGTAATACTATAATGCAACTACGACTACTATAATCTCAAAGTACTGTATGTCCTCAAACACATACCGCTTGATCGACCTCATCATCACCATCGTCTCCATCTTCTTCCTCAATGTGAATCGATTTCGACATAACATCGGCGAAACGGATATAACTAAAAATCCATCTGCTTTCGCATTATTCTGAGATCTACTTCTCAACTTAAATTTATAATATAGCCCTGTAAGTTGAACATTTCAGTTCGTTTTCTCTTTTTTGTTCTTGCATTCAAGAATGAAAGTCAGTAATGGTTCTTCGACGACGATTCATAATTTGCCAGCTAAATTTAGTTCACATGATTTCCTTTACAATAAATAGCCTCACGTTTTTATTAATGTCTGCTTACAACGGAGGCCCTCATCATGGCTGGGATGTGTTCCTAGGTGCCGGGCTGTGAAGAAGAGCGGGATTTCATTACCTCAGCACGGTCTTCCAAGGTGAGGAGTCCATCGTTTCCATCAGGAAGCCCAGCTAAGAGTAAGGCAACACCAGGATCCACCACATCCTGGTACCGAACTGGTCGCACGCTGATAAATCTCCCTCGGATCCACAAGGTCGGCGACTGCCTGTGGTGGTGACGACCTTGGGCAGACTTTGGACAGGCTGACCTCGGGACCCTAGAAAATCACGATGGCTAAGCCAGTAGAACTCCGGAAAATGGGAATTATGCTGCTGCCCGCTCAACCACTGAAGTCGGGAGATAAAAGTATCCAAGGATCCAAGTAATTTGAAAGAATCCCTTCGTCGCTAACACAGAGCCGATATTAATGCAGTAGGGTTAAAGGAGTAAACAGCCAAAAACAAAATTTAAAAAAACAGCATGAAAATAAGAATTGCTGAAATCCTTACAGATTATCATCGTGAATTGGAGTCACCAGGCTTTGTTCACTTGTGGCCGCACGTTGAAAGCAACGAATCAGCTGTTTAAGTGGATCTGGATGCGAGCTGGAATATTACAGTATGGAGTGCTGTAATGTCATGGTTATAAAGTCTCCATGTATTTTTAATTTAACACAATAAACTTAGCATTCTACACTTACGAAAAATGTTTAGCAGCCGAAATTTTCCTGAAATCATAAACGCGATACCACAGCACATCTGGTAGAAGTTGGTTTTTCAATTCTCTTTCACGTTTAAGCTCCCAAAGAAAAAATATTTACAGTAAATAAATCCTGGTTTTATTGACTCACTCGCTTTCGCGACTTTCCTCCTGGACGGGTACACCGTCCTCTACAACAACTTCTAAACGAGTACTGTCTTCTGTGACGACACCACTCTGAAAAAAAAACAATCAGTTACTGATTACTACTACCGACTATTTTTTAAAACAGTATTAGTATAATATTGCTACTAATTTTACCAGGAATTATTTGTCACCATAACTTTTACCATTAAATTTTTGTTACTTTCATTGCTATTACTATGGTCATAGCAACTAATTGCATTATTACTATTCCTGCTAACTACATTGACTAACGTAAAATATGTAAATGAAACAGGTCACAGCTTCGTATAACTGATGAACTTTCCTCAATTCCTAAAGCTTCAGTCAAGAAATCAGAAAACAGTAATATGCAGTAGATAAAAAAGTTAACGTTTGGATTTCGACTACAGCCTCAACTTAACTGGGTTCGTTACCGATTTAGGCTCCCCAGATCAATCCCGTTGATGGGTGAATGGCACTGATCGATAGAATTTGCTGAGACATAGGCGAACGAAGGACCCGCAAGGTGTGGTGGTGAACACGTTACCCCACGGAAGGGGTAGTAGCGCGTTCGTTCACCACCGCAGAGACCTGCGGCCCAGAGTCTTGCAGATGTTTCAGAATCATTGTGGTTGTAATAGAAAATAGCTTTCAACAAGAAAAAAATCTATTTTGAACATATTTCGCAACCAAATAATTTTAGAAATGAGGATAGAGAAAACTTCGCAATATGATAACAAAGATTACTGAAGATAATGAGCATACCACCAAATCAGTAATGAGTTTATCTTGGCCAACGTCTTCTTCCTCTAGCCAGAGACGAGAAAATGCCGGCAAAAAGAAGTTGATTCCACGATGCCTAGAAGTGTTCAAGAGTATCTACCACATAAAGCAAAGTATTTTCCGGAATTGAGCACGATATAGGCAACTTTTCAGAGTTTCCCCTCCGAGATAACGTTAAAAGACATACTGATTCTAAACTCTAGTTTTTTTTACGTGAAGGATTTATTCAAGGACGCTATTAGCAGATGACTGTCATATGTCTTCACGAAGGGAAAAGAGAAACTACGTAGGTTCATTAATACGTTTCAAAGACTTCATAGCCTAGTACTCTACCGTATTTACCAAAATGTGAGTAAGGTAGTGGTAGTAACGCTGCTACACTCCTACATCGTAAAAACGGTGTTAATTCGACACTGCCCTTTGGTTACTAGGCTTCTCATCCCTCACAGATAAGGAAATTGGGAGCAAACTAATCTGGGACCAGCTTACTGGATCCAGTTCACCGGAAACACCCTAGAACGGGTATCTTAGAACTTGGACATACCTATTGAAAACGAAAATCCTCGAGCAGCACCCAAATCCTTACGCAAAATGTTCAGAAATCTTAGGAGAACTTTACGTTTTATCTTAGTACCTTACCATACCTTAGTCAACGCTTTCCTGTGCGAAGATTTGACTCAGTAAATTAGAAAACTCAAACCGTTTTCCGAGATTGATAAGTCGTGAAAATACTAGTATATCTTCGGCTAAACTCACGAATTATATATTTCCACCGAAAACGATTGCGATACGAACTACTCAAAAATAAGGGTCCAGAACTGAGTTGAATATCCCGGAATCCAAGGACGCGTGTGGCGCAGTGGTCGGAGGTGCCTTCCAACACACACGTGGAATCGGTCCCCGCGTCCATGGTTCACTAGCTCTTACATCCCTCTGGAGTCAGCATATTGGTACCAGACTTTTCTGGGAGGATAGTAGTACTGTCGATACATCGGTGGGCCACCACGAGTCATTGTAAAGGTCAGATATGCATTCAATCACCTCCAAACGATGCTTAATGAAGTTTAATGCATGGCGCAGCTCTCAGGGATTGCTCAACGCAGAGAGCTTTGTCCTTTTATCCTTTAAGCCGTAATCGAACCAACAGGTCTCGGGTACTGCAGATCACTCCTAATCACTGTGCTGCATGCCACCATAGGAACGGAAAGCAGAACTAACAACATCTTAAGAACCGTGAAGCTGATATATCCAGTTCTGTGTTTAGTTCCTGATACGAGTTTCCTTAATTACAAGAGCGCCGTTACACAATAAGCGCTACGCCTTTTTTTAAACCCACAACTCGGCTTTACCGAACGGCTGCTCAGATTTTAACTCTTATTAGGGGTAATAAGGGATAAAGGATTAGGTTTTTGGCGCTGATCAATCCTTGGGGGAAGTGCTGTGCATACGACTTCACCAACCATTGTTAGAGGTGATTGAATGAATATCTGGTCTGCAGAATGAATTGCGGTGGCCTACTGATGTATCAAGCCAATACTGCGATCCTAGCCGACAAATCTGGTACTAACTTGTCAACTCCACATGGACGAAAGGCTCAATTAACATGAGGCGTTTGCTTGAAGCAAAGAGCACGTTTATATTGCATTGCACTTCTAACCATTGCGCCACACACATTCCTTTATGAGGGGATTACGGTAACAAAGTGTACACAACGTAAATAGTATTATAAATACAGCAAAGACACAAATGACGTGTAAAAGAAAAAGGTGTGAAAAAATTATAACACAATTTACGCATTCCGCACAAATACATTCAGGTTAGTATTATAGAAGTATCACGAAGATCTAGTTCGAGGCAATGCAGGGTTTCCCAGAACTTCATGAGACGTGTCGAAAGAACCGTAAACCTATTATGGTTAACTGTGAACGAATCATGTAGATGGCATTTCGTACTTCTCAGGAGATTTTCGTAAACTTTTTTTTGAACCACTTATGATTAACACATTCGCGACGATCCCCGTTTTCGACAAGAATACTTGAAAACCGGAAGATTTGAAGGACTTATCAAAAAGGCCTCATTTCATTGCCTATATATTACAGATAATTTTCACAAAACATTAGTTCATCTCCAAATTCGCTTAAAACTCAAAGAACGCAAGCCCTTCATGCAGACATAAACCGTACGGTCGGAGACATCATCGCAACAGCGAAGACGAATTCCGTTTGTTGAATTTGTTCACTACTGAACAAAAATAAGTAGACTTCGAAGAAAGAATGTTACCGTAGTAGAGCAAAAGTGTGCCTTGCGGCCAAACACTACTAGATTTGCAAGATTTTTACGACAACATATATGAATCACATTGTTATAATTGTGTTAACTATTGGGACAGTTGGGAATCATGCGTTTGCATTGAATAAACACGGATGATGTTTACAAACGATGTCTAATCCCACGGAAAAACAGCTGTTCGACTTGCACCACAGAACGCCTTGCAAAGCAAACAAGTCGTTACTTACCTGTCAACTCTGTAGAGATGTGAGGCAGTGATCAATGAGATAGCCATTCTTTTACGCTGTAGCGTTAACACCCTCTTCCATTTATCTTCTCTTTCCAAACGACTTGTCATCTACCAACGACAAATTTAATCAGCAATATTATGAAAGAGAACGTGGCATTGTTATCCTATGCTTAGTAAGGGTACCTTGTCAGCTGATCGATCACGGTTAGCAAGACATAGAGATATTCTGCAGTGAGCCATGCGAAGTGCATTAACCATATATTATGGTACAAATTTGTGATACATAAATTCATGTACACACATGCACATATAGCTATATAGACATGTCCACACACTCATACCTATGTGCTTATAACATAGCCGTGGATTGAATCATACTGGTAGCTTCACCTCTTTTCATTTTCACTTTCAAACATGCACGATTTGCTCAAAAACTGTTCTATGGTTCGGCGAGCATTAGGAAGAACGATCGCCGCCATCAGTGCGACGTCGTCAATGCTCCATTAACATCACCATTGGGTAGCGCCTACCTTGGAATCCCATAGAGCGGTACCATACGGAAGCACGCAACTACTGCACGCTTTCGTTGAGTTGAGACGACTTTTTTCCAGGCTTGTGTAAGTTGTTGTTGTGGATGCTCCGTCTAAAACACATATCAACGTAAATACTGTTAATCGCAGATATACGTAAGGTTCTTGTCAACGATTGCTTCACTTGATGAAAAGGAAAGGAAGAGGACAGCGAAAGTTAAAATAGATGAACTGTTGAAGACACGTTTGTTAGTAGTTTTTTTTTTTAAGTCAATAAAATCAGAAACGGCAAAACCGCATTCGACAGCATTCCACGACAATGAGTATGATCACAACACTGGGTCTTAACTAATCATATACATTACCATTTAGTAAGATAGAAGTTTTTTCCTTTTCAGAAAACAAAGTGTATAGATGTGAAAAGCTTCTATCAAGTCCCAAAAGTCAAGGAAGGCGAACATTCTAAAAAATGGTGTTCAAATCTATACAGTACATAACCACAATGATACTGAGATATTTACAATACTCCGGGCCACAGGTGTCGGCAATGGGTATCGAGCATGTTATTACTCTTAACGGGGACTGACAGAAAGGCGAAACGAAGGACCTGCTTGATGTGGTGGTGAACACCTTAGCCCACGGAAAGGGTAATAGCGGGTTCGATCCCTACCGCAGACGCCTGCGATCCGGAGTTTTGCAAATATCTCAGCATTATAGTAGATATATTTCTCAGAAGATCTTTTTTCCGTGGAGTCATAAAAGCCATGTTAGAGTTTTGCCTGGACTGCTTCGACAGCGGATTACGTCTCCGCTGAGGGCGATACCACCGTGATCGCACTTCGACATCCAGGATACTCATTAGGCTATTATTACGGCTGTTATATTGAGGCTGTTACTTTTTTAAAATTGTAAGTGCCATTTTAATGAAGAGTACTACTCTAGATGAAAACGATGATGGAAAAATTATGACGAAAACGCCATAAGCGATTATACGCACCCATCTAGAAAGTGCATCGCAAAGTAAAACAAGCACATCGACATACCGATCGGCAGAGACGTCTTAGAGTGGTCAACAACTAGAAGAAAGTTTTACAACATAGAAAATTTGTGAGAATGACCCTTTCTTGTAAATGATAAAGCCACGTTTCAACAATATGCTACTGGAGAAGTTTCCTTATTGTCTGACTCGTCTTTATAATGAGCCGACGAATGCTGTATTGGAAAGGAAGACTGTTGTTCTTTGCGCTGCGTTGGCTTAAAGTCTTTGAGTTGAGCACTGTAGACACCCTACGCTAAAGTAGGTTTTAGCAGAACACTCCTCCCAAGTGCCACAAAGAAAAACGTCCTACTCATGAAGACCTACTTTCCGTTAATGTGGTTCTCCTCATGAGTGCAAGCAAACTTTTATAGGCATCACTGACTGCAAACGGCTAGCACATGGTCTTCAGGTTTTTCCGTGAGTAAGGCAAAAGAGTCGCCTAACGTTTTACCGCCTCATCGTGGCTAGGAGGTGTTGCTGCGTGTCGGAGTGCGATGCATGGAGATTCATCTCCCCAGGAAGGTCTCCCAAACTGATAAGAAGCCCTGCGTCCTTATGAGAAAGCCCAGCTAAGAGTAAACTAATACCAAGATCCACCATCGCTCCGGCATCTAACTAGTTGCATGGTGCCAAATTTCCCTCTGATCCACAAGTGCGGTGACTGTCTTCAGCCGTGAAGACCAGAGGCATACTTTGGCTATGTTGACCTCGAGATTTCAGAGGACTACAATGGCTAAACCAGGAAAACTCCGAAACAATGGAAATTTTGCTGGGACCCGCACAACCAGTGAAGACGGGCCATCCAGGTATCCAAACAAGTAAGTGTAAAGAAAGAGTGGTTCGGGATCACCTTTAGATACACTACTACAAAACGCATCTAATATTAATTAATTAGTGTTGCAAAACCCTGTGTTTACCTTAACAGTTAACCACTTAAGTTCGATAGTGCAAATCTACAGCAGATGATGCCGCAAACACATTGAAAATGGGTAATCATAGCTTTCACAGAGTGTGCATAGTAAGTAGATAAGAGTTATAAATACGGTCTACGAGTTCTGAAAATCAGCAAAGGATTCTAGTGTTATGAGTACCTAAACAGTTAAGCAAGCCACGGCCATCGACATTGAAATCGATTTGTAACTTTGTTGTCTTTTCTCAGAAAAAATCTCTTAGACTGAATACTTTGGTACGTGACACAATCGCTGAATGAAATTATAGAGAAATAACATAGTAGTAGAGGTAAAAGGGTCAAGCATGAAGATTCTATGGAATGCAGTAAATGATGAAAATCCGAGTGGGAAGATAGATAGAGAAGAATCAATCATTTCCACTTACATTCAGCCATGAACTCACATCGTCTTGGCTGAAAAGGTGGCGAACACGGCTTGGTCGGTACTTTTCATATTGTAGATTTTAGAATTAAGCAAAACGTAAGGCAAAATTTTTTGAATTGGCTAGCAAGCGACTGTTCTACTATTAGAATTATCACCAATGCATTTACAGTGGATCACACTAATGATAGTGCAGGGAAGTTTCCCCGTTGATTTACTTCAGCATATTTCGAACGTTTCTAGGATTTTCACTATAGAATGAGCTCTAGTCTAAATTCGTGACACGTGAAACACAAAGTGAACATTAATAAAAACAAAAAAAAACAATGACAACACCACCTTCACACCACTTCTAAGTTTGCGACGATCGTTCGAGCGCACAATCTGAATGAAGTCTAAATCAACAGCACAACAACATGTAACATGCTTATCGATTAGTCCGACGCCACAGTCACGAATTAGCATAAATAGTGAGCTCCTTCACGATCACGCTTCATTCATTCCAAATCTGCTCCAAACCACATAAGTGCTTCCTCGTCATACCGTGATCGTTCAGCCGTTTTCCAGTATTTGAAAAAAAAAAACTAATACTACTAAGCCTATTAATTATAGCATCATAATTATCACTGTTCCATATCTAAAATGCAATGGGAAGACAAAGCATAACTGAATAACTTTACATATTCATAGGTGAAGAACTAATGTTATTATTGAGTTGAAGGCATTGCGTCATCACCTATGAAGAAGTTATGGACGAAATTCATGAAAGCAAAGCAAAAATGATATGCTGCGATACATCGGTTTAGTCTAAACATGGAGTTTATTTTGTTAAATTGGCTCAATCTACCGTCCGAATTTGCTTTCTAAGTACAAAGGAAAGTTAGTTGCTGCAAGACTACCTGGTCTGCCTTTCAACTTTATTGATGTGACAAAATTCAGAATAAATACTCTCACCGTATGGAGTATAGCAGAAACTTGTCCCATGTTGAAAATCTTTTCGATAACCGCGTCCTGGGTCATCTCATTTTTGCCTCTCATCTGACTTTTACCGATTTTTCGATACAGTGACAACTGCCATGCATTCTTATCAGTTGGATCGGTCTGCAAGTCATGTTGGTGCTAAATTTCATATCTGCTTCAAGGCCTACAAATTTTTAAAGCATGAAGATCATCTCCATTAATTTAGGGAGCGAACACCGCATTCATTCTTCCTAAACATCACTAGGGTATTCCAAGGACAACAACGCGGTTTCGTTCCCCATCGCATACACCTGTGGTCCGGAGTTTTGCAAATATCTCAGTATTATATACGAGTTATATTTCGCAACATACCCTGCCATTAAAAAGAAAAAGGCAGTGAATAAAAGGGTTAGGATTGTGATTATAACTAAGCCTCAACTTAACTGGGTTCAATGCCGATTTGAGCTCCCCAGATCAATCCCGTTGACAGGTGATTGTTGATGGCAAAAATCGATAGAACTAGCTGAGAGACAGGCAAAGCGAAGAACCCGGATGGTGTGGTGGTGAAGTGCGCTGCTCCACGGTAAGGACAACAGCGCGTGTTCGTTCCCCACCGCATACACCTGCGGTCCGGAGTTTTGCAAATATCTCAGCATTATATACTAGCGTATTTGTTCGTCTAAGCCAACGACACCGTATCCATTCGCCTAAGACACCATTACGGTATTTGGGTTGTCAGTTCACTGATTCATTAGATAGGATGTAAGACATCGTACACCAAAATAAGAAGGGTAGTCAACATAACACAAATTAAGTGAATTCTAACGGACGGGGGGTCTTACCATTTAAACTATAGCAGGAACGAACACGACCAAAATGTTAAGTACGAACCTTAACCTGAACATCGAGCAGACCTTTGATGAACTCGCGTACTTTATCCTCTGGTTCTTTTTGTAAAAATCTTTCCTTTGACTGTTGAACGATATCCAGCTCTCTGAAATCAGAAACTGCACTAAGACCGGAGAATAGTCGAAGAAGACGTCATGGAAAGTAATCAAGCAAAATCTAGACAAACCTTTACACTGTTACATTCACAAGGTGAAAAACATTTGGAGAACAGAGATAACGTGACGAAAAGTGCTAATACTGGGGGAATACCATATAATATTTTAAAATATGAAAAACAAGAATGGAAAAAAATTATCAACGAGCCTTCCACCAAACACATTTAGTCCAACCGGAAGCAGTCGCTTCAAACATGCGATGACTATGCTATTCGCGTGCTTGTCTTTTTTCACCTTAAAAATCAATAAATCGATAATTGGTAAACACCTGGAAATATACTAAAACGACCACTGCCACAACCACCATCATTCGTTTCACCAACACTAGCACGCAAACTTACCACTGTAATTCGAGACTTCGGATCTCGGTTGGTTTCACGCACTTTATCTGGCTACCAATAACTTCGATCATATTGGTAATAAAAGATCGTTATGGAAAATTCCCAGTAAAGAATTTCATGTAAGACGTAAGACAGAAGGAGAACACAAAGATACGGAAAAAACAGCAAGTTCGAGAGCTCTGCTATTTTAAAGTGAGAAAGGAAACAACAATCCGGAAGGATTTTCTTGCTGATGTCACATTTTCTAAATTGCAAACCATATTTCCAACGTGATGGTGTGGATTTCAGTAAAACTAGCGAGTTCATGAGAATCAATTGAAACAGTAATCTCTCACTCACTTGTCCTTCACGTCGTTTCTTTTTACGTTCTGCGATGGCTGCTTTACCCGTTTTCATTTCACCACCACCAAACATCGCCGCATCCTCTTCGAATTGTGCAATATAATTCAGCTCTTCACGCTGAAAGAATCAAAACTCTATTTATTTCTAGCCCTCGATCCATCCCTCTTACGATCTAGCAGTTGCTTCTATTTACAATATTTCTTTTTTCCATTTTATGGAAAAAAAACACACACGCACACACGAAGAGACACAGAAAATCCAGAGTTCTTATGAAGTATTGGATTACGGCACTGTTGTTCTCTAGCGACAAGATGGAAGAGATGTCGTAAGAATACCTCCATCCGTCCAATCCTTGTTGTTTTAAAATAGTCTTCCTTCCCTAACTAGCAAATGAGTCATAAATCCAACTCCTTTCAAAGGAGCAGAAAAAAAGAACAACTGGTGGGCTTAAAAGAATACTCATTTACGCTAAACTTCATCAGCACCACAAGCGATCCAACCAAACAATGAGGTTAACCTTCTCCTTCTCCTTATTCAACACTCCATCCTAATGTGAGCCAATTATACAAAATTTAACACTATAATGCCTACTGTAAAAAAACTGAAGCATAAGTAAGCAAATTTTCCCCCATTTTTCGTAAAAAAAAACTCTCCACATCATTACCATTGGACTCAAGGAATTCCAATCTCAAATAATTAATAGCAGAATTAGTTTGGAATGGAAAATTTATCACCGGATAGAGTTCGACAGTCAAGCCGTCTCTAAACTGACCTCTTTGCTTTTTTCCGACTAAAAAATACCTACCTTGAAGTGCTGGCTTTGACTCCAAATACGAAATATCACTGCCACGTTCTCATATACGCCATCGGTTTCCCACGATGGGGTCTGTAAGAGCAAGATTATGTAAAGATTGTAAATGTAGATATATATATATATGTATGTAAATAATTTCGTCAAGTTTCCCCGTTTATTTCTTGTGAAATTCCTTGCATTCTGCTTTTCTTGCTTAACGTAGCCCACTTTCGTTCGTTTTTTTTATACTATAATAAGTTTTAAGCTGTAATAGGTAATGTCACAGTGTAGTTAGACAGAGTTATTCACTTTCATCTATTTAAATTCTTAATGAAATATAGGCGTAGTCTATGACAGCTATTTTATAACGAAAAAATGAGGCTCTCTTTCTGGCCAGCATTCTGGCCTGGTGGGAGTGGTTGTTTACTTTACTACAATGGTAACGGAAAGAAACAAATGGAGAACGTAATGGCTCGCAAATCAGTCGTATAGACTGACCTTTCGGCTAAAGGATAAAGCGGTTGCTGAGAAAACTGGCAAATATTGTGTACGTTTTCAACACTGTCGATGAAAGTGACGTCGACATAAGTGTGTTATGTCTACACTTCTGGGGAATTTGTGGTTCACACTTAAATAAAATAGCAGACAAAACCTACCTTAAGCCATTGCGCACGGTGCAAATCAGTGTATTTCATAAGAATCGGAAAATATGCGTATGTGTCACGAACAAGACGAGCATTGTCCTGAAATTAAACATTTTGAACCTTGATATCCTAGAGGTTGAATCAGTACATGTAGAGATTTACATATTTGTCAAACCAAAGAAAAAGAATCCAAACAGTTGGGCACAAAAAAATGTACACCCTCCACCGCGGATCAGTTATTATTAATCAAAGAGCATAGATGTTTCTCAGTGAAGATCTGCAATTCACAGCAGTGGCAGTCCATTCTATAGAAGGGTCTCCTAAGGTGAAGAGTTCCAAATTTTTACCCGCAAGCCAGATAAGAATTGATTAATGGCACGGTAGAGTCCCTAGTACTTATTTTGTCGTTAAAAATTGTTAATAAAAAAGAGTTGCATCAAAAATTGTCCGAGAAAGATGTTTCCTGATCCACGCTTCATAGGACCACAGGTGAAACGGCTAAGAGTTCTTGATGATGAGATAAGAGGCAGGTGAAACTTGGACAATTGGATAATTTACGCTAGTTCAAGGCTTTTCAATTCAATCTATACCTCAGCTACAGTGCCTTCATCGGCGTCGTCCGGATGCGTTCGCATGTGTTCCTCTTCACGGAAGGCTTTCTCACTCATTCTTCTTAGTCGTTCAGCAATTGGAAGAATATGATCTTTCACTGGATCACATGTGACGTTCTGAATGATTTGCACGGCGAAAACTGAAAATAGAAATAACTAGTGGCATATTAAGTTGGTCGACTACAAACAAATAATTCCATTAAACGGAACAGCGCCAGAGTTCCACGTGTCATCAACAACAGTAAAAGTTAATAAAATTGGAAAGAAAAATCATGACGCTCACATGTTGTACGACAAAGCCAAGGTGCACTCTCTACGCCGATGTGATTTCGAAGCATTCGTAATAATGCGCAGAAAATCCGATTGATATGTTCAGCACTCACAGCAGTCATCTGCAGTCTGTAGTGACGAGATTTCGATGTTCATCACAGGCTTTTTTCATTAGTTCTATGAGAACAGGAAAAAGAGGGACATAACATTAGACAGATAAATAATTGAATGAAGGGAAAGAGAAGAAGAAAAACAGGCAGGTAGCAAAACTACAGGTGACAAATTTTAGCGACGTTGTTCAGCCTCTGAAATTGGCGGATTTTGAGAAAAGGTGACCACACAAAGGCAGCAGCCAATAGTGGTCGAGCAACGCCGGTATTTAAACGAGGATGTGTCGAATTTGATTAGGATCAGACTTCATGAAAAAAATTTATCGAGTAAATACGTATAACAGTTCACTTACGAATGTCGGTGTTCCTCTAGCTTCTCCGATTTACGCCCATCTGGTCCTTGATTAAACCAATATGCCAAATATGAGCACAATAACGGTAAATCGACATCGTAGATATTCGGATTGTCGTTGTACATAACACCGGTTGTTGACACCTTTAGAAAAGAAACGTGCAAAAAATATCCTTCGAACTAATTGGCAAATATTGTCTATAAAAAAAATTAAGGAGAAAACTTCCTGCAGTAGCAGTATTCTAGTAGACGCTGGTAAACGAGCACTTTTGATAAGTTGATAGCAAACCTTAGGATTATTTTACAACATATTTTACAAGAATTTGCATGATATGCCCTTCTGACGTGAATAAAGGATAAAGCTCTCGGCGTCGATCATTCCCTGAGGGATGCGCCATGCATTCGACCTCAGTAAACCTCGTTGAAGGTGACTGAATATATATCTGGTCTTTACAATAACTTGCAGTGACCCACCGATGTATCGAGCCAGTATTACTACCGACCCCGGAGAAATGGAGGGCCTGGTGGGTCAGGTGTGTTGGGATCGGACCTGTGTGTGTTGCAGGGCGTCTCCGACCACTGCGCCACACGCGCCCATTATTATATTATAACATATTATAATATTATTATGTACTATATATTACACTACAACTAATGAATTATTTTGTAATCGGCCTTAAAGACTTACTTTTTAATGCTCAAATAAAAACAAACTGGAAATTAGTTCTATGAAACCGAGCACAGACCGTTTCGATATCCGTGAGAAGTTTTTCGATATGCGGAATATGAGTGTTAAGGTTCTGGAGCATTTCTAAAATAAAAATTTATCCTAAACACATCTAAACATGGAACAACAAAAAAGGAAAAAAAACATCGTCGATTTCAATGTGTTTGCCTGACACTTAAATGGCAAAAAATAAGGTTTGGTTCATTTCAAAGGTAAAATTTTGGACAGTATCCTTTTCTATTGATCGGCCAGTTTGTACTAGCTTTCTGAAGTGTTTCAAGAGACAAAAGCGAAAGAAAAAGTCAATTAAAACTATAGAACTTTAAAAAAAAACTTGAAAACGACTTTTAAAAAATTTAAAAAAACAGAAGCTTAGAAAAATTTCTAAACTTAAGTTTTTCAAACTAAATTAAATCTAAAAAATTAAACCTTTAGTCATAATTAACTTTCAAAATTAAGACTCTGAAAATTGGCCTAAAGAAGAAATCAAAGAAACCAAGAGAGCTTCAATCGCTTTTTGAACGAAAGATACCCAACCTAGAAATTGACTAAATAATTTTCCTTAGTTTTTTGTGAAGGGAAGAAATGAATGAAAAAAATGTTCCCGCATCTCTAACCATTCATGAATACCAACAAGGTGTTCTTCTACTACAAAGTCTACTGACAGTATCACCTACATGAATCTTGCTGTGGATTTCTTCATACGAACAACAACATTTCAGAGTCTACGACGAACTAAACCGCTAAAATATACTTAAAAAACACTGAAAACTAAAGATGGTAAAAATTTGAACCTTGAACTTGCACAGATTGATCCTGTGTCTTCGCTAACACTGAGTACTTGTTGTTCTTATTATATTCCGACTCAAGAAATGCTACCGGAAAGCACGATGCGAACGCCGATAGACATTGACCGAGCCCAGGACGATGTCTGAAAAATTCCTTGTTACAGCGTTTCTGTGGATACCACAGCTGGGTCAATCAGAAACTTGTTATCATAGAAGGATTCGACCGGTTCTTATAATGATAATGGTTCCTCCCCCTAACTTCCCTAGAAATTTGGTCGGAATAATGTCAAAGCATCATGACAGTCAAAAAGATGACTAACTTAAGAACACTAACAACGAATACGCAGAATATGAACCAAGCATACTTCTCTGTTTCGTATCCGATGCTTTTCCGTTGCGCAGCTGTAGCTGACAATCCGGTTACCATGTAGAGAGAGTTGAGAATTTTATAACATGCCGCTTGAATGTCGTCCACTAAAATCTCGATGGCAATGGTTACATATGAAAAAAACCAGCACAAATAATGTGTAAGCGCTCAGAGATAATAAATAAATAAATATAACAAATAGTAAATTATATACACATACATAATAAGCAAACAAAGTGAGGAACACACGCGCGCTTATATTTTTCTCTGAAAGTATAAATATACCATCAGATAAAAATGCTATAACAAGAGCTCTTCATTAAAGAACTCTAGTTAAAGGAAATACAACAAGGCTAAACTAAAAGAAAAACCGATCTGGAACTAACTAAAAACTATATAAAGGCCGACTATTATAAAAGGTTAATTAACACCCTCGTGACGACGCCTAGTTTCGTGATGTTGTGGAGTGAACAACGCCTATTCTTTAGCTGCGTTCATTGTGACAACTATAGGTGTCACACGGGCCACTCCGGCAGTTTTTACGTATTCCTGTTCCCTTTCGTTGTGATTTCCGTTCAATATATCTGTTCCCTCTGTGCTTTTATAAAACATTTTTGCGCTTTTCGTATCTTATACATGCTCCATGTTCTTCCTATACATCTTCCCACGTTTTTGTGTATGTAAAACTTCCGTGTATGAAGAAAAAAGCTTTTCCACTACGCAATCACTACTTCTACCAGCGTTTAATGAAGTTGTGTAAGCTCTGCAAAGAATATTACGATGTTCACTTTGCAGTTTTGATATCCGCTCACTCCAAACAATACCCGAAAGTCGTCACTGCGATTGGAAAGTGGAAAAGAGTGAACAGCTTCTCAAAAATAACGCTGCACACTGCATGCGCTGCTAGTTCCTCGATGCATATGCATTACTGAGCATTTTTACAGGCCATATTTTTCACCTTACACTTTATTCAACAACAGTAGTCTCTTGCCGCAAGGTGAGAAACTGGTGAAGGATTGTTAAGAAGGCATCCTTTCATGGATGACTGCTTTCATAGCATCTGCATCTGCCTTGGATAAGCTACCGATTTATTACAAGAAGTCTACGAAGAAACTTCTGTTCAACAAAATAAAAGGAAAGGTGGTGACACCCATAGTGTCTTACTGGCCACTCTCTTATTGTCATTATGACATCTATAGAGGTCACTCGTTGTGAGAATGTTAAAACTAACTGACAAAAACAATTAAACCTAACTCTAAACACCCTCTAAAGTGGACTGGTCCAACAACTATGGTAAATTAAAGCTTCAAAAATTTGGAAGAATCAGTTTTAACACTGGAAATCACTTCCAGTTAATGCCTATAAGTTTCAAATAGGCATAAAATTGTGTAAAAATACAGCTATGAGTAAAAATAAACGTCGTACTCATTAATATGGAGTGTACTAGATAGATGTAGTGAACTAACGTAAAAGATCCGTTCCAAAATGATTTCGGGCTAAATGTGTGAACATGGAGGTCAACACCGGCACAATCATCTGATGAGCGAATTCCAACGATATCCACGATTTCAAATTCTGTCCACGAAGCAGTGAATATTGGCCATTATCCTGAATGTTTCGATATAGAACACTATTTTTGTACATCACTCAACTGCACAGCTCTAACGTCGTTGAAGTAGTATTCATAGCGGTAGAGATGCTGAAGATGAAGCTTCTATTGAAGCGTCAATGAATGGATTGGATTACTACATAATCTGTTCTCTTGTATGACTACTGATCGATACGAATCTATTCATAACGACAAATAGTTTAATGGGTCGACTGGACGACCGATAGGCAGCGAAGTTTGGTGTATTGCCGTCTGATTACGGTTTAAGACAATGGTTGTCCCCGAATTTTTGTTCGTTATAACAGTACTAAAGAATAGAATCACTAGTTTTATTGGAGTCTGTAGACTTTCACAAAAGAACTATCGACTATTAGAGCATAAATTTCAAGATCAGTAGAGATTTCTAAGTATTTGACGTGATTTCGAACATTCCGAAACATTTCTATTAAATTATATCTACAGGTCAAATACTGCAAGGCTTTTTTTCGATGTTTTTCCTAGACTTGAGCAAAAATATTCGCATTTGGCGTGCTTACGGTGACACAAGAGTTTCTGTGAATGCTAGAATTAAATTCCGATTCGTAGATCTAATAATCTAGAGATGGGAAGAGATTCTAAATGAAAGAATTCGAAACGAAACATCTGTTGAAGTGTTACCTGTTGTTCATTAATTTTGAAAATTAACCTAAACATAATAGCATAAAATATTCTAGGAAAAATGAAGTGAAAGGTAAGAATCGTGCTAGGTTATTGATTCGGCCAAAAAATAGGACGAAAAGCGGTTCCATCTTTAGTCTTGCCTTGAGCTCTTTCACAGCAGCAAACAGGTCATCTGCACAGTTATTGAAAAATGTCAACAGTGAAGTTCGTACAATGTCCGAATTCGTTTTTACAAGTGTCCTGCAAAAAAGAACCAGCTGAAAAGTTTTCCCATTTATATAAATACTATAGAAGTTGTTGAGTAACAGAGTTTTCTATTTTTCGTTAGCTCCGCTAACGATCGACAAGCAGTCTAGTGCTTTAATCCGAGGAATGAACCCTAGGATAAGGTTGGAATTGCGCTAACCTTAAATCCAATGCTTGAGTGAGACCTTGAAGACACTTCACCGTAATCTTCGCTACACTTCCAAATGCACGATTCTTGATACGAAGAAGGGCTGCCAATCGACAAAACAGACTGAAACGGTATACGGTAACGATTTCTGAATGTTCACACGATAGATGATCACTTGTGTATGGTGCCGGTTATATGAGTAAGTCCCTTAATAACTCGAAAGGCCCACTTTCCATAACGGTGTCCTTACAGTATGAATTTAAATAAATGTAGCTGTTTAGACGGCAAAAAAGTCGATTAATCGCTTAAAACACTTCTTTCATACCATTTTTGAAGAATTTCCGAAATTTGATTCATAATGGGCTTCACTTACTTGGCAACCATCTCTTTTTCCTTGTTACTGGCGGTACCAGTTTGAACCATACTGGATCCTTCAAGGAAATAATTCTTGTGAGCGTTAAAATACGCGTGCATTAACGGAAGCACCACCTACAAATACAGTACCTACGTATCGATTTTCAATGATCTACATTAACTCTTTTTTGATCTATTTGGTTAAATATTTATCGCGGAAACGGGCAAGAAAAAAAAGTAAGAAACTAAAACATATCCTAACAATTTAGTAATTGAATAACCTATTAAATTCCTTACATATATAGTCTATTAAGGAAGCGGATAGCACAGTGGCAGTGATTCCCGTCATCATGAGCATGGTGCTAGTTCAATTCCGCTCCGGGCCAACAAATCCTCTCATCCCCCGGAAACGAGAAATTGGTACCGGACATATCTGGGAAAAAGTCACTCTCTGCAATCCAATTGGGAAAGCTCCAGCCCTGCTATTTCAGGACTCCAGGGAGAATTGCTCGACCAGCATTCTATGACATTCAAGATGAAATGAAAATCTTCAAGCAGCAACCGAAACCACACGCAAAAGTTGGAAGATCCTCGTGGACAATGGATGTGAGGCAACGAATCGAATGTGAGAAGTGTTGGGATCTGCACAGTAGATGTGAAGACGGGTCAAATAAAATAAAATAAAAGATTCTTTCCACTTCTGCTCAGTGGGGAAGTGGAATAGCACCTCGTGTTTGCTGAGCAGAAGTGGAAAGAATTGTTCCAACAATACCGAGGTTAATAGAAAGTCGGACGTGGGAGTTACTACAAGAAAATAAGTTGGAAAATAGAAAATTACTAGGTTAATAGAGAATTCGACTGCGCAAAACTTTTCCTATGCTTAACAGTTCTCATCTAATTTCATAGGTTCCCTAAAATTCAAACCAATCTAAGCTCGCTCGAACTTTAGATAAATATTGGAAAAAAGTGATGCCTTAATAGCTTTACAGAAATTCTACTAGATCACTTAGTTTCCTTCAGAAAGGAAATATAAAAGGATGACTTACTTTCTCAAAAAATTTCACATCTTGTCCTTCTTTCCTGAAGGTGCTGCGACGTGTGAGTTCCTGACTTGGTTTCACCGATTTCATTTTCAGACTGGCCTGTTCCAGATATTGAATAAGCTTCTCCAGAAGATTATATGCAAATCTGCAAAAGGCTACGACTAGATAACGAACTAAGCCAATTTAGTTTTTCACGTCGAAAATACTAAGGTCGATTGGATACGAAGAAACTCATCACCATAAATCAATCAGTACTCTATCAATCATACTACTGGTTTTTAAGTGGTTACAACAAAGCAGTTTTTCATAGACATTTCACAAAAACGACTAAAAGAACTGAGATCAGGAAAAAAAACCCATATGAACAAGTGACAACACTAGCCACAAATCGCGAATGAGATGACTGAATAGCAAACAGAAAATTAACTTTTATAGAAGCGCACCTCTTCTCTACTGATGATCGCTCACCCTCGTTTTTACCTCTTTCCAAATTCGACTCGGTCTTCGGACTGCAATTCATTGTATTACAAAGGTCTTCGTTACTTCAAAAGAAATTATTTGACATTATAGCTGCTAAAATAAATGCTCACTAAGAAACACTTCAGGAAAAATGACACTGTAAACTAACGACGGAAAGGCTACCATGAAAAACCTGCGTCGCGCGCCAATTTGTAGGTCTCAATTCACAGCATTTTTCGCTAGTCAGTAAAATACTTACCTTTCCACATGATATCCGTGATATTGCAGAAATTTCAAGATCTCATTGGCTCGAAAACGATCTTTTCGTCGTTCAAAATCTGTTAGCAAATCCCACGGAACTAACGAAGTCGGCATGAAACCTCCCTTTGTATTCAAATCGTTCCACACCTTAAATGAATGAATAAACATGGTACTCGTATAAAGCGATTCAGGACAAAATTCTCCTCGTCTACCTAGGCATTTGTTTTTCAGCGTAACCATTTTTGTAAAGAAAAAATGGTGGAGTGATTCAATCAGTGCCTCTTCACTAACCACAGTACTACTAGCGCCAAAATTTGTACAGCGGATTTTTTGCCAAAAATGGAAAGTGACAGCAAATAATTCAAAGAAAAAGCAATAAACTAAAAGAGAAAGAACCGTGGATCAAATTTCACTGCACTTAGTTAGTTGTGATAGTGTTTAAGGCAAAAATGAAATCAAGTACTCTTAATTCTTCTAATTATGCTAGAAAATACAAAATAATGCAAAAAACAGTAAATTTTTCAAGACTAGAAATAATTTTAAAGATATGTCGTAAGCACAATTTATACCTTCGAAGCCCATATCAGGTGTGACCGCTCGGCCATTTTCTCACCAGCCGCCACCATATCCTGAAAACATTTTCGCTATTGTTGACAAATAATAACCTTACTCATTTCACATCCTAGGATAATTTAATATTCACTACTTGGATGAAATTCAGCACTTGTATTAGGAGTTTTTAGTCGTTTAAACTAATTAATATAAGCAGAAAGAAAGAAACGACAATAAATATTCCTGCGAGTTGTCATTTAACCCCTCAAAAATTTCAGTTTTTGAGCTCGCTCGCAAACCAAAAATCTCTGCAGTCGTGTAGAACGCAATTTTAAATAAAGAAATGAATAAAAGGTTATCATTAATAAAAGGGCTATCCTATGTTGTAATAGCAAACTCGATCATCTCCACAATAGTTTTTCTTCGGCTTTACATAGTTCAATAGATGAAGCGATTTGCAAAAAAAAGTAAAGTAGTTATTTCTTGTAGGAATAAGGAAGTCCTCAGTTGGAGATCCATGTAGTTCATGTTCAGAATTTTGGGCAGTCCACTGAAGTTCTTGATGCTGCATATAAAAGAGAACAAACCAAAAATGTATTCAAAAGATATATTTATTTATATGATCTTATAAACTGATCTTCTTAAGCTGACGCGAGGTTGGTACAGATCTTCGTTGTCGTTGTTTTTGATGTTATTGAACGATGGCTGACGTTTCGGCGACTTCGCCTTCCTCAGAGCCGTGATGTTATGTGCGGGACAAAAATCGTTCACACTCTGAGGAAGGCGAAGTGGCCGAAACGTCAGCCATCGATCAATAACATCAAAAACAACGATAAGGACAACAAAGATCTGTACCAACCTCGCGTCAGCTTAAGAAGATCGGTTTATAAGATCACATAAATAAATATATCAACTATCTATGCCGAGGTTCATAGAAAGTCGGTCTTTCGAGTTATTCAAAAGAGTTTGACGACTTATCTGCTTAGTGCTGTGTAGAATTCTCTATAAACAACAACAGTTATACCTATTTTCAACAACGGGCTTTATTTGTGTATATAAAAGTTTTTTCGGTCTAACTAGTACTCCAGGCTTAAACAATTCACCAAAAATGGCAAAAATCATGTAAAGATCATTCAAACGTCCTTATTTCCTCGAATACCCAGTGAATCGAAGTTAAAGTTGTTCTAATGGAATTACTTTCTGTTCGTCTTTGTAAAAAGAAAACTGCAGAAAACAGACGAACTACACAGAAAATGAATGACTGAATATTTTTATAGTTAATGAATAAATGTGAATTATACTAACCTTTTCCAGCGTCATACTTGTTAGATCTACGGGTTTTGGAGCAAAATTTTGGACAGAGGTGCCGGACGGTGTGTGAGCATTGGCGGCTCGTTCGGCAGCGTCTCGATCTTTTAGCTCAAAAGTATAGCCCCAATCGTGGAGCGCCCTTAAGCACTCAGCGCATCGTTCCTTATAAAAGTTCTTTTCCTAAACAAAATTGAACTAAGAATACAAGAAAAATACTGGCATTAAACTAAAAGAAATCTACAGCTATTAGAAATGGCACCCTATTTTACATAGTAAAAGTGGCATAGCTTTTGCCCTTATTGGTCGAAAAGTTATTCGAGCTAAGGCCAGTAAACTCCATGTTCTTGTCCCATTAGTATGAGAGAGTATCTCATTGGGATCTAATGACTCGAAGAACGTTATAGTTTCGTCGAGGATTTTCATGAAAAATCTAGACCATCGGCTCATTAATTTCTTTTACTATGGGCTTGATATCCAACGGTAACAAAAGCTAATCGCTCTTATCCGCAGTAATTGACGACCACACGACTTTTGTCTGCCAATATAGCACAGAATTTTGCGAGGTGCTACTTAGGGCAAGAAAACCTTCACACTCATTATGTGGAAATAGAGCCTGGCGATTTTTGTTTTATTCATTACATGTCGAGGCCTAAAATCCTAATGCGGCTCGTTTCCTTCTCCTTTGCCACGGAAACCAAGTCAGTTGCTGATAATGATAACTTCCTTCTCCAGCTATATTACACTAACGGTTGCAGCATTGATAGATGCTGATGCATGAATGAGGGACAAATCCATTCATTCTGAGAATCACTTTCTTCAAGTTCTGTGGAATACCGATGTCTCCAGAAACATCGTCGGAATCAGCGAGCATCAATTCCTATTCGGTAATGTTTCATGTTAAGAAGCGATTTGATCAGCTAAACGAAGGTAGTGTAATTCGTAACAACAAACCCTCATTCGTATACTACCCCACTTACGTTTCACTATGAGACTTTCGAAAGCTGGCACTGAGTAATATTAGTGAGCTAGTTCGCTTGAAAATTTTATAACTTTCGGCTATCTTAGCGCCTCCCAACGGTTCACCACTTCATCGTGGCTGTGAGATGTTCCTAGGTGTCGGACTGCGATATACAGCTGGTCGACGCGGCAGGATCTCCCAAGCTGAGAAGGAGTCCGGCGCTTCTAACACGAAGCCTAGCTAAGAGTAAACCAATACCAATACCAGGATCCACCACCATCCTGGTATCAAAGTCGCATGGTGCCAAATCTCCCTCTGATCCACAAGGGCTGCGACTGCCTATCGTGGTGACGACCTGGGGCAGACTTTGGCCGGGATATCCTCGGAATCCAGGGAACCACAATGGCTTAATCAGCAAATGTCCGAAAAATGGTGATTATGATGGGGCCCGCATAACTAGTGAGGACGGGCCGTTCAAGTATCAAGTAAGTATATTAGCGCTAATAAAAAGCTTAATAAGCCTGCAAGTAAAGGAGGATTGAAATGAACCAGAGAAATAAACCTAGGATCAGCATCAATTGAAATTCCATGCAAGTAATGCTCCCATAAGCATTCACAGTAATTTTAACAAACTAATATTTAAAAGTGGCGATGTTATACATATTTCAGAAAGCCTAAAATTTACTGCAATATAAATGGAATTATTTGTAAGTATCATGAACTCACGAAATCCCTCAGTAGACTGAATGGCTTCAAGCGTGGATGGGTGGAATTTTGCCGCGAGTACAGGTCTCCATAAACCCAACCCTTTTCTAACTGAAATGTTACATAATTTTAATACATAATGATCCGTCTTGTTAATTTAAAACAAACAACTATTTCTTCATTGCTCAGCAAAACCTGAAAGATATTACACTATTATTACTACTGTATTATATTATTAATATTACTATACTACTTCCACTCCCATTCCCTGATATCGGCTCATCGCATAGCAATATACAGTAGACAGACCTTCAGCAGCAAAAAGGTGCCGAGGCAGTATTGGAGATTTACGAAAATTACTTCAAAAAAATATGAATCGACATCCGTCATATGAAGATTACCTCTACTTATGATAGCATTTTCACCCAATTCTAATTGTGGTATCAATAAGGTGTTGTAGTCTGTCTCACCTTTCTGCTTGCCCACGAATCATGGAAATGTTCTGCGAACTTTTCCGTCATCGTTTGAAGATCTCTTGGCAAGTCATTGCATGATACTTCAACTTGCTTCGGGACCCATGCGCCGTCGTCTAACTGTTCCTATAAAGATGAGCTCAATTTCAATCACTCGTCGGTTTATGAATGCGTCATTTTCTTGTCCAGCAATCGCGAGGTTGTTAAACAGCATAGATTTACTTCCATAGAAAAACACAATGCAAGACAATAGTAGCTAGTAGAGTCATCAATCACATGCGACTATAATCAGCTGTTCTAATCATTTTCATTGGAAGTCACGTAAAAAGCGGCTCTGAAGAAGGCGATACTGCCGAAACGTCAGCTAGTCTTGTATTGTATTGTGTTTCTCTATGGAAGTAAATGTATGCTGTTTAGAAACCTCGCGAGTGCTGAACAAGAAAACGACGCATTCATATTCCAATGCCGACGTTAATAGAAAGTCGATCTTGGGAACTCTTCGGTTTTTTTCCACAGTCATCTGTCATCACAAATTTACAACAGAAGCATAGTAGATACGCTATGACAAGTCAAATTCGCTATCTCCTCCTAAAATTGTAATCAAAGAAGAGAGCAGATGTATAAGTGTTACTGTTGCTACAAGAAGTAAGGTTGGAAAAAATTTTTGGATCAATTTCATTAGATAGCCGGATTTTCTTCGCGTAAACCCAAGGAGATTGAGATGGAAAGCCTTAGAAGGCCTATACATCGAAAAACTTTCTTTCTTTTTCGACTACATGGATAACAATGATATCATTTAAACATTCCTCTTTTCTTAAAGAATATACTGGTTATAGGTCCTACCTTCAATTTTGGTGCATCCTCTCCACTAGTGGTAAGTGTGTAATCTGGTGAAATAGCTGATCCAATCGCTGTCATACATGGTAATGCCTAGGTATTCTGTTATAATGATGCTCTTACGATAAAAATATTAAACATGAGTTTAGAAAACATCTATAAGAACAAAAAAAAACTTGAACGCGTATGGGACGGTAACAACCACCATAAGAATAAATAACGGTGACAAAAGCTCCAGAAACAACCTAGGATTTGCAAAAAAAAAAGCGGAAGTGAGGAAGGAAGTGAAAGAAAGATAAGCCCGACTCTCACCTTCCCAAACAAATCTGGATCATACGGTCGGCTTCCGAGCGAGTCGAAAATCGCATAGAAAAGCAGCATTGAGAGTCGTTTCTCGACTTCTGTAGCTACACCGTATTGATTACCGCTACCGTAATATTTGCCACAGCGTTCATAGTGTAATGTCATAAGCTGTAAATGTAATAATAGTATTAATGCAAATAAAAAGCAGCAAAACAAACCTAATACGATATGATTTATATAAAAAGTATAAACTTTGGCAGCAAAGCCTATTAGTCGGTTAACATACTGTATTTCACACAATTTAATCCATCAGTTTCCGAAGGTTTATCGCCTCATCGTGGCTAGGAGGTGTTCTTGGGCGTAAGGTTGCGATATACAGCGGGGAGATTCATCCCACTAGTAGAGTCCCCCGAGCTTGGAAGGAGATTTCCATCAGGAAGCCCAGTTGAGAGTAAACCGACACCAGGATCCACCACCGTCCTGGTATCAAACTAGTCGTGCGGTGGTAAATCTCCCTCTGATCCACAAGGACGGCGACTGCCTGTGGTGGTGACGACCTGGCCGAGGATTTGGCTGGGCTGACTTCGAGACTCAAGGGAACCACAATAACTAAATTAGCGAAACTCCCAAAAAATGGAGACTATACTGAAGCTCGCACAACCAATGAGGACAGCCCATCCAAGCATCCAAGCAAGCAATTTATCAGCTAGTAATCATGCACTACGAATTTGGTTCATTTTCACTTATAATGCTTCTTTTGCCGACCCCGGAAGGATGGAAGGCTTGGTGGGCCTGGGAAGAGTGAATCGATCCCATGTGTATTGCAGAGAGCCTCTGGCCACTGCGTTACCCGGGCCAAAAGGAATAATAGTTGGAAAAATATTAAGTCACTCCTAAGAAATGACAAAAGGTATCTTACGTTCATTTGACTTCATACATTTCATCCAAATAAGAAAAACTTATAAATTAAAACACTGACCCGTAGTGGAACCAGCACATTCATATCACTCATCTGCTGTACGTCCGCTATAACCTAAAGTTCATTTGGCAAATACGACCATCTCAAATTAGTCTTCAAAATACCCAAAAATAAAAGAAACTAAAAAGTATAAAAGAAAAATGAGAAGCTTGTCAATAAACAAAGAAACGGACTGTTAACAGACCTTCCTAAGAAGTTTAATCATCATTCCTGGCGGAAGTTCTCTAGTGATCGCCACTAGAAAATCGGATACAGCTTCACGTTGATTCTTTGTCAGTGATTTTAGTCTATTCATACGGTATACCTAAAATTAGTTCAGTTGATTGATCAATATATATCGAATAAAATCAACTGGGCAATCGACAGATCAATCAGTATCCATACTTACTGTGTGTACCGTCGCGTCCAACAGTGCCGTGTGATGTTCGGCATCAGCGAAGAAATGCGAATGACTGGTTAGAAGTGGTAGTACAGCATTACAGAGATATCGGTTCAAAGCTAGAGCTGTGTCTGATTCTAGAGCTCGTGGCTAAAAAATCATCGTTCTTTTTGATACCTCCTTGCCTAGTGAAAAACTCTTTTTAAATAGACCTAGAAAACTATGGTGCGTTCACCCTTTATTTTTTATTCTTTCCCCTATTTTTTCTTTTAAATTTTCCTTACTAAGAGGTAAAAAGAGAGCTAAGCTACTGAGGTGATGTATATGAAGTTCTATCCGTTTAGTTTTTGAATATTTCAAACAGATTATGCAACTTCATGTCCTGAATAGAAACGATTTGAAGAACTCGAAAAGAAGCAGTGACCTCACATCTCTGCCGTACGAACTTTCGTTATTTGTGACCTAACGGCAGCACCGAAAAAGCTTAAAAAAGACACTTAGAAAAGTAATTTGGAAATTAGGTATGTAGTGAATCTCAGCGACGACAGGCAGACAAAACGCTCAAGTGCTTAGGTTAAAAGAGATGTTAAGGGCACAAGAGAAAAAACGCGCATTCGTTGATTAAAACTCGTTGTTAAGATTCTAAGCGAAAACTACCCCAATGTTTAACCTTTCATTTACTTTTACTGCTTACTTTTCTCTCTTTTCGCGCGTTCGAAACCCAATTAAGTAAAACACACCTTTGAATCATTTGAATGGAGAAAAAGGAACTCTGGAATGGAGCAAGAGTAAATGTAGACTGTATTGGCACCTGCTCGAACAGATGACGGTCAAGGGGTGGACATTTGATAAAGACGATACAGCCTTATTGAGAAAGAACATTCCTTTTCAACTTTATAAAATCGTTCTATGATAAGAATGGCACCGATTTCACGAATTTTAGTTGCGATGATATTTTCAGAGGGCTTTGTTCAAAACACAGTGCCACTAAAAAACACCTCACACTGTTGATTACGGAGTGAAGATTTCTAATAATGAAGACTAGTAACTCACCGAATCCATCATGGTAGCCGCTCGTAGATCCGGCAGGAAACTTTGCTCAAGAAAATGGAAAAGCATGTCCTGCGAATCAATACCGTACACTCGATCAAGAAACAAAAGAACGGAACCCTTATGGTTTGGCAAAAGACCTGGTAGCGGACCATTATCTAAATAACGAGACGATGATCACCTTTGGACTTGTAGACTCGGGACAGATTTTTCAGCAAACATGCAATTGTGAAAATGTTGGTAAGTATGAAACATTTAGAACACTCAGTAAGTATCATTTGCAGACTGCCATTTTGGGTCATAGAGAATTAAAGATAGGTAAGTCAGCTATAGGTAAAATCGCAATGAGGTTAGTGTCTCCTTCTGTAGAGGGAATGTTCACAGAATAAAACATAAAATGTATTCCACAACATATTACGTCATAAAAGCAACTACCAGTGTTTTGAATAAGAAAGATATGGCTTAAAATAAAATCAAAGGAAAGCCTTGTAGGCATGAAAACGGCTTGCTCAAAAGTGACAGAACGAACTCAGTGTTTTCTAAAACCCATAAACTAAACCTAAATTTACTCGAAAATGTCACTTTAGTTTGGGAAAGAAGTAAGTATCTGCATAAATAGCACCAGCGATTCATTTATGGTATGAAGCATCTAATTTATTACATCATGCTATGAGGACAACTTCAGCGCATACAGCACAGTGGTTAGAGGTTCACTGCAATGCATAGACGGTCGCTGTTTCAATCCCACATTTCGTGAAAACTAAAATCTCTTCTACCGGGATCGGCATATTGTTGTCAAACTCTCCTGAGATTATAAAGCGGTGATATGACACATAGATGAGCCCCCAAAAGTCAAAGTGTAGGCGAGATATACAACCAATCCACCCTACGATGCTCGATGGAGTTTAGGGAATAGCTCTTTCATACGGAAGTGATCGATGCTTCATCTTTTCATTCTTTATGACCTAAACTGACAATCATTGGCTCTTTTGCTATAATGAGGTAGAGTTAAATTGTTAGTGCTCACACTTTGATGAGTGTTTCAAGCTGCTTGTACGAGTGAATATCGGCGGAGACGTGGGCATCGTCGTCGTGGTCAGAGCGGGTGATGCGTCGTTCTCATTTGAAATTTCGCCACTGTGCAGTGAACTTTTCACCGAATCATAGTGAGAGTGCGAGTCCGAGTTGTCTTCTTCACTAAGGTGTGACAATCGCGACTCAAAATTCGTCCTACGTTGGCTTATTGAACGATCACGATTGTTCTTTTGCGATTTCAACTTGTTCGCGATGTTAGCGAATGAATGCGTAGTGTTGACGTTGTGCTGATGTGTGTCGGCAAATGAGCGACGACGTACTGTGACATGAAATTAAGTTAGCGAACAGAATATGAGAGTTAGAGTTAACAAATCATCAGTTAACGAGTTAACGAGTCATCTTGGTCTTTCTTTTCATCGCTCATCACTCTTCCTATCATCCTCACACATTTTCAAGCATCCCTTCATCACTACATCGCTTATCACACGATCTCACATAGTTACCATGATAATGAGACGTAAAAGTGGATATAAAAACATGGTTAGATACGTTAGTAAGGTATATGACCAAAAATTTAAAGCATTTCCTCTATAAGGTAGCACTTACCATCCGTGGTCGCCAATGTGAGATTCGGTATGGTAAATCTGAGGCTAAGAATTTGTCCTAAATCATCCAAGGAGATCAGCGAGCGCAGAATGGCACGAGCTCGAAGAGAATCACCTTTGCCGGCCTCAAATAAACGAAAACGGTCTCAGTAGTAATTTATAACCTCAGAAAAGAGTCTTTTTGAGGCAGATAGCTGTTATTTGAAGTTCTCTACTAATTTATTTGCCTCCTACTACAATTTTTTACGGAAAGATAACACGTGAAATACAACCACAATAATGTTGAGATATTTGCAAAACATCGGACCACAGGTGTCTGTGGTTGGGATCGAACACGCTATTATCCGTTCTGGTATAAAAAAGGGTAATAGCGTGTTCGATTCCCACCGCAGACATTTGCGGTCTGCAGCTTTAAAAATTATCTCAGCATGACTGGTTGTTTTCCTACTAGTTTTTTCTTCCTCGAAAACCACCTTTTTCCAAAAAAGAACTTGTTGATTATTCAATTCATTATCTTTTGTTCTCATTCTCAATAGACTTGTTTAACTTTCGTTTCCTTCACCCAGAAAGAAACGTGAAACATGCGAGCATTCAGAAAAATAAAAACAGGAATTATCATGTGACGTTAATTGAAGATACAACGATGTACAGTTGGTGTTATAGTTTAAATAGACGGATCCTTAAAAGGGAATGTCAAAATGAAGCACTTAAACGAGTTACTCAATTACGTTTAATCAATCACTCAATCAATAAGGCTACTGTGACTATAAATATTATACTTGTATAGCCATGTGATCCGGCGCACACTTAGCAAGAAGGTCAACCAACGACGAATAGAAATCGAGCGTAGCTGCTCCCAAATCCAAGTAATCTTCACTCTCAGCTTCTTTAGAAGGATAAGATCTGAAATGAGAATATTGGCTAAACCAATTGAAACAGTATAGAAACGTTCCTTGTCTAAGAAAGTGCTTCTAAAAATTGTTAAACGCACTTTATTCTAGTTTAAAAAGTAGGAAAAATTATAAGTTGCAGTGATAAAGCTGCTAGTCGTTTGAGTCGACAACATATATTTTTTATCAACTTTATATATCCTTAAACCCAACTACTTTTTGTGGTAGGCTACCTCATTGAAAGTGGACTCAAGAAAACCCAAAACCATTCGCATTACCATAAACAAATAGTAAACAGTAAATAAATAAATAATTTTGGAATTTTTTAAGTCCATTCTCAGAAACGTAGCATGCTACTTTACTACATTATAATACATTAAAAGATTTCCAGTTTTTCGAAAATCAGTTCTATAGTCACCACCAGAAACACTTAATAAGTCACCAAGAACTAAGAAACCCAAAAATCGGAGAGTATTTTAATAATGATAAAAATATAATATGGAACTGAAGAAATTCATAGTCGTACGGTGTCTCTCCGAGCAAACCACTTCTCAATGATGGAGAGCCGGTTACGTCTTCTTCAAGCGTTCGAATATCCTCTGATAACGCAATAGCTTCCTGAAAAAGATGATAGCTCATCACTGACTGAAAACAAAGTAGAAGTACTAGCATTGACTAATCTACGTAACCACTAAGTCCTTATTGTTCGCCGTTTCCTCATTATAGGGAGGAACAAGGAAAAAATCACTCGCCTTAAATGCTGCGAACAATCCCTGACCTTCTCCTTTAAGGGCGATTCCCAAACATTCTGGACGTCGAATCAATAAACGGATCACAAGATTTGCATTTTCCTCCACGTTCTCACCATTTATCCACACACAAAAACGAAGAAAATCGATATATCTAAAAATTTCATTCGACTTCGAGTGTGGTGTTGTGCCTTCTCTATAGCTATCAGACTTTGTAATTCTACACAACGGTTCCGAAATCGAGTATTCACTTGTGCTATAGACTTTATTTCTGATTAGTTATAAGTTGTTCGGTTTAGAAATTGATGTAATTCGAAAAAGGATTTGAGGCCACCTTTCCCCTTCAACTGGATCCCATCCGATGTCTGGATATCCTTTAGAAATCATCTCAGAATTTGGTTGAAGGCCACATCTCGACAGATATACAGTCACCTGAAACAAAAATCACCTGAAAAACTCCTATCACCACACAAGTCGTATAAGTAATTCATCTATCCGAAACCATAGGGTACAGTGGCGCCTATGGAAAACCCCTCATAATCATATAGTTCATTAAGTAGGTGAAGATTACGTTTAGAATCACCATAACGATAGTTGAAAATGTAAAACAGGCGAAGAAAAGTGTGGAAGGTCTTTGAAGGTGCGATTTCTAACTTGTCGACTAACCTTGTCTAGTTCTTCTTCCTTGAGTGCTAGAGCTAACTCATTGTTATCCATAAACGATGAATAGGCAACATCAAGAGGAACGGATCCACTTAATACTTAGGAATGAACTTTGGTAATCTTTTACACCAATGGCTTCAATTTTTCTCCTGTTCTTGCCGATTTTTTTTCTTTAATCGAAAGCAAGAACAAATAGTCCTGACGAAAATTCTAAGCTTTTACTGGTTTAAGCATATTGGAAGGATTGTAAAGGTTCTAGAAATACGACACTGAAGTATTTCTCAGCTCTTCGGAAGAAAAAACTCGATTGCAGTCAATTAACAGTTAGGTGGCCAAAACCACGACTGAACACACTATAAGAGGAATTCCTTCGCTTATAGTTCTTCATCGATTACATAGCGATTTCTCACGTTTAACGAAAATGGAACGTTTGCTTATCAGGAGCAGATCACACAAAAACAATGACGGTGGTCGCAGTTTTGAACACTCATGCTCCATATTATTATAAGCTACATAACTCAAAAGATCGGCTTTCTATAAACCTTGGCATAATAATCGATATATCTATCTCTCACTGTATACATATCTATGTAGCTTATAATATATGTATCTATACATATGCTCTCTACATATGCTTTATCATATGCCCTTGTTTAGCTGACGCGAGGCTGGTGTAGGTGTTCTTATTGTAGCTGTTGTCGTTGTTCAATGGCTGACGTTTCGGCGACTCCGCCTTCCTCAGAGCCGTGGTGTTGGACCACCCGTGTATTGTTCACGAGATATGAACAGGATCATCAGGATCATCGCGAACCAACAACTCTGAGGAAGGTGGAGTCGTCGAAACGTCACCCATTGGACAACGACAATAACGACAATAAGAACATCTATATCAACCTCGAGTCAGCCGAACAAGGGTATTTCGTGAGAGCACATATATAGATATAAGCTATATATTTTAACCGGAAAAAGCAGTAGACAAAAATCGCAATTTCTTAGAAGCTACGTGGTATCTTACCGTAAGCTGGGTCGTGCCAGAAGCATTGTTGCGTTATCAAGTAGAAACGAGAGATGCTCGAACATCGCCTTCTGATTTTGTCGTGATGTACGACAAAAATAGCAAAGAAAACGTGAACAAGCCACCACCATTTCGGACGAGTCCTGAGAAAAAAATTACCGTACGACACATGTTGCCTTATACACGTACTAATTGTCCCTGATAGTAACGCGGTTGGTAAATCAGCGCCAAAGAAAAATTATTAGACCTTTACTCCGATCATCCTAGAGTGAATTTCAACTCACTTAAGGAAACAAAAATAATTCTTCTAGACGAAAAGCTCAACTTGTCACCTATACCACCTGTAGCTCCGTTGATCGTCGAGTGACTCAAGAAGGCGCCAGTAAATCTTCCATTTTTCCCTGTTGTGTGCAAGAGTAGCCCAGTGGGTTCTGCTCGCTCTAGGACTCGTTAAGCATCATAATTTTCCTCTAGGGTCTTCGTGAAAAACTCTGACCGTCGGGTCGGTGGTCTTCCTGCAGTACGTTTGACACCCTAGGAATCCAGTCACTAACGGCTCCTGTCCATCGGTCGTCATTCATACGAATTACGTGTCCGGCCCACCTTATCTTCGACTGTTTGGTGTACAGAACGTCACCTTTGATCTCTGATCGTTGACGCGGATCGGAGCTTCGGATCCCATCCCTCACTTGCGTGAAACGGGATACTCCTAGCATCGTCCTTTCGACTGCGCGTTGAGTGATCTTTGATGCTACTTACACAGCGACCGGGTTTCAGACGCATACGTTAGGGCAAGAAGTATCGTTGAGTCGAAAAGGTGGGCACGGAGTCGAGCGTTCTTTGTCTCTTCACTACATTCTCGATGCTCTCGAAGGCTCCCCAGATCGTTTGTTTCCTTCTGCTCATCTCTGGAGCTTCATCATACTAATTTCCCGACCTAGATAAAACCGGAGCATTCGGAGATATTGGCATCCTTGAGAGCGAATGGGGAATGCGAAACTAATTCGTTCCTCATGAACATCGTTTTTGTGAAATTTAGTCGAACACCAATCTTTCCATAGGCTCTATTAAAATCGGCAAACATAAATTTCGCTTGGCTAATGTTTGGTGTTATAAGGACGATGTCATCAGGAAAAGCGAAGACGATGTAACTGCCGAATATCGATTTTCACTCCCATATTATCCCATTCTAATGTACGCATGACGTTCTGAAAGATGGAGGTGAATAGTTTTGGCGAGATGGCATCACCCTTGCCTAACTCCTCTTTTGACGTCAACATTAAAATCGTTGTAGAAAGGTGATATCTTGGTTATAAAATTTTTGAACAGCTCACAAAGAATTTTTATGTACTGAGTAGAGACTCCTTAACTATCAAGGGATTCCATGACTGCTTCTATCTCAGTTGAATCAAAGGCTTTCAGTAAATCGATGAAAGTGAGACAGAACGGTCTTTTGTACTCTCGCGATACTTGAATGAGTCTTGTTTTCTTGTGGATGGCGTCCATCATACTAAATCCTCTTCAAAGCCCTGCTTGTTCACATGGCTGTCCTTCGTCCAGTGTTCTGTCAACCCTGTTTAGTGAAAAGTTTGCAGATGGCAGCCAGCAAGCAGAATAGGCGATAATCGTCGATATCGTGTAGGTCACCCTTCTTGAACAATAACACGGCCTTGCTGGTCTTCCACTGAGTAGGGATCTTGCACTCAGGCAGGTAACGTGTGAACAGCCGAGCCAGTGTGTTTACGAGGACTGGCGGAAGGTTTTTCAGGTGTTCTGGTCTTTTCCTATCCGGGCCTGGTGCTGTTCGATTTTTCACCGACGAAATGGCACGTCGGATTTTGGAAAAGAGAACCGGTGGTACAACATATTCATCCTCCTTTATTTCATATGAAGGAAGGTGGACGTGGCTATCGAAGAGATCCGAGTAGTATTCGAGAATGATTTTCTCCACTGCCTTTCTGGACGCTGTAACTGTTCCGTCTGGGCGTCAAAGTGCATTCATCTTGGTCTTGTAATTGGCGAAGCTTCGGTGAGCTTGGCGAATGCTTTTCCCAGTCTCTGCAGATTCGACCATTACTGGTGCTCTTTTCTCTTTAAGATCTTCTTTTATCGCCTGTCTGCATTGTTTTGTTCTGCAAGTTCGGACGTTAGTTCGCGGTTACCTGCAGCACGTGTGATTCCACGCTGGCGCACCAGCTTGAGTGTTTCTGGAGACAAACGTCTCTTGGTGACTTTCCAACTCTTAGCTTTCATAGCGCTAACCTGAAGATGTTGAATGAGCCGACCGTCTTCTTTGTCGATGTTATCGACCGCGGCATCTTCCCAACCGCCGACTAGTGAATTGAATAAGTCCCAGTTTGCAGTGGTTCTGAGACCTCGGTTTTGGAATTTAGCGGCTTTTTCTCCTTTCCGCAAAAAATGGAATCTTGCACGAAAAAGGCGATGGTCAGGTCCGTGTAGAATTTTGGGACAACAGCGATCGGTTAGACGGAACCTTCTGTTTACCATGATGTGGTTTATTTCGTTATGGTACCCTCCAGTAGGAGACTCACGCTTCCAGCGTTGAAAGTGGAGCTTTTGGAATTACGAGTTACCATTGATGCTTTTGGTTGCCATGATAAACTCAGATATCCGCTCACCCTATTCGTTCCATTCTAATCCATGGGTCCCAATATGACGTTCTTCAGACGATCTTCTTGGCCCTATCTTGGCGTTAAAATCTCCAATGATGACCTTGAAGAACGGCTTTCACTGTAGAACTTCCCCATGTAGAACGCTCCGACTGTTTCTTCGTCATAGTTTGATGTCGGCGCGTAAAAGGCGAAGACTGTCAAAGCCGTTATTATTCTTCTCTGGTGTCATAGACGGCGTTGAATGGGAGTACGTCGTCTCATCTCGGCCAGATCGTCACCACAGTTCTTTTTAATCCAGGCAGCTGCTTCCATTGGCCCTGAGACTTTAGCAGCCTCTCCGTACTCGTTCTACCCAACGCTGCGAAATTGGGAGCTCTTTGGGGGCCAGGGTAATGGAGCCCGTTTCTTTTTCACTGTGTTTAGCATTTTTATACCCACGTATAGCTCGCTGTGCTCTGAACGTGGAGGTTGGTTATACCCGCACTCCCAGAGTGTACATAGAGCTTATTTGTTGGAAGCGACTTCTAACCGCCTCTCATATACTTCCGTGTAACTTGCAGGCCTTTGGCCGAGTTGACTCGTCGAATATAATCCGCATAAGCGAGAACGCACTTACACACGCATGCATGAATATGCCTAGCAAATACAGAAAGTATGTGCAAAATCGGCGCAGCAGAAACGGGAGTCCATCTCCTGGATCCTCCTGCGTCTCAATGAAGCAAAGGTCGCTTTTGGTCCGCGATAAACCCCCTATCCGCCACCTGGAAACGCGCCACGTCGCATTGCGACTAACCTGCTCGAGATCCCTCATACGAGGGAGATCTGTGGGAATTGCTCAAAAGTCATATCAAATTAAAGGACTGTAAACATATTGTAAAAAACTATTAATTACAATGAACTTGTTCCATGATAAATTAGTTCTTTCGAGTTGTCTGGTTCCATGTTACTTCTTTTTCCGTTAGAATTGATCTCGCTCCAAAAACACATCGTTATTTTGGACGTAACTGGCATTAATTCCATTCAGAATGTCGCAAAATGCCCTTCATAAAGCTTTTGAACCAATGTTATCGATAGTATTCAGTGTCAAGCTGGCTTAGCTTATGAGAAATTTTGCGTGATAGAAGTAAATGGGCTTTTACTAGTGAAGTTACAGTCTCCGAAATTTCTCACGACACTGTAACAAATACCAAGATCATACTGTAACTTCTTCCCATTTTAGCATATAACGTTCAAAGGTTAGTGAATGTAAGGGGAGAAAAAGGCACAGTTAGCAGTGATGAAATCCCTTCTTAAAGTGCTGAAAAAAATGGACCTTGACTGGGATCTTCTCTTTCACCTCTTCTCCCTCATGTTCAACTGCACCCTGTTGAGCGGTTAGAATGTTCATCATGATTGTCATCACATTCTCATGTACTGATAATAATCGCATTAAATCTGGATGTTGGAAGAAAATGCGATTATTCATGAGCTTCCTAAAAATATAAAATATTTATAAAAACATAAAGTATATCCTTGAAAAGCATGAAAAACGTTTTAAAAACAGCATAAGAACTCTAAAAAAAGGAACTATTTTTCAAAGGAGGCCCTAACCACTGATAAGGCGGTAAATACGAATATTGGATAGAAGACTGTAAGAGGTAAAGCAATAGCAATGCCTTTGTTACCAGGCTGATTCCTTACTACCCACGAAAAAGCTTCAAAATCAGAAAAAATCTAGTTATATAGCTCATGGGCAGATTCGTATCGCCATACAGTGGAGCATGACTAGTCATAGAAAAGGATAAAGCTGACGGCGTTGATCAACGCCTGAGGGATGCGCCGTTCATTGGCCTTCATTAGTGGCCTTTACTCACGGTGCCAGCCGATGTATCGAGCCAGTGCTGCTAACCTCCCAAAAAAGTCTGGCACCAATTTGCCGACTCTAGAAGGATGAAGGGCTTGGGGAGCTGGAATTGATCTCATGCGAATTGCAGGGCTCGTTTGACCACTGAGCTACACGCGCCTCCCGGCTAGTCATATATTTTATCTCAGAATTAAAGCGAAAAAAGAGTCGACACTTAAAAAAGGTGTAGAAATAAGAACCTTACCAAAGTCCACGTTTGAGTATTGCCTCCTCTATGTGTTCAAACTGAACAGTGAGTAGTTCACGAATCTGAATCAGATAGACGATAAAGTCCTGCACATCCTCGTTATTCCGCTCGTGTAGAACATAGGTTTGAGCCATAGCGTCTTGCAGCTGAACAACAAGAAAAGCAGCTGAGACGCACCATTGAGTTATCGATTAGTTATAAGAATCAGTTTACCTCTCTAACACCGGAATACTGCCTCAGAAGCAGATTAAACATCTTTCGAATCAATTCGTTACTTTCGATAAAATCACCTAAGGCCCATTCGCGAAGCATATTGACAATCATGTCACTGAAATTTCAAAGGCAACCGATAAAAAGACAACAATCTTCATACAGAGTTGGCGACAAAAGAAGCCAATCAATAATGGAAAAAATGTGTGGAATTTGTTTTTTCGCTTACCGTTGCGAGAAACGTGGCATTTTTGAGAATCAGACTGGAACTAAGTTTATAGATGGCATCAAAATAACTTATACCACCAAATTACCTAAATCTTAGAGCTCTAAAAAAGTTATACCGGAAATTTCTAGTGCCTTTCTTCATATTGAGCTCCTTGTCATTAGATGGTGGTGGAGGTGGAACAGCTACAACTAGTCGAGCGAGAGCGTCAACCTACGATAGATTTCTAGAGCTAACAAAGTTATCCAGCGACTTTTTTACTTTTTGTTCTTAAAAAAAAAGATCGTCGAAAAATTAAGCCTTAAATTACTTTGAATACCAAAACCACATTATCACCAGGGTCTCTAAAAATACACTGAAACCTTAAAAGTTCCTCCCACATTGCTCACTTAAGGGAAGCGATTTAACATTAAATTTCCAAGAATATAGCCTGTACAGGTAATTTCTTTTCAGACTACCATATTCTACACTATTCATTTTTCCCCAATGAAAAATCGTTAGCGAAACTGAATAATGCGGTTCTGTTATATTACAGCTTGCAGACAGACGCTGAGCATTGGTCACTCCTTATAAACAAATAATTATTGTTGAGCAGTTAGAAATGTTTTCCTGAACTATAAAGGTTTCTCCTTAGCTTTCTTAGCTCTCGAGACAATGCAAGTTGAAAGTAACTCCCACGTCCGACTTTCTATTAAACTCGGCATTGATTGAATAATTCTTTTCACAGCTGCTCAGCAAGCACGAAGTGTTATTTTATTTCTTTATTTACGTACAAGCTGACGTGATTAAAATCTTCGTCTAGCATTTTCTCTGTTCGGTTATGAAGATGTTTGGCCGAATAGATTGCTTTCAACTTGACCTTTCCAGGCTCTGAGGAGGGCGAAATCCGCCGAAACGTCAGTACAAGTACAGTACAAGCTGACGTTTCCGCGAATTTCGCCTTCCTCAGAGCCCGGATAGGCCAAGTTGACTACAATCTACACGGCCAAACACCTCCATAATCAAACAAAAAAAATGCTGAACCAAAATTTCAATCACATTGAACATAGTCTTTGCACACTCACCGCTTTCTATGAGTCTTCCACTAAATATGTTACATGGAGACCAACCGCAGAGTTCACACGGAATCGTATTGTGCCCATCTCATCAAAATAACAGGCTTATATACTGCCCAATATCATGGGTGGTAATAAGGCATTCCTCCCTGCGATTCATTTTCGGATTCTTGGAATTAATCCAGAATGCCTTTAGAGTTTTGCGCGCTTGCGTTCTTGGTTCTTGCGCGAGGAACGTAACCCTTACTTCAAAATCCTCTCCGTTATGTCTCTGCGTCCTATGCGTGCCTTGTGGAGTATTTGGTTTACGTTTGCCGACTAGGTGTTCTTTTATACGTACGCAGAGTGGTCTACCCGTTTCGCCAACGTATTCGTCCTCGCACGCTTTGCAAGAGATTAGATAGACTGTACCCGAACTCATGCAATCACTGTCTCTACCACTGGAGCCAATTGTGCAACTTTTCGTTGCACATAAACGGTCGTATGAGCGGTTACGAACTAGCTGGTGTCTTAGATTACTCGATGGTATTTCGATTATCGTTGCCGAATTCTCTAGACTGGCCCTTCTTAAACAGCGTTTTATAGCTGCACTTATTTCATTTGAAATGAAGGGCAGTATAAACGAGACTTTTTTGTCGCTAGAGTTGTCGTTGGGGTACCTGTGGTTTCCTCTACACCTATCACGAGCTACAGTTTCGTAGCCATTAAAAATGGCTATTTCCGCGCCAAGTTCCGGGACTCTTCCCTCTGCTGTCTTCCTGTGCACACGTTGGTAGCTGCTCGAAACATGTTTCTCACAAGAGCCCTTTTCGTGTAAAAGAGGTGAGAGGAGAGGTAATGAACCATGTTTTTATTACTTGGCTTTCGATACCATTTCGTAATGTAGCCCTTTTCCAATAGGTTAATTTGAAAGTTCAGAAATGGAAGCCAATTTTCTTTCGGTTTCCCTTGGGTAAACTTGATATACCCTGACTGTTCGTTCAACAACTCGAAACATCTGTCAATTTCTCCTTGTGTTGAACAAATGAGCAAGCAGTCATCCATATATCTACGGTAGAGTAACGGACCGAGGTCGATTACTGGCGATTCCACCTTAGACATGAATGCAATAGCAACGCTTGGTGCCAATCGTTGTCCTATTACCAACCCTCTCATTTGTGCGTAATACCTCCCGGACCATCTGAAGATTGAGCAGTTTATGCACTCCTTTAAGAGTGTCATCAACTGCTGACTCGAGAAGCCATGCATGTTTATCGCTCCTCTGTGTTGTATAAGGAGCTCGTTTATGGCTTGCATAGCGGAGTCATTCGACACGTTCGTATACAGGGCAGTGATATCGAAAGACTCCACCACGTATGTGCTGTTGGGTCGCGCGTTACGTAGACGATCCAGGATCATTTGGGTGTTCGTTAGATGAGCTGGAATGTACTTGAACAACTGAGTAAGTATTAGGGTTATTAACCACGTTATACTATCCGTTGGCCCGTCCACGCAGCTAATGACAGGTCTAACCTTAAATAACGATGTATCGGTAGACACGAGATCATCGCTAGATACTAACTTATGGGTTTTGATAAGTAAGTACAGGACGGGACTTGCTGGTAAGTCAATTTTGAGATGAGAGATAACTGATAGTTTTAACCCAGCCGCTCTCGCCATGCTTCGAACAACTACCAGCGTGTGCACAGGAAGACAGCAGAGAGAGGAGTCGCGGAACTTGGCGCGGCAAATAGCCATTTTCAATGGTTACGAAACTATAGCTCGAGATACGTGTAGGAGAAATCGGAGGAAATCGGAAAGAAAAAAAGAAATCTAAACGACAACTATAGCGATAAAAATGTTCCGTTTATCCTAGCCTTCATCTCAAATGATGTAAGTGCAGCTATAAAACGCTGCTTAAGAAGGGCCAGTCTAGAGAATTCGGTAACGATAATCGAAATACCACCGAGTAATCTAAGACGCCAGCTAGTCCGTAACCGCTTATACGACCGTCTATGTGCAACGAAAAATTGCATAATTTGCCCCAATGGTAGAGACGGTGACTGCATGAGTTCGGGTACAGTCTATCTGATCTCTTGTAAAGCGTGCTGAGACGAATACGTTGGCGAAACGGGTAGACCACTCTGCGTACGTATTAAAGAACACCTAGTCGGCAAAGGTAAACCGAATACTCCACTAGGCACGCATAGGACGCAGAGACATAACGGAGATTTTGAAGTAAGGGTTACGTTCCTCGCGCAAGAACCAAGAACACAAGCGCGCAAAACTCTAGAGGCATTCTGGATTAATTCCAAGAATCCGAAAATGAACCACACGGAGGAATGCCTCATTATCACGCGTGATATTGGGCAGTATATAAGCTTGTTATTTGGATGAGATGGGCACAATACGATTCCGCGTGAACTCTGTGCGGTTGGTCTTCACGCGTTATACTTAGTGGAAACCTCATAGAAAGCGGTGAGTGTGCAAAGACTATGTTCAATGTAATTGAAATTTTGGTTCAGCATTTTCTCTGTTTGGTTATGGAGGTGTTTGGCCGTGTAGATTGTAGTCAACATGACCTATCCAGGCTCTGAGGAAGGCGAAATCCGCCGAAACGTCAGCTTGTACGTAAATAAAGAAATAAAATAGCACCTCGTGTTTGCTGAACAGAAGTAGAAAGAATTATTAAGTTGAAAGTGTTAGAACAATTTGATTATAAATGTAACTGATGTTCATCTGCCTCTTCGACGGTTGACCTTGGCCAGTGATGTTTATAGTGCTTCAGGGACAACATTAGCTAAACTCCTAGAAGAACGACCCAAGAGGTTCGTAAGTTTCATCATTAGTTAAGGATTAAACTTATGGAAAAATAATCGTCGCTACAAGCAATGTTATCGTAAGGCACCAAAGCTCTCTTCCATTTAAAATGATAGCTGCCTACGTGTAGAGAAAATCTGTAAGCAGGAATTGAACGACTTCATGAATCCAAGAAAAGGCTTGTTTTTACTCAATAGAATTTCGTTCAGAAAACCACCGATTTTTTGGGAAGAGCGACACTTATTTAGTAGTATTCAAAAGAGGTTAAAATCAAGTAGTCTATACATATATATCTATATATATATGTTTTCATTTTTACATGACCCGTGCTCACGTTTACTGTGCAGATTCAGGCACTTTCCACTTCCTATTCGCTTCCTCGCATATATTATCCACGAAAGTCTTCCAACTTTTATGTATGGCTCCGGCTGGTGCTTGAGGACCTTCACTTCATCTTGAATGTCGTAGAATCTCTTAAGTCTTGAGAAAGCCGGCTTGGAGAGTTCGCAAATGGAATGCAGAGAGTGATCTTCTTCCGGACAAGTCCCGTACCAATTTCCCGACCCCGGAATGAAGGGAGGCTTGGTTGACCAGGTGCAGAATCGAACTAGCGCCACGCTCGTGGTGACCAACATTACCATTGTGCTATCCTCCCCCCCCAGTAGTTTATATATACATATATATATGTGCATAAATAAATGTATATATACAAGAATAACTGTCAAAGTTACCATTGGCCGACAACAACATCTTTGTTTTAGTAAGGAAAACGGCCAGAAAAATATCTGCATAGCTCCAGAAACGAAAAAGAGTAGTAAGAAAAATTAAGATGTAAACAAATGGATAAGAAGTAGGTCATCAAATACTCACCCATGATCCTTCTTCTGCTTTGATGAGATTCTGAGATTCCTCATCATCGTAATCACCTTCGTTACCAACTTTGGCCACCAGCATTGCACAGAAATCCCTGAATCCGGCATTCTTATTCGCATAAAAAAATCGATTCATTTAGGAGGAAAAAGGAGAATTCTTGTTACTATGACCAAGGCTACTGAAATCACTCAGCGAGTGGAAACTCATTGATCCACAATCATTTATTTTACTCACTTATTTATAAAAGTACCTCTAAATATTTTGCCAAAGAAAAATAAGAACGATGTCCTATGTTCACGAATGGTAGTATCCTTCACCGTTTTGGGTTCTTAAGGCCTGAAAGAAACCATTTTTGATAAGCATACGACACTACCTGAGCTGCTCTTGCAGATCTTCGGCCATTGGACATTGATCGTATTCAACCTCATCATCAAAGAAATCTTCTTTCTCGTCTTTCACCTAAACAACGAGGTTCCTCGTTTTTCTTAAGAAAGTCGTACTCTAATTGCACATCACTGGATCTTTTGTTCCCCAATGCGACGGAACAATTTAAAAAATTCCCAAAAAATAACTAGTTGATCTATAGTTCCCAGGATTGACTTTCTATTAACCTCGGCATTGGAATATGAATGTGTCGTTTTCTTGTTCAGCAATCGCAAGGTTTTTAAAGATAGTTAGAGATAGTTGATCTATCTCAGATAGATAGTTGATCTATCTCAGATAGATAGTTGATCTATCTCAAAGTATTTAACTGTTAATTGTCTTCGTTTACCTTTTCACTTACTCTAGTTTCCATCCCATTTTTGACATCTTCGTTCGAATTGTTTTCTTGTATGAGAAGCGCAGTGAAAAGAAGATGTACGGTTTGTGAGCCCGTCCCATAGAGGCGATGCACTTGTTTCGTTAGATTATCTTTCTATTGTTCGGTTCCTCCTCATTTTATCCACGCTTTTCTAACTTCTACATATCCGCTATGTTCTTTTGTATGTCTTCGTGTTCTTGGACACCTTTTCTGTGCGATCCAACCCTTGTATATGATGGAAGGAAAAATTCGTTCATCACCTAGCCATGATGTTTTTACCTTTTCGTATGGAACGCAAGGTTTGTACGATACATAAATTGTATTTCTGTGTATCTTTTGTGTTTTTTTAATGTCCACCCACTCATTCCACTGCCCTAAACGCCTTTTGTACGTACAGCCGAGAATAGCTATCCATGAAGCACTTCCAGCTTTAAAACTGTGTTCGACAAGCCATCGATTGACTGCAAAGTATCGTGAAGGTGCTATATGATCAAAAAGTAAAGTATCTACGTGAAAATGTTAAAAGAGAAAAGGTCCAACCCCTTCACTACCGCGGTCACTCTCTTGTGACAAACCCTTCGGAGAACGAGTCATTGTAACGCACTCAAGACACGAATTGAAATCGGTGCGCCTGGTTGTGAACGGATTAAGTAGGAAGTTTACCTTGCATTTAAGCAGACGGAACATCTGCTCTTTTGGTGGACAACGAAATTCCTTGGTTTTCTTTGCCGCTTCGGCAGGTGGCATGTCCGTCTGCTTAATTTCCATATAACTAGAATGAGAGATATTTTAGGATTTCAGAAACATTTAAATTTTAGTGATGATATAGTAAAACTTCACAACGAATAAATAAAATTTTAGGCCAATTGAGTTGATATCATATCAGACGATAATTGTCATAAATTTGGAACAATTTACCGTTTACACTGATCGTGTTGCAGTTCACCAACAAAGCCATCCGTAAAACCAATCAGTGACTCTATACGATGACGTAGCTGAAGGTTTTGCTTGATTTTCCAACAGATCTCAAATTTTAATCAACAGAATCTACTCTACCTGAATATCACAAAGGTGGTCAATGATGTTGACGATTTGAATTTTCACGTGCTCGTCTAGTTCGATTTCAGTGAGACTTTTTTGAGCAGAAGCTGGAATCCGTATTACAAAAACTAAGACTAGGAATAATTTAATTTATTAATTTAATTTAATTTATTAAGAAAAAACAGTAAACATACCAGGTACGTAAACAGGACTAAACGCAGATGGATGGATCAAATTTAAAATCGCTTCCAATTCTGAGTCTTCGAAAAGACCGATAACTAGTAGTGAGTCGAACAATTTCAGAAGAGGCCTGAACAGATGGAACAAATCGCCCATCACAAGTGTTGAGTATTTTGACAGACAATTATATCTCTTTATACTATAAAATGGTAGACACCAAGCCTGATATTAGAACGGAGAAAACTCGTCCACGGGCGTCATGAAGGCGAAAACTCGGACCCATATTGGTAACATACAATACAATACAATACAATACAATAGTACCATACAGTTGTGACTTACTCGAAATGATTTCTATTGTTTCCGCCGATGAGATCGCGACAGTTCATCACTGCATGTCGTGTCGCGCTCTCCATTGCGTTCATCACATGCGCCTTTAGAGCATCGAAATTAACGGCTGGTGGCAGTAACTTCATCTCCTCTTCTTGCGTAAAACTAAAGTTTTTTTTTGAGAACTAATATGGAAAAATGTTACACAATACAAAACGAATTTTTTGGCACTGTTATAATACAGCAGCTAGTAATATATTACACAATAATCTATTAAGGAAAAGAAATCCGGTATTAACACTCCCACGACAAGTGACCTCTAGAGATGTCATAATTATGTTGCGCGAGTACCTGGTATAATATCTATAGGCCCCATTTTCTTCAGGTAGTTTAGTTTGGTGCACGGAAAGTTTTTCCTATACTTCTTGTAATCGATCGATATCTTATCCAACGCAAATGCTTTGGCAGGAATCGTCCATAAGCGATCTGTAAGTGTCACACGGCCATTCCGGTAATTTTTATGCTACCCTGCTCTTTTGTCGTGATTTCAGTCCTACAAATCGGTTTTCCTCAGCGTTTTGAAACAGTTTTTGCGCCTCTTTTCTCGGTATGTTCAACGTTCTTCTATACATTCTCCCATGTTTTTATGAAGAAAGAGCGTTCCGTGTGTGTGAACAATACTTGATACTTACTCGGTACTTGAATGACCCGTCCTCATTGGTTGTGCGGGTACCAGCATAAGAAATTTGCTAGTTAAGCCATTTTGGTTTCCTGGAATCTCGACGTCAGCCTGGCGAAAGTCTGACCCCAGCTCTTCATCACCACAGGCAGTTGAAGCCCTTGTGGATCAGAAAGAGCTTTTCCACCATGCGACTTTGATACCAGGTCAGTGGCCGATCTTGGTATTGATATACTCTTAACTAGGCACCTGATGGAAACGCCGGACTCCATCTCAGCTTGGAGATCCTGCCAGGTGATGAATCTACCGCTGTACATCGCAGTCCGACATCCAGAGACACCTCCCAACCACGATGAGGCGGTAAACCTTTGGGAGGGTGTGTGAACAATAACATCTACAAGTGTCACGATGAGTAGAGCGAAAAATTAGGGGTAATCTACTCCGCAAAAACGCGAAGTCGAACGTCGTTGCAAGTGTTAATAGCAGATCTCTATGATTCCGCAATCAAATATAAAAAGGTTTATAACCATAATCCTATTGAGTTGATGTACTACTGAGAAATTAGACTTGTATGTACTGAATACGTTTTCACTCCAAAATGATTCCTTTAGTCATTTTATCGGCTTTTGGAAATGTTTATACATTGAAGGACAAATGAAAGTCGATGTCAACATTTAGCACGGATGTGTACGAAGCGATTTTTGCTTGTCAAGAAAAAAAGCTAGCAAGGTAAAAAAAAAACTTCTACAACGTTAAAGCGCATTTTTAAAAAAAGCACTTCAACACGATTAGAGCCTAGAATCCCAAGAAACTCCACCGCATTGACTTCCGCCACTAAAATATTCTTCTTAAAGGGTTATTTAAAGCAAGCGTACAACTTCTACCCCATCAGGACAGTTCCATAGCTCTCCTACTCCTAATAATTAAGTGACGCATGCTTCACTGTTTGAAGCCTTACGATCTGTCAATAACTGAATAAAAATTGCAATAAAAATTTCTACTTTGGGCGGTTGCTGCCTTTCCTTTTTGCAAATAAATGGTTTAGATACATTCTTGCATTCGATTCGTCCCGTCACATCCATCATCCACGAAGGTCTTCATACTTCTCACTTCTGCGTTTGACTGCTGCTTGAGGATTGTGATTTTCTTAATGAATCCCGCTGAACGCTGCTTGATTCGATTCTCCATAGAGCTCTAAGATAGCATGGCTGGACCGTTTCTACTTGGATTGCAAGGAGTGAACTGTTCTGGTACCAATTTTCCGACTCTGGTTGGATGACAGGCTTGTTCAGAACGAAGCGGGTCCAACTAGAACCGGGGTCCTGAAGGGCAGCACCACTACCACTGCACTACCCGTTACTCAAGAGGATCATTTAGTGGAAATATAGAATGATTAGTCTCTAAAGCCTTAACAGCAGCTTTTGTTTGTGAGTTTTCACTTCGTTGTCGCTAAGCATTGTAATAAAAATGAAATAATAACCAACTGGAAAAATAATGTGGGCAAAGAAAATATGAAGAAAATCTTATTGGTTGCACGGAACGGTCGATGCACAGTCAGTACCACCACCTTGTCATCGCATCCTATTGATAAAAGAACTTTATTAAAATCACTTACTTTGTTCGTACCGGTTCAGCAACCATCACGGGTAACATCGAATAAGTCTCACCCATGATCTGTGGATATCTGCAAATGACACAGATTGGCGAACGTTTGTACACATCGTGGGTGCTACGAAATCTCTTATGTTCTCCTCTGCTTCTAGTTATAAAACTACTCGTATACTACTCATCGTACTTCCTTGTTTCGAAATGACACGTAGAGAACGTAAACGATTCCCGATTTGACGCGAAAGACATTCCCTGTTAAACAAGGCAGTGTCTTCGTTAAATCACCTGCTCGTCAGATGAAATTCAAGCTCAAATGATCCGCATTCTACTTTCAAAGTGCTTTTTAAACTTAAAAAGCAATCCAGTTTTTAACCAAATTTTAGGGAAGAGTGGTTTATTAGCATAGTGTATGGATGAAATTCTATTCGACCCCGAGAAACAATAGTGAACCCAAGCACATCATTAAGAGCACTAAAAGCTAAAGGCGTCATTATCGTTAGTACTACTAACATTATTACTACCAAAAACACAAGCATATGAAGGCAGAAAGAGCGAAATGATGTTGTCGTATCGAACTACTTACCTATTTTCGCTATCTGGATCGAATACATTCTGATTCCGAAGTTGATCACACAACGGAATCACGTATTCCTTGCTCATCGACTGTCTTGCACTTGCGTGAGTTTGTAGATGAATCGCGATCAACAGGTCGTGGTATCCTTGACGCATCGGGCCGGACAGGTCTGGAAAATGTCTACCATTACGTCTTAAAAAGTACTAAATAGTTGATGGTAAATCTGGAGATAACACGATTCAGCTAGGAAATTACCGCAAAATAGTGCTTGTAAACGGCGCAACGATATCACAAAAATATTCTTGCTATAAGAAGAAAAACAAACATACAATGACTTTTTACAGCATACATAATCTGATCCTCATCCACATGACGGCACAGAATATGTGCAACCTGAATCGAAACATCTAAAGAGCATAAAGGCCATAAGGTGGTTGTAAAGCAAAATTAACATGGCACAGATTTTTGAAATCGTTCAATCTTTCCCTCGGCTTTTTATAAATATTAGAAGGAGAAAGCGTGGGGTGTTTATAATCCCCTTAGAGATATCCTATGCATCCCACTCCATTCGTAATACTATAGAAATGATTGAATGCGTTTTTAGCGAATACAACTTGTGGGAACCAGATGATATATCAAGACATCTTTTTAACCTGCTGCACAGGTCTGGTGGCTACTTGGCATCCCCACCTAGGTGGGGGCCCGGTGAACCTTAGTGAACTCAGGGCACGTTTTCGAACCAACGACCACCACGTTAGCATTGCAAAACACCATTAACGCTGCGCTGTACTCGTCTCTTTTTTCTAATATGCTTTATATATGTTTTTGTAAGACGATTATATATATTTTAAAAGGTTTTAGTACGAGAGTTTTTTGGTGACAACAGCAACCATACCTTCTGATTACCATGACTTGCCAATTTACAGTAGAGGTTGAGCGTTTGACGATGGAAATCGAGAAAAATCGGTTTCTCTATCATTTCCAGAATATCGAACGATTCGTCTTTTTCGGGTACATAGATAGTCATAATACGCACTGGATCATCACACAAAACTGACCATCCTAGAAAAAAGAACATCTACAGTGCAAAGATAAACAGCATCCACATTGAAGTGGTAACGGACAGGTATAAAAAAAAAAGTCCCGTGCTTTCCCTAGCACGAAAAGGAAATGGTAACCAGTTTATGAAGGTGAGAACGACAATCGTCAGGAAAACTGTGTTTGTGTTTTCATTTCATTAGGAAATGTCAGCTCATAGGTTCGAACAGAACTTTCCGGTTCATTTTAACAAACTACACATTAGTCGCTTCCCATTCAAAACGAAAAAAGTGAAAGGTCTTAAAACTGAAAATTTTATTGTTGTCTATCTGAACTTGTCTATCTGAAAGGGAACCATGGTGCATGGTGGAACCACAGACCGAGTAACTAAAAGCTTTATTAGTTCCCGCTCGAGTAAGTCGATATTAATAGGACCACAGCCAAATGTCTTGAAGACCTCTTAATAAGTAAGCATAGAATTTCAAATATAGATAGGAATATCCGCCTTAGTAATATCATATTACTAGGCAAGACAATGACCTACCACGAATATCACTGAGCTTTAATGCTGTCGTGCGAAGACTTTCATTGGGTACTCGTGCCCAATAGACCGGTTCAATGCATTGAACAGTGAGCCTTGGAGGACAGAACGACACCAGTGACTTCTCACACGATTTGAACATCGCTGCCGAGATTGGATATGTGTACTGGAACGAATAGGTCGAAAATAGCTGGATTAGATAAAGAAAAATGAAAAACGTGATCTTTTGGACCCATTAACATACCTTAATTCTTCCCAGTTCAAACTGAAGAATTTCCGTAGTGGTCGGCGTAAAGAATGCTGCAGGAAACAACATCGCCCCTGGTTCCAACTAAATGCTCGAATCGTTTCAAAACGATGGAATACAATTAGTTCCCTTTCATTTTCGTCGACAACTTAAGTCTCATAACCCATATTTTTAAAAGTAACAAATTAACAGCGAACAATCTTCCCTAAACCAGAGTTCAACACTTAGAATTGCTAACGTGCAGAAAAAAAAGATGAAGAATAGGTCCATGACAAACTCTTGATACTGATGAATCTAAAACTGAACCTATAACCAACAAGGTTTTTACAAATCAAATGTTTAAAAAACACTTTAAGAAGGCCCGCACCTTGAATTTTACACCAGTATCCTGACCAGCAGCTTGGAAGGAAAGTTCTCCGACTGATGTATCCACGATGCATCCGATTAGGGTGCCAGAAACCTGGAGCACGTGATATTCTGGCAAGAAAGGAAGTTGAGCAGTTGTCTTCAAAATGTCTAAGTTCCAACAATGTCTAAGTTCTACCCTAATGACGGAGTTCTTTTGTTTTATTACGCTACATAACCTGACATCAAGTCCATCAAACTCTGTGGCGCATCAACATGGATTAGAGTCAGTAGGCTTGTCTCAGACAAGCCTGATATCAGTTTCCTGATTATAACTGGATGAGAGGCTCGGTGAACTCGGTCGAGCCAAAGCATGGAGGACAGGAAGTTGAAGAATCCGCGAAATGTACAGATCATTACCACATCACCACTGTGCTTGCCGATGTTAATACTTTTCTCACAAAGGTCTTGGAAAAATTTGATGCTCATGAACTCCTTAGGGAAAGTAGAACCCCGTAAACTGACCATACATGCAACGAAAACAAACGAAATATTTTGTTGTTGCCTGCTGGAGTCAGCCAGCGGTCAGCCGAGTGGGTGAGTATCATAAGCCACAAAAGCCCGAATAGCTTTGTACAGACAACGGCTTTGAATCCACAGTTCGCGAACGAACTTATAGTCCCATTCGTTATTATCTCGATCAAATCCTGGAACTATTATATCGAAGAAAAGAACAAATACCAGAATCACCTTGGTGTTCGTGGCATCTGGAACATGTGACAGTAATTCAGCAGCGTTCATCATATAACTGTTTCGATATTCGACACTAAACAGACATTAAACAGTTAGTAATATAATACTTAACAATTTTTCAACAGGTGTTGATTATAATGAAAATTGTCCAATCTATCAATGTTCTGGTCAACCTAACAGATTGTGTAGAAAAAAAACCGTTGAAGGCCTCAGCTTAACTGGGTTCTCCCCAGATCAATCCCGTTTACGGGTGATTGCTGATGGCACTCATCGATAGAACTAGTTGAGAGACAAGCGAAACGAAGGACCCGCATGGTGTGGTGGTGAATGTGTTAGCCCTTGAAAAGGGTAATAGCGCGTTCGTACCTCACCGCAGACACCTGTGGTCCGGAGTTTTGCAAATATCTCAGCATCGTTGTAAACATACCTTTACTCTCTTGAAAACTTGTTCTTCTATTACGGAAAAAATTATTGTTTAGAAAATAAGGTTCCCAAGAATCCTTGCTGGTATGATAGTAATAACGTATACCATTTTTTAAAAAACTGATCCATACATGATCAAATGTAATAAATAATGGATGGGTAATTCAAGAAACACTGACTTTTCAGTGTTTCTTTGCTGATTGCCTTCGACAAATACGCATCTCCGTTCGACGTTTTCCTTCTCAAATGACGGCGAGTAGAAATGGTACTGTGTAGTTACCCATCCCACCCATACTTGGCTAGGATCCTGACCGGGAAAAATCCGTATGCCATAGTAGTATTCGTCTACCTAAAATCAGCCTTCCTATGGTTCAAGAGTAAATGTAGGATGGCTACCGAAAAAATCATGACAGCTCCCAATTTCTTACAGATGAACGATTACTTTGTCGTTTTCTCCTATATTCAAAGAATCTGTTTTCTCAGCACCTACTGTATAGATTCGAAACCTCTACCCACCACGAAAAGTTTTTAAAAATGTATGGTGGTCATGTTACCTAAGGCTTAGGTTTAAGCTTAGGCTTAGAATTAACACCTGTAGCACCTGTAGTAATTATGACTTAACTTAAGGATTATAAGAGAGGAAAATAATGGGACAATAAGCCAACAGTAACAAAATAGAAAGTTGTAATAAAGTTAAAAACGAAGTCATACAGCTCTTCTAGTTGAGCATTACTCGTTGGAGGCCTTTACTGGAAATTAGCTAGTACTATAGCATTTGAAAGATTAATCGAATCTTCAAAATCGAAATCTAAAATTGAGAAGATTAAGCTAAAGAATGCTCAATATTGAAGCCGATCAAATTTTCTGCAATCTGACTGCCATTTCTTCCGAATATTACTGTCGTCAAATTTTAGAAACATGAAAATGAAGAATTCATCATGTCATAGCTAGAACTGTCCAGCTTAAAGTTTTTCCAGTGGATTCGATTCTTGAAAAGAACGCCATTGATGAAAAGCATATCCAGTAGTATGAACGCGACATCAAAGAGTTCTTGGTAAGAAGAAGACTTATGTGAGATCTTTGTGAAAGCCCCACATAGTCAATAACGGTGGTCAAAGTATAAATATCAAAGACATTTAAAATAGTAGACAATGAGGATAAGAAAGATGAAATGATCATTCGAAAATTCTGCGATCATTATGGTTACGAGTCCACCAGAAAATTCTCTCATTGAAAAGTCATGGGACCTAATCAGATATCGTTTAAGGAAAATCTTACGAAGACCAGTAAAAAACGATGAACATAAGAATAGACTTTTCAAAATGCCTCGCTTAAGAATCTCCAGTGCACATCACATAGCAGGTGGCTGTATAAAAGCAACAGCAATAATAATGATAGTAGAGGATAGATAGACTAAATCATACTAAAAAGAAGTTGTAGACACTAAGAGACTAATTTCAATGAACAACAGTTTAAAACGAACTGGTCAACGTGTCTGTCTTCAGTTTGGACTATCTGAATGTGTAGTTTCTATTCTTTCAAAGCGATCTACTCAAAATAATGAATGGGTAGAACATGCGCACCTAGATTCTGTAAGCATCACGCAGCTGATTAGTTCTTATCAAGGCAGATATCTTTTCCGTTACCTTATCACCATGTTGCGCCATAGCATCTATATCGAGTTCATGTTGTGCGTCTGGCGTAATGTCGATCGGAACTTGTGAACCGCGTTTTTCCATTGACACGACTGGTTCCTGAAAGCAAAACATTACGGTGCAGGCAAATTGTCGATTTTAATGTTTCATACAGAAACAAAAAAAAGCAGGAAGATAATGACGTTGTAGTTTTCCTAAAATTTGGATGGCCCAACACTGATTTTTTGAATATCAACCTTGCAATGAAACGAAAAGTTCTGAAATAAATAGATAACTTTATCGAGGCCCCTGGTGTTGATCAAACACTGAGGAGATAAATCGACATCAAGGAGGTGGTAAGTGCATATTTTGCCCACTAACATGTGCCTTGTGTTGGCCTACCGATGCATCAAGTTAGTGTGACAATCCACTCAGGAAAGTATGGTTGCGATTTCCCCCTACCCTATCCCCCAAAGGGATGGAGAGCTTCAGTAGCTCGATCAGCATGATCGGACTTAGGGCCATTTGTGCACTGCAAAGCTCTTCTAACCAACACGCTACACGCGCCTTTCAGTTAAAGCAGTTTGACCGTTATATAAATTTAAAAATAAATTTGAACGAAGAATACCTTCTTCTTCTTCTTCTTCATTGACGATCTTCGTACTGTTAGTTGCCGCCCAGGACCAGATGATGGCATATCGTTAGCAGCTAGAAACGAATACGTAGGAAAATCTATTGAACTTATGCATATCTGTTTATGAATTCCATTTCTTACTTAACTAGTAACTTCTTTGCATTCCTAAATGCTGTTAATACTATTGTACAAAATCCTTTAGAAGTGCAGAGAACGCTTGAATGAAATGGAGCAGTTTAATGTTCAATGACAAATGACAGCAATTTTAGTAATCATCAACCTATAAATAGAATATTTAAATTTGGAATAAAACTTTTGTAGTTCCCATTTTCGATTAAACTTAACATTTTTAACCCACACACGACGACGTGACCTCCACAGGAGCCAGAGTACGAAAATAATAGCTGCTTCCAACTTCAAACTGACATATCTTAGCATAGACTCAATTTTCTTAAGTACAATAAGAACCAATACTTTCTGCAAATCTTCCCTACGGATGCGAAATATTTTATTCTAGCAAGATGAAATTGTGATTTTTCGGAACCCAGGAAACGTAACTACAATGATGTCGAGATATTTGCAAAACTCCGAACCGCCGATGTCTTGCCGCAGGGATGGAACCCCATTATCACCTTTTCCGTGGGCTAACATGTTCATCACGACCCAATGCGTGCCCTAGATTTTTTCTCTGAACTTTTGCGTCAGTGCTTTCCGAACTCAAAAGGAAATGAACAAATGGGATTCTACCCAGTAGCACATGATGATGTTCCCCAATCCATGGTTTACGTTTGAAGCTGGCGTTCTTTCGATGGAGATTTCACAAACTTAAATTTCTTTTCCAATTTTTCGAAAGGTTAATTCTGAAGTCGTGCAACATTGAAAGGTCGCACAGAAAGTAAGATGATAAAACAAGATTTTTATTATTTTGTAAGATCTTAAAGCCCACTCCACCACTGCTTTATTAATGGAAGAAACAACGGGGGAAAGCCAGGCATGCCGCAAATGTGTTAAAAAGTGGAAGAAAACTATGAGTTATGTTCCAAATATATTCATAACAGATAACAAAAAAATTGATCGAGCACCAAGTTTAATTTTCTATTTACTGTCTAGTATTCTCACGCCAGCGCAAATGGGTTCAATACTGATTTGTGTTGCCCCGAACGTTCCCAATGACGAATGCTTGCTTGCTGACGGCATCGTTAAGGTAAAAAACAAGCCGAGAGAACGGCAAATAAAGGACCTCAGCGGTGCAGTGGGTAGTAGGTAACATGTGAGTCCCTGGAAAGGGTGATGGGAAGCTCGAATCTGACCTTGTGGTCCAAATTTTGCAAATACCTCAGCACTATTACGGTTGAACGAACATCTTCGATGTAATGCAAAAAAGTCTTATCGATTATTTCTATTTGTAATCACACTCATAGTAATCTTTAACAAAAGCAACAATATTAACTTTTTTATTTACTGCCTTTTTTTTCTTCTTAATGGCAGGCATAAGACATAAGATCGATAGAACTAGCTGAGAGACAGGCAAAGCGAAAGACCCGGATGGTGTGGTGGTGAAGTGCGCTGCTCCCCGGTAAGGACAACAGCACGTGTTCGTTCCCCACCCCATACACCTGCAGTCCGGAGTTTTGCAAATATCTCAGCATTGCATACGAGCAACAATATTGTTGTAATAAGCGCAATCGTGGAATTATTGGCAAAACTCAGAAGTTTGTTCCTCATAAAGCATGTGAGAGGAAATATGGTCACAAAGTCCGTCTTAGTAACAAAAGGCGTTCTCAAAAATTTACATAATCAACTTAAAGAGTATTTATGGTATTTGGCTCTAAGTAAACAGGTAAATAATAGGATAATTCACCTAGAACGTCTTTTTGTCCGGTTGGTATACTATCTGAAGCATCGACAGAGCTCGTGTCAACCGATCGCCATTTCGTCTTCGGACCAACTAGACGAGTTGACTTTTCGTCTTTTCCTTTACCATCCCTGACAAAAAGTCGGTTGAAAGAGAGAAAAAACCCTTGTCTACTCACTTTTTGACATCACTAAAAACGAGTAGATCAAAACTTTGAACTCGGATAATCGATAATTTACATAACAACTGACCAAATTGGCGATATTGACCATACAAAAATTTTTTTCCTAAAAACGAAATTAATGAAAAAAATTTTAAAAATCTCGATTGGAATTGAGCAGGAGGTAGTAGACCTTACATGAGTTACGTAAGTTTTCCATGAGTTTCCCAGGCAAAAGACTAATATGCCAAAGTGAAAGGTTGAGGTGATTTATAAAACATTGAAACAGTTTTAGACATACAAAAAAGGTTGTAGAAGACAAATGGAGGAAGATAAAATCAGACCTTAATCCATAAAGTAAAGTCAACACGAGTAACGGTCAGAAAGTTTTGCTCAAATAACCCTTCCATTTATATCCTAAGTCGTACATTAGTGGGTGGAAACCAAACCAAGCTATCCTTTTTGTGATTTTTTTTTAGTAAATTTCAGTACAAATAACTAGGGCTGTAAAAATTCAGCTACGGAGCTACACTGACTTCCTGCGCGATCCGCTGGAGTCACGGAGCCGACTCAACAGTCCGCCACCTTTTTTTGGTGGTTTTTCACGATCGGCTATCTCTTTCAGATGTTCTTCAGCGTTATGTCGATCCTCTTGTGAGAAATCGTTCAGTGATCCCCTTAAATGTAAACTGGTTAGTTATAGTTTTGTATGTAGTTGTTGTATTAATGTTTTTAACATGCAAGCGTACCACAAGAAAGCAAATGAAATTTACGGATACAAGTCGAAAAGCCTACACTTTGAAGAGTTAAACATAACCCCTTTGGCTGTAAGATAACGAAAAGAAAGAAAAAAGATACTGGCTCATCCAGAAAATGCGGAGATGCACCACAAGAGCATCTACGTAAGAAAGGTTTTTTTCCTACGATTTGTGGAAACAGGAGCTCGGATAAAAACTCCAGAGTTGTATTAAAGTCATATTAAATTCGTCGATCATCATTAATGATAAGAATAAATCTCCTTGTTATAAAAATGCACGTGTAGAATTCATCTTGTTCTTTTCGTTTGCGCTTTTTTCAAAGTACTTCATACTATATGCTGAATGCGTCGTTTTCTTGTTCAACAACCGCGAGGTTGTTCTACAGTATACGTTTACATCGGTACAAAAAAACATGCAATAGAACGAAAGCTGACGTTTCGGTACTATCGTTTTCTTCAGAACCTGGAAGGGTACATTGATAGACAATTTACTACGCCAGACGCCTCAATAACACACACACACACACACAGAAAAATGTAGGTCTAAATGGCAACCACATGGTCAACGGTTCCTCGAGCTTTTCAGGCTTTTTTCGAAAAACTGTTGACCATATGATTGCCATTTAGATTTTTGCCTTTCTGTGTGTGTTATTGAGGCGTTCGGCGTAGTAAAGTTCCTATCAATATACCCTTCCAGGCTCTGAAGAAGGCTATACTACCGAAACGTCAGTTACTGCTGTGTTGTTTGCGGTTTTGGATAGAAGTAAACGCATGCTGTATAGCAACCTCGTGATTGCTGAATAAGAAAACGACGCATTTGCTCCACTGCTGAAGTTAAGAAAAAGTCGATCCTGGGAACTATACGCTGAATAATCTTCAACTATTCAAGATCTATGGTGTTATAGAATTCATGCATAAAATCAATTTTTCTTCCTGTAAGAGTATAGCAGTGCAGATGTACGGTAAATCAAGAGAACTTCATGCATTATACACAACACACCTGCTCGCACGAGCATCGCTGATGATAAATCACATCACAACACGGTACAATCGTCTCCAAACACATTGAACCTGATCGTATCCAGCCATGTGTTTGATTCTTCACCGTCCATTCGAAGCCAAGTAAGTACGGATTCATCGAACGAATACAGCCCGTAGTTCATCAACGTCATCACTCTACGACGTTGACTGAACGGCGCTTACTGATTCGCGCTTATCTTATATTAGTATAATAAACGAAGAAAAATCAAAATGAACATTAGCTAAGAAACATGGATGAGGTTTTTTCTTACACAAAGACACATATTTACTACTGGAAATACTTGATAACCTACTAGTTAATCATCTAATCGCTATGATATATGCGATTACACAGCGATAGGTAGAACAAGCTATACAACAACTCTGTCCTTTTCCAATGGAATAGGAATGGAGCCAGAAGGAAGTTCATTTTCAGAGCACCTCATAAAGCTTTTACTTGAAGAAGAAATCTAGGAAAATCACTAAATGAGGATTTTCTTTGAGACGTGTTTCAAGTGAAAATTGAAAAAAAAACTTAATTAAAGAATGACAAAAACTTGGGTGATAAAACAAGAAGTTTAGTAAAGTAAAATGGGCATAGTAAAGCTATGCCATAAAAATTGCTACGTAAACCTAAAATCTCAAATAAAACAGTGCTTCACGTTTTCCCTTTGCTATGGACGTTTAAAAGTAATTTCATATGAAGCAGTATTATGAATATCTATTTATGAACATGATTTCCCTAGTGTTATAGGATGGTAGCGATCAAGAACCCAACAACAAAACTGCTGCACTTCTATGAGGTTTGGACAATGGGACTACGGTAGCGAATTTAGGCACACATATTGGTTGGGACTTTTGGGACATCGTGTTAACGACGGTGTTCAGCACCCCTCATCCATATTGTTTGTTATCGGTTAGTTGTTAACATCGGAGATTCACATCCAACACTCGAAAGAGAAACGAAAGAACACCATGCTTCTATTAGAAATCTTTGCTAACAGTATTATCACCTCAATGCTAGTTGTTCGTTGTCATGATCACCATCATATGAGGGCTGCTTTGACCGATTCGAAGTGACTTCATCAGATTCCCGTGAACTTTTCACGCCAAGTAGAGCACTAAGTGGCTGCTTCTGAATAATCTGTTTAAGAAAAGAAAAAATATGCAATAGGAGGAATTTGTTTATAATGAATCGAATTTGGAAAGCAGCACAATTTTTTCAAATTAAGTGATCAAGCAATTTTCCTGCTGATAGATTGGATTTCTTGCAGTTTCTGAAGAAAGCAATAATGGTGAGGAACGGAAATAGAAATAAAGACAAAACTTTAAGTTTTTGCATAAAGTTCGGATTCTCGACCACCTGAATTTTGTTTCATAAGATTCAGCTTCTTCGGATGAAGCTGACATAGTACTTGAATAAGAAAGTTTCTGAATATCTGAAAAAATAGTGAGGAGCACTATTCTTTTCATATGTAGCTGACTTTTCGCTCCTTAGTATCCTGGAACTCTTGAGGTATAGTAGGTGCTCGGATTTGGGACACCACAGACTGATTTCTGGGCTTGAACTCGGTCAACAATTTTCGTATGGCATCCTTATCCCTAAAAGTTTTCATTTTCTATAATCTCTTAACAAAGTACTTCATTTCCAACCCAATGAAAAGTACAATTAAATATGACAGATAGAGCCCAAATCGATATATCGACTGCTCAACAGGGCTTACTTGTTCCTCACAAAAGAATCATTGCATTTTACTGGTAATGAAAGGCGAATGTACTCCATCGTCGCTTTTTCAGACGGACCACTTTCAGCAAGCGTTGCCTAAATGACATTTGGTGATGACACCCAGCAGTTTCCAACCACAACGTTTAACTCTTATTTACTACTTATCTTTTTTCATGGCAGGGTACTATGCGAAATACAACCACAAAATGGTTCCGAGTTGTTCTCATACCAGCATCTTTGTGTTACATAAAAATTCTTATCCATCGCTACCATTAACGAATTGTGGTCCTCTTCTTATTTCATTACTGAGACATTACCAACCATTTACGAAAGCACGTGTTCCAACAGCCTCGTTTTCAAAAGAAACCTCTGTTTTCTTTTACCACCGAAAAATTTACTGCATCCTAAATCCGTCGTTAGGCTCCTACATGTCCGAAATCAATGTAAACAAATATCACTGGCTTATTCCATTCTTTCAAGACGTCGGATTAAGCGGATCCCTTACAACACGTCTAACAAAATGCGAAGAAAAGTACAACAATTTATCAATTTTGTCGGAACGGAACGATTACTTGACCAGTCGCAAATCACCTTAACAAGATCACGAAGAAGATCCACATTCATTTAAATAATTACTGGTAGTGAAGCCACTCGGTTTCGGACATGGTGCTGGTGCAACTTTGTCCCGGGCCCGTCAAGCATCTCATTCCTCCAGGGTCGAGAAATTGGCAACGGACATATCTGGAATCAACTCAGTTCCTTCAGTTAACGTGGAAACGCTCTAGCGACGTTATTCTAGAACACTCGGAAGAATCCGCTCGATAAATATTCAACGCTATTCGTGATGAAGACGAAATAATCCTCATGTGGCAGTCGAGGCCGGGTACAAAAGAAAGGTCGAAGAGCTTCATAGATGGTGGACGTGAGAAAACAAACCGAATTAAAAAAGCATTAGGATGCCGACAGTAGATGCGAAGACGACTCAAATAAAAAGATTCAACTCAAAATCACTGCAAGGTGGCTTAAATGATAACGTTTTCGTAAAATTATACCATAGGACACGCCAAGGATCTTTTTCACTGCGTTTCTCAATAGGAAAGACACAACAGATACCGAGAAAAAAGCAGCTCTCCTCAAAACAGCTGTATTTCACTTCTGAACCGAACAACCAACCTTCTGAGTCAGTTTCAGGCACGGTGGACTGTTTCCAGTGGCAGGGATTCTGGATATTTCCAATAACGAACCGGCGCTGATGTCCTCGAAACGAGCAAGTTGTTTAGCAAACCACATCGGCATCGCTCGATACATATTTCTGAAAAGGAATTCCGTAATCTTATAGAAAGGAACATATAGAATATCCATTACCATTATAGGCGCAAAAGGAGTGTTGTTAAACCTCTTTCTAACAAGACTTGACCAGCGTGCATTGATCTCAATGCATGTGTCCCCGAAAATAATTGTGCCTTCTAACCATAAACGAGCATATTTCAACTCATTTCGAACATTCTCAAGTTAAATGTCAACTACTGCTGCGAATACATTAATATTTCCCAAAAATTTGAATCTCATTCTCAGCTTTATTTAGAGTTTGAATTCCAAAAAAATTCGAAGACGAAAGAACATCTTAGTAAAGCTGTCTATACTTTAAAGTCAGAAATCAAAGGTCTATAAAGTCCCAACTTCTTCGACTTCTTCAGTTATCGAAAAATTACCAGTAGTTACTGTAAAACTAGAGCCTTTCATCATGTGTTAAACGTCTTTATAGCACCAGCGAGTAATTTTTAAGTCTCTTTTCAAAACAAATTCTAGGTAGATGGCATATGGATAAAGTTTTACAAATTACAACATAGAGAAACTTTGACCTCAGCGTAAAAGCAAGTGCAAACGATCTGCCATAATGGCAATTTCAGGTGTTACATCGAAAATATGGCTCCATGCGCGATTTATGAGACAGCAATGTTCGCTTACACACAAAATGGTTCGTATCCTTCTTGGAGACCGCAGGTGGTGAAAAACTTCAACGAATTACTTTGCTGACCGAAATTGAGTCGACCTGTAAATAAGTCTATAGTTCAGTTTCAAATAGTAATTAGTGCATAAACACAATAATAAAAGCAGTGCAGTAATAGCACAACTAAATTTTAGACCGCTCATCAGATTCATTAAGATTTCTCGTCTCGTTTATGCTTTACTGTTTGCGAATCGTAGCGACGGTGAATATGAGTTTGGAACCAATAATGGACTGGTCACGGCTGTATAATTCGCAAAACTCGAGAAACTACGGTAAAGGCGAAAACGTGCTCAACTAACTACTATGTGTACGGTAAGTGGCTAAACACATTTCGTTATTCTCTATATTGATAATCATAGTAAAAATCGAATGTTCCACCTTTCTGTCCACTTCCTAACGACATCGCCGGTACTAAACCATCGCCACACGAAACGTTATCGAAAGCCATCTCAGAACCGGATGGATCCTACGAGGAGAACAGCTAGTGTTATAAACCAAAAAGCCTAGTACAAAAAAGAGCATTTAAACAGTAAGTTCAACAAGAGCAGTTTGTAAGAAATGGTTATTAATCCCGAGGCTACTGAAAGTAGGTGTGTCGAATCATTTAAACATGTCTTTATTCAAGTAATAAGATTTAAGCTGCATTATTACAAAGAAGAACCTCATTTCCACAACTTCGACCATATTCAGGAATGGGAAAAGGACCGAAAATCAAAAATTTCTATGGGAATGAAAGAACCATAACGAAAGCGTGGTAATGGGACAATCAGATCGACAAAATCCCTCTAAAGAAATACAACTTTAGAAGACTCACCAACAATAATTCTCCATTAAGGGAGAAACTAATGGTCCGGTCGTTCAGATCCAAAAAACATCCGACAACATCACCAATCTGTATGAATCATATAAGTACTTAGAACAATATTAAAACTAAACGACGATGTGATCTCTGTAGAAGTCAAAGAAATAAAATTATGGGCGCTTTCAACTTTAAACCAACATATTCACTGTTTTACTTGAATAGCAAACACAAGGTTGTTATTGCAGAATTTATTGGTATACAACAGCTGCCGTTTCAGCGGTTCCGCCATCTTCAGAGCTTGGAAAGGTTGAACTGACATGCTATGTACTCGGCCAAACACTTTCATAACCTCGACAAACAAAATATAATACACAGTTTTCATTCCCATCGTAAACAGCTTCTTTCAAACACTCACCGTTCTGTCGTTTTCTAGAAATTCAGTTTTTTGGTGGAGATCAGCCGAACAGAGTCTTACATGGGCGAGGAATGTGCTCGGCTCAGGTCAGCGAATCAGCCGTAGGTGCGCCGCGAGGTCACGGGTCCTACTTGGTCCTACTAGACAGTCCTACTTGCGGCTCGCTTTTGGACTTTTGGAATACAGTAGAATAAGTTGATAGTAATAATAATATGATAGGATAAATTACTAGCAATAAAATGAAACTAATTAATAATAATACGATGGAATAAGCCCCAAAAGTCCAAAAATAAACCGCAACGAGGGGCGTCAAGTGATCACGCGTGATCTCGCTCCATACCTCAGGCTGATTCTTTGAACTGAGCCGTGCACATTTCCAACCCATGTAAGACTCTGTGCCGCTGTTCTCCATCAATTTGGAAGGCACATAATGAATAAAACGGTGGATGCTTAAAATAAGCTGTTTATTATGCGAATGCAAATTTATGTATTAGATCTAATCTGCTGAGGCTATGAAAGTGTTTGGCTGAATACATCCTATGCCAATTTGACCTTTCCAGGCTCTGAGGAAGGCGAGATCCGCCGAAACGTCAGCTTGTTCTTGAAGAAAGAATAAAGTAGCACCTCGCGTTTGCTCAACAAGAATATAAGGAATTAAAAAAGATTGACTACCAGAAAAAATTAAAATATTAAAAGTAACAATCACCTTCCATTCTCTTCCGTAGACCTCAGCACCTTGATGCCATTTTCGACCCAAATAGCTGAAATTACTCGTACCACCCCTACAGTTTTTAAAAAGAAGGTTCAAATATTAGGTAGTTACTCCAACAACTTCTATGCTATTTTACTCCTAAATAACAGTTGTTCGAGAATTGTTCTCCTTTACATAACGGAAATGAGCGGATTGCGGAAAGCGTTCGGGAGAGGTTTCCTGCTGGCGGACGTTGAATTAATCAAAGGCGCGTTTAATTGTACTTTAAAAAAAGCTTGAAAATCGAACTACAAAAAATTTATCGATGCATACCCATCAAATGCGTATCCTCGATCATCATGTCCAAGCTGTACAGCTGGTGATGCCCCAACATCCATCCAACCTATTCGCATCAATCCAGCCGTCAAAATTTCAAACTCAAAGTACCTAAAGCTTTTTGTGTTTGCTCTTAAACTCTTTAACTACTTGATATAATACCTTAGCCCACCACAACGATAAGTAACCGCTACAACTCAGCTGTGAAATGTTGTTCTTGAGATTATTATTTAGTTATGTTATCAACTTATACTATTAGTTACGACAAGCTTTCCTCATAAGAAATCGGACAAAAATAATAAATAAGGTCAATAATTGTATTATAATAAGTGGATTAATAAAAATCACAATAATTATCTATCAATAAAGGGTTGATAAAAGTATTTTTACGGGGCCATGTTATGTTATGGCCTTATTTACTGGACCATGTTATGTTATGGAAACTCTCCTTTGGAAGTGGGAGATTGGCTTGGTGTGCTGACGTAGGTTTTTCTGGCTGCGTCTTGCCATTATAAAAGAAGCAAAAGATACGATCCACAGGAGAAATACATTAAAAGGAAATAAAAAAGATCATAGCACTTACCATTTGCCGCCGGTTACAGCATAAGTGGCCTCAGCTCGGTAGGTTCTTGTATGGTCTCTGCGAGCTCGCATTTCCTTCTCAGCCACTGAAAGAAAATCATTTTTCAAGTAAACTTTTCCACAAAACGAATACTTCTACCATCAAATTTATTGCAAACAAGCTTTCAGACAAGTTTTCAAAAGCGACTAATAAATCCCTCAATGCAATTTTCATTTCATAGGGAGGAATTGAAGGCTGTGTGACTATTGGGATATTTGCGCTTGATATCATGGGAATAATAACTACAGTGTAGCTGTTTATTCTCTCGATTCATCGGGTTGATGAACATCACAAGCCGATTCCACGGAATAAGTGAATTCCAAAAATCGGTGACTTTGATGTGTTCGTCGACGATTTCAACACTGAAGTTGAAAAGGGGTTATTCATGCCAGACACATGGAGTACAAACTTCTAAGTCAGCCTTTACTATTCGCCTATTCATAAAAACCAGAAATACTTCCTCACTCTCATCATGTTCATGTGCTGGCGCTTCAATGAACACGCCGAACAGCTGCAATGCTCGAAGATTCTCGGCAGCCGATTCCTAAAACACTTGGTCGATGAAAACTGATTACATATCGATCGAAAATTCTCAGCAGCTGATTCATAAAACGATATCGATTTTTTCAAAGAGTCATTGATTATCAACTCTTGAAGAACGTCAACGATAGAGTCTGACAAGAAATTGGAACGTTTCAAAGAAGAAATGAAATGATATCTCCACAATCATATCATTAGGTTAAGGTAATTGTGAGTTTACCAAATGGCAGAGAAACCTGTTAAGAATTGGTGACAAGAACGAAAAAATAAACAGCTTACCCTATTCGCTTCTTTTATTCTATTATCCACTTCCTCATACGGAACAAGATGTGGCGATCGTTTTTGTGTTGAATCCACAAACTTAAAGAAGAGATTAAAAAGTATTGGATGTAAGATTTACAGCGAAAAGTTTCTAAATCAAACTCTAAAACTTCCAACGAAGCTTCTTTATATATTCAAAAAAGGCATCAAAGAAGTAAACTGCGAAAGAAGTTGACACAGAGTTTATCGTTATGGTACCTCACTAAGCCCGAATGTCCATCCTCTTTTGATTTTCTCTCTAGCCCATACATTGTGCGTATTTTTTGCCAACGCTTCAACTAATGGATTCAATTCATCCGGGAGTGTGATCTCATGTGTATCCAATGGTTGTGGACGATAACCATTTGATTGTTGGAAACTGAAAATGATTCAGCAACGAACTACAGTAATCTACAGCTGATTCGGAAGAGAACTATAGTAATCCACAACTGGCATATGTCGTCTATTGAATGACTAAGCTAAGTGTAACAGATTCGTTGACCTCGTATAAAGCTAAGAATTGACTATATTAACGAATACTTAGATCTTCACGTTATATTTTCCAAACAAATCCAAACATTGTTGGAAAAATTACAGGCCTGATAAAAAAGAAATTACATTATTGAGGACTCTAAACTAGTAATTTCAATCAGGGTTAATAATTTCAAACCCTCACTTTGCAACAAATTGTTTTTTCTTTCAGTTTCAGTTGAATTTAACCCAGCAATTTTAAACTCATAGGCACCGACTTTATAGGGCTGGAACTTATTTAGAACTGGACTGTATACTGAAGAATGGACTGTAGTTGCTTGTATAGACGATAGAATCAAACGCTACAAAATAATAAAGGAAAATAGAAAATATAAAAATAAATCAAATATTTAGTTGAAAATAAGTTGAATTGACTATAAAAGTTGTAAAATTAGATTGGTAAGACCAAAAGGAAAAAATGTTTGAGTGTGATAAATGGCTGGTCAAAACCTCAAAGTCACAGTTTCTGTCTTCTGTTTTACTTCTTCTGATCGATCGCTAAATTTTTACTAAAATGAAATGAAAGTTTATTCACCGGTGATTTTTTTAAAGCCTGCAAATTCTTTTTAAAAAAACCCAAGAAGATATAAATGATAATTCGAAAGCAGTTGAAGGCTGTTCTGCTCACTTTTGCGCCAGTCTTACAGGTCGAAGTCTTGTGGGCGGTTCATCGGTTATCAGATGATAACCGAGCGCTTCGATCGTCTTCAGGGTGTCAAGTGCTAAATTGATGTTGTACTGTTTCTCGGTGGTCGGTAAACGATCAAACGATGTTAGACACGGGTGTTTTCGCAGAGTTTCCGAACGAGTCTAAAAGGTAAAGCATAAAATTTCGATATTGGTCCAAAAAAAGACATACATCAATGAACTAATCACTAACATTTTCCAGAAAAAGATTCGCAGAAAAAGACAGTGCAAAGTGCAAAACTCGGTCTTCGAACACGTCATTACCCTCATGTGCTATCAACCACAAGCGAGATCCTTGTTTTGCTTTCCTCTCAGCGATTTTTTTTGCTCTGTCGGTCCTATCAGGAATCATCCGTCAACGGAATAAACGGGAATGGTCTTGCGAGCACTACTAATCGACATTCGTCATTGAACGCAGTCAAGGGTGGGGGAGGGGAGGGGGGGGGGCTGTCGAAATAACAATATTTGACTTTTATTCACTTTTAATTTGCTATTGATTCCCCTTATATCTTGGCATCCTTGCGGTTAGATTTTCTAGTAACGAATTGCCGTGATTAAGGAATAAGCAGTCAGTAAAAGTTGAAATCGCAAAAATCTTTGCGAAACTGTCTTTTAGCAATATTCCGTCAGATCGACACATTCTTTATGAAACTATTATGAAAGCAAGTTGAAAAAAAACAGAACTATATACTCAGATCAGTGCTTTATTCTTCATCTGCTGTCAAATCGATTGCTGTTCTGCTGATCAGAATTTTTATTAGATTGGAAGAAATCATCGAACTTTCCAAGATATTTGATGACTGAAGTGCCCATATTCAGGAATGATCGTACCTACCTACGACCTACAGCACAATTTCTACATAACCGATACGTCGCTTATTTGAGATTTTTTTCTTGGAGGACTCGAGTGAGTGCTTTTGATCTCGTCACAAAAAGTAGTTTACTCTTAGATGCACTACCAAGTTAAAATGCTGAATACGCGAGGTTTGATCCGAACTGAAGCGGTAAGTATCACCATACACATACTTTCACATCTAACTCATTTCAGCCACGACGGCACGATGGTCAATCATTGTAAAGATTGACTTGTATGATACGAGTTGTAATCACTAACTTCACCATAGCTCCATCCAAGTTCGATTTTACGCATTGCCCACAATTCGTGCAGATTTTCAGCAAATCTTGGATGAATGTCGTCAATAAGGTGGGGTAAAATCGTATCACTGAAAACATCTAAGTAAGTGAATGAATGACTAGCTCTTAGGACAAGAGCAACACAAGATCACTTTTACTCAGTTATGAATTTTAACAACTATTATGGTTAACTCTTAGCGGAAATTACCAGAAGTTTCCAAAAGTTGCAGAAAAGGGAACAAACTTAAAACGTCTAAAATAGGAGCATGAAATCCATACTTATTTCTGGGGATTTCAACACAAAAGTTGATCCCATAAAAATTTTAGCCAACAAATATAGTAAATTATAGACCAATTCAAAAGTAGTATTCGTACTAGAACCAGTACAACCACAAGAGAAAGAACAGAAGATTCAAAGAAGAACGAAATAATGGCCGCTAAAGAAAACTTGCTATTGCCAACACTTTATTCATTCGGACGCTCTTATGAACGAAAGAGAATGGCTGTATGTAAAGATAAAATATTGCAAGTTATTTTCACAATAGCTCTGGAAAAGGAAGCAGGAAAAAAGGCAAAATTCGCGTTATGAGTTATTTTAACTCATGTACGTTTATTACTGCGAACGAGTTTATCACGTCCATTGTGGACGAGTTCTTCTCTCTGCCCTTTCAATCTGTGAGCATTCGAAATTGACCAGTGTTTTATATGTCTGCCACAAAATTCATTCAAATTCAAAAGCACTAAAACAGCTGGCAGCGTTTTTGAGTCTTTTTTCACCCAACAACACTCATGATGTTTCCAAGACAAAAAACTCTCCTCCAACCTTATATCTACTGCCTGCGGTACAAACGGTTCTGTACTTGTGAACAGTGTGTGCGGACCGCAGTAAACATTCTTTGGCAGCTCTCCAAATGATAAACAATCCGTTATCTGAAAAATTTACCGTGCCATTTCACTCCAAATATAATTTCTGCACATCTTCCGTTTTATCAGAAAAATCCATTTTCATATGAGCTTATAGTGGAACAAGCATTCCTATTTCCTTACTGATAAGATTTAACCTGTAGCTCTCCACTAACGGCCTCTACAGTAGCTGAGAATCTAGGTGGTGGACCAAAACGTAAACGTCCTTGATCGCCACCAAAAATAAACCGACAGCTGAAAAGTTAAGAAATGCCTCAGGTGGACCAAAAATTAGACAGAAAAGTAGAGAAATGGTGGATCGAAAATCCAAAAATTGTAAAAATCAAAATTCAAATCATAATTGTTACTGCAGTGTGAAAAAACCGAAAATATCTTTTCTCAGCTCTTAGTAGAGATTCTCTTTCTATTCTGAGCCTAAAGGTAGAGGAAAAAGTGTACAGGAACAAAAAACAGCAACTGTTACCTGACTTTTGCACTCAGAGACATCACGGGAAAGAAATAACCGTCAACATTGAAATCTTTATAACTTGCACCAACATCACGTCCATTCACAGAAAACCTTAATTTTTATGTATGGAAAAACCTTTTTGACCTAGCAATGGTAAGAAGCCTGCAGTAATGCTCTGAAAAGAAAAGGAGTACGATATTTGGCTGGTGGGCACGACCCACAGCCTGGTAGAAAGGGACAGCAGAACCCAATAAAATACCGGTACTTACTTACTTGACACTTTAACGGCCGTTCATCACTCGTTTTGCACGCCCTAGCATAATCTCCATTTTTTGGAGATTTGCTGGTTAAGCCATTGTGGTTCCCTGGAATTCCGAGGTCAACCTAGCTAAATTCTGCTCCAGGTCTTCACCACCACAGACAGTCGCTGTCCTTGTGGATCAGAGGGAGATTTGCCACCATTCGACTAGTTTGGTACCAGGACGGTGGTGGATCCTGGAATTGGTTTACTCTTAGCTGGGCTTCCTGATGGAAACGCCCAACTTCTTCTCAGCTTAGGAGGCCCTGCTGAAGAGATGAATCCACCCCCATTGTACATCGCAGTCCGATATGCAAAAACACCTCCCAGCCACGATGAAACAGTAAACCGTTGGGAAGCAAAATACCAATAGAAATACAAAATCAAAGAATTTAAAAAAGCTAATCAAAAGTAAACAGAACCATTTCGAACACACTACTATGCTGTGCTATTCCCAAAAAATCCTTGTATGCTTTCACACCTGATCTCCGGTACAGTTAAATCCAAAGAACATCCCACAACGTCGCCTTTTTCGAGTAATCTGGGAGAGACAACTCGTCCTCTACCGGCGAAGTATACACAACGTCCATCGAAACCGTACGAGTAGAAATCGTCACCGACACCATTACATCCCCATCTGTAGTATGAGAAAATCTTATTTTTAGAGAAAACGAAATGCTCCGATAAAGTCAACATTTTTCAAACATATTTGTTGAAGAAAAATAAAATACTACCAGTAGCAAATAAATGAAGGAACGTACCTATCACCAGATCCCGGAAATGGCTTGAAACCGCTGCTGTTTGCCCATCCAACGCGGAGATACGGTGCCTTAAAAGTGGTCACAATTTTATTGCTGGATTACGTTACTAACATAAGTGAATGAAAGGCTAAAACAGCTCGCTAGATGCCAGTTCCAGTTCATGAGATAGGCGCTATCAGTTTTTAAAGGACCAACAGAACACAGCATGTTGTTTAACTTTTCATTTACTGCCTATTATTATTTTCATGGAAGAGTTTTAGCAGAAATGTAGCCACAACGATGCTGAGATAATTGGAAAACTCAGAACCCCATACCAGCAGCCTCGAATTCCACGATCACCCTTGCCGGGGGTAGCAAAATTCGTAAAGTAACGGCAAGATAAGCAAATTTTTTCTCCTCAGCACAGCTTTTGGCGACAGTTTCATGAATGAATTTTGCAATTGGCTTCACCTTTACTCAATTTCGTAGAATTTGTAAATGAAGAATTGTAAATAAAAATGAATCACACAGAAAAGTGAAATCGACGATATTGACTTCAAAATTCTTAGCATCACCGTCACAAAAAAAGACCAGAACTCATTGGACAGTCGAGATGCTTAGATTGGCCCAGCAAAAACAATACTGGTGTTGTGTCACTTTGAGTTACTCAGTGGTTTATAAAACTATAGACGATCTATTCACCGGTTAACCGGTCAATCATTCACTCAATAAATAGTTTTTCAATACAAGTACGTTCGTTCTACAAGTACGACGAAGTTGAACAAGGTGATGGAAATCGGAAATGAAAATGGGTATAATTTATTAGCTTCACACCTCTTTGGTCATTTGCTCGATATGTTCAACTTCGGCTTCGAAATACCATCGTCTGAACAACGCTGACGCTTCAACCACACCAACGAGTACGTTTGGCATCATACTAAAAATGAAAGCTACAATTAGATTTTATTAATAAATGGCTCAACAGTAACTGTATACGCTACCGTAATGCTAATGATTAAAGTTTACACCGCACTTTGCAGCATTCAGATCACCCACTACTGTTTCACACTTATCGCCCATTTTTTTATCAAACGCTTTCATACTGAGCTCCTCGCAACCTCTGCTGGTTTGTGCAAGACAATTTTCATGATAAAGATTATCATGTTTTTTTCGAATTTATACAAGTTCGATCCAAATTCAATTGTTAATCGCCATCGTACCTGCTCACATGATCTCTCATCGCTGTCTGTAACAGTAGATCCTTTCCGGGCAGCAAATATTCAGTGATAAGATTCTGACTACTCCTAACCGCCATACCGTTTCCTTCACAAAGTGATGACAATACGTCAAGAACCTTAACAAAGGTCAGAATACGGTATTGCTTCAAAGAGTTTTTTTAAGGCTATAAGAAGATATTCTCTAAAGTTTTATAAAGCTCTCTCAGTGTCTAGCCATGAAAACCGCTTTGTTCCTTGAGACCTTCATTTTTTTGTGATTTTCTAAACGACCGCTCACCTTAGGATCTCTTCCAACTTTTTCAAGAAGCGATATGACCGAGCGAATATGACATTCGTTGATCATGTTGAGAGCTTCTGGTGATTCAGTAAGCACGCAATATAAGACGTCCAGAATTCCTAAAAGAAGACTGTCTCGCTCGGTTTCCCATCGGAAACATCTGGGTATTTCTCTTCAATAAAGTTAAAAGTGAAATAAAAAAAAAACGAAGAAAGCCGATTTATAAGAGAAGAAAACTTAAAGCTAGTAATGTATGCTTTCCGTGGGGCCTATCGCAACTGTTGCAAGCGTAGGCTACCTGTGCACACGTGAGAAATAGGAGGTTAAACCACAGGAAGCATTCATTGTTTCTAGCCCAAGAAGTAGATAATTCAAGGGCTTCTAATGTCTGTTGCACCAAATTGATTCGGACAGGTCGTGTGTTCTGCTGAAACTCAGTTATCGAATGACGAGGAAGAGTAGCTCTCAGAAAAGAAGCCCCAATCAACTCCCATACAATCCAATATGCGAAATGTGGATATATATGGCCCAAACGATAACAAGCTGTGACTACCTTTCTTCTAAAACCATAAAAATAAGGATCTTTACACGGGAAGCGCAACGTAATTTGAGTTGCTCTATTAAGTAAAATCAATCTTAAAGTTCTAGTGTGCCACCAGGACCAACAAACGTTTTACTGGCAGTCGTTTAAGTTTTTCTGTGACTAATATTGAGACGGATAATTCAAACACGTGGCGAAAAATTCGGACATAAAAATGATCAGTTATGAGTATATTTTCACTAGAAATGCTCACCTATCACCTAAGATTCGGTTGCTAAAACGATTTTAAAATGCCTTAACACTTACACCATTCCGGTAATGGCGTTGCCGCAAAATTACCGTATTACGTATGCCGACTTAGGCGTCTACATAGTGAATAAATCCCCAAAATCGTTCACCTTCAGCCGATTGTGGATTACTAAGTCGCCCGAACAACCAGTCAAGACGTTGAGCAGCAGCGAATTGAGCACAGTTGTAGTGATTTCCTTTGATCATTGCTGCCACCAGTAGATACAAATAGGTGGCGATCTCCTCCCACATCATCTAAAACAGTAACAGCAATGCTTTGAGTAAATCCCATGACAGACGCTCCATTAATCTCGGCATTGATCGAACAATTCTTCATATTTTTGTTGAGCAAACATGAGGTGTTACTTTGACCTTTCCAGGCTCTGAGGAAGGCGAAATCCGCCGAATCGTCAGCCTGCTCATGAATAAAGAAATAAAACAGCACCTCGTGTTTGCTCAACAAGAATATAAAGGATTGTGCAATGTTATGAATTATTTCAGATCATGGAAAATCACAAAATGCAGGAAGAACTCTACAAAACGGGTTAGCGTTCGTTTTCGCAAATTGAGAAAAATGCTGACATGTGTATCTTCGCCGATGATACCGGCAAAGTCCGGCAGCGCTTCCATTTGGGAGAATTTATCGATCGTGTCCAAGATCATGTTCAGTACACCTTCTTCTTGGAATAGGTCCTGTCTAGAACGCAGTGCTCGGAATCTATTCTGTTTCTCCTCGAAATCTGAAAAATATGAACGACTTCACCAAGTAATCGATACCTACATGCTATATGGAGCTCTATCCAAACTTTTATTGCGGAATACCTAGCAAGAAATAAAACTTAAGCTCCTATTTGACTCTTTCAAATTATGAAAAACTTAGGATTTCAAAAAAGAAGTGTTGAAAGTAGACTGAACAAAAATGTTCCTAAGACACGATAACATATGCTATCAAAGGTCTGCGACGCCAAGAAAAGACACTGTGGGAATGACAACAGAAGATTTGCTCCCATTTCCAAAAATCACAAAATGTTATTACTACTACGAACATCACGGGCAGCAAATCCGCTCCTGAAGCCATCATATTCAAATTTTAGCGCTAAATTCTAATAAATTTAACCGTAATAGCTTCAAGGTCCTAAATGTTAAAAAATTCGCCATATTCTTAACATACTGAAATAAATTAAAATATACACGTATGGCGACCGTACAGAGCATAAGAAGTCTCCCTAAAATTATAAGAGTTCAACTCCTTAAATAAGCAGAAAGAAATATTTCTCAATCATCTCACAAACCTTGGTCATCGGCAGGTTGTGAGAAATATTCGATAAGATCCTCCATCAACTTCAACACTTCGTTCAAATCAACTCGTCCCCAATCAGTAGACTGACTACCTTCATTTTGTAAGGCCTCGATGCCTCTGAAATTAATAGGCATCTCAAGTATGTTCACGTGACCAGCTGAGAAAGGAAAAATTTATATACCTTCTCTAAAAAATCTTTTCCAACGGTTCACCGCCTCATCGCGGCTAGGAGGTATTCCTGTTCAGCTAACAGTAAACCACTACCAGAAACCAATACTCTCCTGGTATAAAACTAGTAGCGTGGTGGTATATCTCCCTCTAATCCACAAGGGCGGCGACTGCACGGGGTGGTGACGAGCTGAGGAAAGCTTGTGCCAGGCTGACTTCGGGACTCCAGGGAACCACAATGGCTAAACCAGCAAAATTCCTGCGCTCGTACACTAGGCGCTCCCTTTTATGACATCGGGTGAAGACACAGCCAGTGAGAAACTATCAAATCTAGGACTGCGCAAGACGGCATTGAAACTGATAAAACGAGCACGCCGCCCACGACACGGAAGGAGAGTGCTTTTTGCTGTGCTCTTATAGAGCCAGAACAATCTTTTAGGACGCCGAGCTTTCCGCTCTCTTTGAAGCTGCTGATCACATCAAATTCCATGTGATCGCCCTATAAGGGGCGAAAAGCAGAAAGACCGACGTACGGCAATTAGATGGCGGAATCCCTGTCACTCGTTGAGGGAAATTTTCGTCACTAAGTGTAGGAGGCGTTGGCTTTGCCGTACACCCAACTATTCCCATCTAATCACCTCATAAGAAATCCTATCACTGCGCTTGGCCATTTTTAGTTCTCAACTTGCGTGTTAAAAAAAAAACAGAGTCATCAACTGCTATTCACCAACTTGTACAGATGACGAGAGCAAACTGGACGCGTTTTACAACCAGTTGGAAGAGCTAATCTTCAGCGAGATGTCATAAATTCGCCATTGAAGACATCATCACCAAATTAGGAACGGCCAACGAAAATGAGTACAGACAGTAAAAGGAAGTTCAGAATAAGAGAACGAAATGACGATGGAAACCGTCTTATATGACTCCTGACCGCAGCAGGTCTCTTCCTTGGAGCCAATTCTTCAAGAAAAAGAAAAAACGCCGGTGGACATAGGAGTCTCCCAACGCCACGACTCCTGAGGAGATCGATCATGTTTTCACAAACAGAAAATGGTGCCCTTTTCACTCGTCAGTGCTACTCGGATTCTGTACTCAGTCTGATGATTACCGCCTTCTCCATGCAAAGATTCGATTCAGCCATATGCTGGAAAAGAACTCTTGTCACCGCCCAAGAAAAACAAAAAAAAAATGAGTAAGAGGATATTCTCAACAAAACTCTCTCCTCATATGGCTAGTAGATAAACGAATACCCGACCGAGAACTACACGCTGATGGTCGAAGAACTTAAAACTTGTACCGAACACGTCTTATTTCTTCAAATAAGGAGTTCAGACCGCACCTCCATTACTACTAAGGAGCTCCTCGAAAAGAGAAGAACACTGAAGCTTGATCCTACTGCAACACAGTTAACACGGCCGGTAATAAATGCCCGCTACAGAAGATCTTTGCTGGAGGATTCTTTGCCGGTATAAGCAGAAAAAGTTATTAGAAGCAGGTCAAAAACGAGCAAGTCTGAATAAGTGCCGTCGGGATTTTTGTGACTGCAGTATTCCACTATCTGCCCTGATGAACGAAGATAGGACTATCGCACCATGATATTGGAATTGATAACCGAAAGGTTCTATGCCAGTCTTTCCCTCTCCACAATCCCAATCTTGGAGTACGAAATCCCTGCTAGTGAAAAACCGCCCGAGATTCCAGCATCCGAAGTGCGAGTTGCGATAGAAAGCATGAAAAAGGCACAGCTCCAAGATCCGATGTCATTACCGATTTCCTTAAAGCTAGTGGCCGCAAATTACGTGTACTTTTAGAAATTCGCATTACAACTTACCTTTAAAAATATTCCAGCACAGTGGAGGACCCTAGCGAGCGGTAATCCTACCTACAAAGGGTGACCAAAGGGATCTGCGGAACTATCGTTGTCCGAAATGTTTGTTGAGCACCCTCTTCAAACTTCACTAAAACTATCCTGTCGCGTCAATCGAAGATCTTGGATGAGATACAACTAGTTGAACAAGTAGGAATCCGACAAGGACTCTGCTGCACGCACCATATCCAAACCGTATCACGGCTCATAGAAGTCTGGTAAGAGTATCATCTGTCCTTTGTCCTCACCTATATCAACTACGAGAAAGCATTTGAGAGCACGAACACGAATGGAAGCATATCAACGCTTGTCGGCCGAGGGAGTAGACCCGTTCTACACACGAACTCTACCAGACTGTTATCGGAATTGCAACACAAATATACAGCTTTTTCATCAACTCCTCAGCATATTTGAAGAAAAAAGAGTTTGACAAGGCGACACAGTATCGTCGAAGCTGTGCACGGCCTACTGCAGTGCACAATGGAACCACTCGATTGTGAACAGAAGATCATTGCTTCGATGGAAAATTCCTATCAAATCCTCGCTTTGTCAATGATATCGTCGTAATTTCGAGGAGCACCAGTGAAGCAGAGACAATGCTCAGTGAACTCAACGAAATGGGAAAAAAGGTTGGACTGTTCATAAATACAATGAAAAGCCAGTTTGTTAAGAACCTATGGTGCGAATGTAAAAAAACCGAAACGAATGGATTTCTGATTAAAGACACCATACCGGACTTCTACCTTGAACGTTGAATGAAAGTGGAGAACAACATGAAGGAAGAATTGCACACAACAAGGAGAGAGATTTGGGCTGCATTCGGGCCTTTCAAAGAAGCCACCGACCAACTGATGAATACAAAACTCCACGCACACCTTTTCGATTCAACCATCCTCCCAGTACCGTGTTACGTAGCACAGACGTGAGCTGATACTTCAGCTACATCAAGAAATCTACGCACTTCTCACAGAACACTTGAACGGTGTCTTTAGAAATTAAACCGGCACTCACAACGTCTAGTCGTAATGCGCAGGTCAGATCCTCGAAACCAACCCCATCTTCGGGATCCAGGAGCATATACGTCAGTAGCGAAACAGATAGGCTGGTCCCACAATAAGAAGAAAAGATGACAGATAGACGAAAATAACAAGGGAGTGGATTCCAATGGAAGCGCCCTTTTGGAAGAACACCCAAACGATGGACGGACGTGCTTGTGGCTAACGTCAACCACCCGTTTCCAATCGTAGATGGCAATGATTTCAAGACTGCGATATGGGTCTCAAAGACTTCACCCTGTTCGAAGCAGATCACCACCACTGACGCGGATTTTGCGCCAGAGAAAAACGGATGGAAATTTTACTGGGGCCCGCAAAACTAGTGAAGACTGGTCATTCAAGTATTCGGGTATCCAAGTAAGTGAAAAAATTCAAAAATTGCAATAAAAAACTCACTTAAGAAAACGATTTAATACGCTTGAACATTTCCGAATAACCCGAGCCGATTTCGATTCTTCTTCAAGAGCCATGAAAAATGTATAACAGTCGTCCATATGCCCATCTTTCAACGCCACTGCTTTTTTTTCTTCTACCTGAACAATTGCTTTCTTTAGTGAATAATTTACACGCAGACCAATTCCGAAGTTTTTTCCCAATTATAATTCCAATTCTGCTCTCAACGGTTTACCACCTGATCGTGGCTGGGAGGTGTTCCTGGGTGTCGGGCTGCGATGTACAGCAGAGGATTCATCCTCCTGGGAGGGTTTTCCAAGCTGAGAAGGGGTCCGGCGTTTCCATCAGGAAGCCTAGCTAACAGCAAACCAAGACCAGGATCCAGCACTGCCCTGCTACCAAAGTTGCATGGTGGCAAATCTCCTTCTGATCCACAAAGGCTGCGACTGCCTGTGGTGGTGAAGACCTGGGCAGACTTTGGCCAGGCTGACCTCGGGATCCCAGGAAACCACGTGGAGATTATGCTGAGGCCCGCACAACTAGTGAGGACGGGCCATTCAAGTTTCAAATAAGTAAGTAATTCTAATTCTATCATCTATTTATATGACTTAATGGAATTTTCATGTTTTATTGCACGTCGAAGTGTTCATTCGACATTTCTCGCCCGTTTATTGAAAAACTGTATTAAAGAAACCAAAGTGTTTGGTGGAAATTGATGGTGGTAAGCCATTGAAGATTGATTGGTAAGCTGTTTGGTGGTAAGCGATTGAAGATTTCTTAAATTTTCAAGAAACACTTGGAAAGTAGAGGAGAACATATTCCTTTCCTCAGAATAGAAAAGTGAAGTGATGTAGAGCATTATTTAAAAACGCGCATTCTCTACAATTTCTTAAGAACTTCGTACTGTTAACGTTAGAAAATTTCGATTTTTCGAAGAAACCCACCTTTCCTAGGCCCTTTTTTGTCACTTCAGAGGTCTGGTAAGACATCCAGAGTTGTGTTTTGACATGCTGAATAAAGGCATTCGTCTCTCCATACTGTATTGTTGCGGTTCCCATACCTTCATCCTCTTTTTCGTCCAAAATTTGTTTTCTAGGATCCTAAATGAGCATGTGTCAATTTTCCTAAATCTGTACTTATTGTGAAAAAAGAGAGAAGGAAATATCAGAAGTTCGAAATTCCTATTAAAACTCGGATATTCGAAGTCGAATAAAATAAGATAAATAGTTTCTATGTTATCTCAGTGAAGTCATTATTCGACCATGTCGTTTATTTTATTAATCGAATGTCGAATATTCCATCATAATCGAGGTCGAATGCCGTCGCGTAGTGATCGAATAGAATCGAATAGTGAGTTATGGATAACCTTTTAAAAACATAAGGCTAATGAAAAAATAAATACTAAGGCAAGATCAATCGATCACTTCCAATTTTAACGATCACAAAGCTTAAGCCAATTTTTTCGTAGTCGAAAATCGTATCAAATAAGATTGCGACCTTTCTACGAGAGTTCCTTCGGATTCCGATTCATTTAATTAAATAAAAATATTAAGTCCCAGGAGCGAATTTCTATTAAACTAGGCAGTGGATTATAAATGCCTCGTTTTCTTTCTCAGCAAACACGAAGTTGTCAAGCAGCGTACGTTTACTTCCATACAATAACACACAAACAACACAACCGTAGCTGACGTTTCGACAGTATCGCCTTCTTCAGAGCCTGAAAGGGTACAGTAATACGCAACTAACTGGGTCAAACGCTTCGACAGCACAAACAGAAAGATGAAAATCTGAACGATAACTACAAGATCTACGGCTTCTCCAAAAACCCACCTTTTTCTATCTGCCTTCTATCGAGGAAGAACAGCAGCTCAGAGTCGCATATGGTTGACAACTGTACCACCCCACATCAACGATCGATCTCTTGGCATTCCTTCTTGCTACTCATTCCAGGATCTATGGCACTTATCCAAAAAACCTCAAGTTTTCGCGCTGGTGTTTTGGACTCCCGTGCAAGGATAGTGACTTTTACTTCAAAATCGTCTCCGCTATGCTTTTGTATCCTACGCGTCCTTAGTGGCGTGCCTTGTATTGCTTTCCGTTTGCCATCTAGGTGTTCTTTTATGCGGATACATAAAGGTCTGCCCATTTCGCCAATATATTCATCTCCGCAATTATTACAAGAGATCAGGCATATCGTACCTGAACTCATGCAGTCACCGTCCCTGCCAAAAGGACAGATTACGCAATTTTGTGCTTCACATAGATGGTCATATAGGCGGTTACGAACTAACTGACGACGAAAGAATCGGGTGGTTTTTAAACTATCGCTACCGATTCCTCTAGATATGCCCTTTTTAAGCAACGTTTTATCGCTACATCTATTTTATCGCTAATGAAAGGCAAGATAAACGGGATTTTGTTCCAACCAAACCCTTCGTTTTGGGGCATTGCCGTCCTTTTAAACTTATCTCGTGGGGTTACTATTTCGTACCTATTGAACATGGCTATTTGCCAAGCCAAGTCGCGCGATTCTTCCTTTAGTTCCCTACTTGTGCACACAGAGGTGGCTCTTCGAAACATGTTTCTCACAAGCGCCCTCTTTGTGTGTGAAGGGTGGGAAGAAAGGAAATGAGCCAGGATGTTTTTGCTGCTTTGTTTTCGGTACCAGTCTGTCAAGTAACTGCTACTTGATAGGTTTATTTGAACGTTTAGAAACAGACGCCAGTTTTCTTTCGGTTTCTGCCGGGTGAACTTAATGTACTCAGACTGCTCGTTCAATAGTTCAAAGCATTTGTCCATCTCCTCCTGCACAGAGAATGGGGGTCAACAATCATCTACATATCTGCAGTAGAGCAGTGGCCGGAGACGGAGAACAGCGGCTTCTATCTTGGGCACAAACACAATGATAAGGCTTGGTGCCAGTCGTGTCCCATTTCCCAGACCATCTGAAAGTCGAGCAGCAATCGAGAACAAAATCCTACAATGAATATCAGAGAGGAATGCCCCGAGATCACACGTGATCTCGCCCCGTACCTCCGTAACGATCGTTGATGTGGAGTGGTGCAGTCGTCAACCATATACGACTCTGAGTAGCTGTTCTTCCTCGATGGAAGACAGGTGAAAAAGCGGTAGGTTTTCCGAGAAACCGTAGATCTTGTAATTATCGTTCAGATTTTCATCTTTCTGTTTGTGCTGTTGAAGCGTTTGACCTAGTAAGTTGCGCATTAGTGTACCCTTCCAGGCTCTGAAGAAGGCGATTCTGCCGAAACGTCAGCTATTGTTGTGTTGTATGTGTGTTACTGTATGAAATTGAACATACGCTGCTTAACAACCTCGCGATTGCTGAGAAAGAAAACGACGAAAATATTAGTGCGCCAAAATTACGAGAAAATATTAAAATATGGAAAAGTCCGAACAAAAAAATTCAGAGAGTAAAACGTCGTACTTGACGAATGAGAAATAAAATCCGTCATCTACTACTGTCACCTGTCTATTCGACTAATATTATTAACCAGATTTTTACCTGAACATTTATTTTACTAACCATAACCGACTATTCAACAAGAAATGAATGGTTTTTGAACTAAGGAGAAATGAAAGAGAAAAAACTTAAAAAGTAAACCAGTCACTTCTTTTTCGAAATTCATCTGCAAAATATTAAGAGATTTTTTACTTACCTTATTCTGACACATCACAAAAGCAGTGAGATCAAAATCCGCTTTGTCTTTATGGTAAAGCTGAACGGCATTGTCAAGCACACCCAGATATCTAAATAAAAATCCATTAGAAATTACATTAAAAATTTCTGACACTGATTTATTACTAAGCTTTAGATGATGACAATGATAGCAATTAGTAAGGCCCATAAACTTAGGAACCAAAACGAAAGAAATCCCCAGTTCCAAATCGACCATGTCCAGTCATAATTTCACATCCCACATACAGGAATAGGCTAATCGAATCCTAGTGTTATTCTACACTGTTCACTTCCAACATTTCAGGTATCGATCGACATACGATCGATCACTGGCTACTAGTCGTGCTAAATGGTGTGTCGTATTATTAATTCTCACGAAGGAGTTTAAGACTGATCGAGATTGATCATTAGTGTTTCCTAGGAGTAGCATATGAAGTCTACCATCCAATTAGCTAGACACATTTGGAGTGAAAATTGACTTAGGCGCCGACTTTGATGTAGAAGCTCAGTAATTTTCACCAGAAAGATACGCCTCATTCATTACTTCTCTTAAATGGTAAGAATAAAGGATAGTGCTCTCGGCGTTGACCACTCCCTGAGGGATGCACCATGCATTCGACTTCATTATTCATCGTTTGGAGGTGATTTAATGCATATCTGGCCTATACATTAACTCATGGTGGACTACCGATGTATCGAGTCAAAGCTGCTATCCTCCCAGAAAGGTCTGGCACCAATTTGCCGACCCCGGAGAGACGGAAGGCTTGGTAAGCCCGGGCGTAGGATCAATCGCACGTGTTCTGCAGCGTGTCTCCGACCATTGCGCCACATGCGTCCCCATTACTTCTCTTATTCGTCGTAATCAACGTTAAAATCTTATTATCTTATTATTTACAATCTCCAAACCCTACAAAACTACAATTCAACTCTTAGCCCATTTATTCTATTACCTAATTCCTGGCTTCACGCTAGAAATGAACTAGTATCACTTCATGCCGTTCCAGTTGCCTCGTTTATGAGGGCAAATCCAGTCGCGTTAGAATTAAAGATATAAATTCAGAAAGAGTTAGAACCAATGATGCTTTAACGCTCAAGTCCTAATTGGAAGACTGTGGGTAGAATACGCAGTATCTCGCTTTCATCGTTTCACCTCATTGTTAGACTCATTGGATTAGTTTATGGTCTTTGGGAGTTCTTAGGCATTCAGATGAGGCTACCTATAACATTTTTAAACCCTCACTCACCGCCCACTTGTAATGTGCTTAATTCTGAACAACTGCTCCCATCCGATTAGCGCACCATGCCATTTCATTCGAATCAACTCCATTCGCCACAGCGATCGAGCCTGTGTGACTGCTTGACCGCCTTCGTAGATCACCATACTAAATTTGTAAAATAGTAGTGATATTTATAATGTTAACTCTTTGTTCATTTCCTATTACAATTTTTCACAGAAAACTATTATGCGTGATAAAACCACAATGATGCTGAGATATTTTCAAAACTCCGGACCGCCGCTGTCTGCGGTGGGGAACGGACGCGCCATTATGCTTTCCGGGGGCTAACGCCTTCACCACCACACCATGCGGGTCCTTCGTTTCAGCTATCTCTAAGCAATGATGTTGATGTAACATATACATTAATATATGTATTCTACATAGACTGGTTATGCACTATCTTATTGTTATATTATACACTACTACATAATAATATATACACGACATACATATTATGTATTACTTTTATATATCACATATAATATATTCTACATACATTATACACTATTATATACCATTATTTAATACATACATAGTAGATAATAAAGTATGAATCTCTCCGCGTTTATCAGTCCCTAGGGGATGCGCCATGCATTCGACTTCATTAAGCTCCGTTGGAGGTGATTGAATGCAAATCTGGCCTTTAAAATGATTCGCAGTGGCCTAACGATGTCTCGACCCAGTGCTGTTATCCTCTCAGCTAAGTGTGGTGCCGACTTACCAACCGCGAAAGGATAGAGGGCCCGGGTCGTGGGATCGATCCCATGTGTATTGCAGGGCGCCTCTAACCATTCCACTATGCGAACCCCTTACGTTGTTCTCCTATTGATCGAATACATCCTTTTATCAGTTACTGATTGGACTAATCATAAGAGTACAGCCGCGTAGAGTGTGTCGAATAATGTTGTTTAACAAATGTCCTCCATATCTAGAACTAATCCTCATGAAATTGCGGGGTCAGTGATTTGTACCTTAGCTCCAGTTTAACTGGTTTCACGCCGAATTGTACTCCCCAGATCAATCCTGTTGATCGATGATTGCTGATAGCTCCTATAAGCCAATAACACGGCTGAGAGCCAGGCGAAACGAAGGACCCACATAGTGTGGTGGTGAACACATTAGTCCCGGAAGGGTCAAAGCGTATTCGGTCTCCACCACAGTCACTAGAGGTCCGGAGGTTTGCAAATATCTCACCAACATTGTGGTTATACTTCACGTAATACTCTGCCATTAAAAATAGTAGGCAGTAAATAAAAACCGACAACATAAGCAAACAGTTGAAAATCCCCTATAAGTCCAAAAAATCGGAAAACTAAAAAAACCCTCAGACGTTTCTTGAACTTCGCCACGACGAATTTCCTCATTCATTTAAAATCTCAGGTCTCCTTGCAATCCTTAAACGTTCAAACCCTTTCGCAAAATTGTAAGACTTCGGTAATTTTCCACCGCTAATTTCTTACAAAAAAAAAACATGGAAGTGTTAAGGAATGAAAAATGAAAGCTCAGTGTTGAACTGCAAGCCATGGCTATAAGGAACAAAGCTGCTATAGCTTATAGTTACTATTTTTATTGATGTTGGCAAGTTGGAATTAAAATCGACTTAGCTTTAATTGGACTTCAGTTAAACTGGACTTAGATTAGACCTTTACTACAAATCCTAACTTTTTAGAATCTAAACGGTGTTGGTAGGGAAGGGATCAAAGCATGATAGGCTCCGATCATACATTTGAATGTTGAAGCTGAAAACTTCTACATTGGCAAGTATAATAGGTCCTAGAAACACGTATCAAGCTAAATATCTAAGTTACAACAAGAAGGATATGAAAAATTAGTTTACTTGTGCTGTGGATGTTCGCTCCAATTTTCCGGAATCGTTAAGCATTCGTCATTACCATGAAACAGCCGCATCACATCGTTACCAAATACGTAACCTTAACAATTTTTCTGTTAGTAAGACTTCTTTTAGGTGATCATCGTCTTCTTAAGAAGCTTCGTTTTCAGTAGACTAGTTAGAATAACGTTTTGGACCTTTGGAGATAACTCCATTATTTTGTGGCCAAATGAACAACACTATTCTTAGAAGTTTTTTTTCTAACGTCGAAAAATCCTTCTTTCTCAAAAATTCGCAGAACTACTGTAATTGTTCGCTCCAGAAACATTAGATGAAAGGTCCTCTCACAGGAAATATGACGATTCCCATGTATATCGAGCGAATAGAACACATATTAGAGCAGCTATGACACGGATCGATAGTCAAGAACTGACGGTCTACTGATAAGTTAATGTTTTCTTTTCAAGCAGACACGAGGTAAATCCTAAGGTTGACTTTTCCTTCTTAAACAAATACAAGGTTGTTACTACAGCATTTATTAATACACAATAGCCGACATATAGACATACATGTTTTTCGCTCTTCGTGTTGCATAAGGAACTCGCGGACGGTTTCTATTGCGGAGTCAATCAACACGTAAATGCAAACGGTGGTATTGTCATAAGACTCCATCATATTTACGCCGCTAGGACGGTCTTACATGAGTTTGAGCGCGTTGTACCTAATCAAAACGTGTAGGAACAAATTCGTTGGCGAAACGGGCAAACCACTCCGCTCCCGTGTAAAGGAACATCTAGTCGATTACTTTAAAGTGAAACCAAATACTTCACTAGGTGCATATGTAACGCAGAGAAACAACAGGAAAGGTTTTGAAGAACAAGTCCTTATCTAACAAGTATCTTATCTACGAATCCAAAAGATCAGCGCATAAAACTCTTGAAACGATTTGGATAAATTCAAAAAAATCCAAAAATGAACCGCAGGGAAGATTGCCACGGTGACCATGTGTGCGTGACCTCGTGCCACAGTGCGATTTTGTGACCCGAAGCTTGCATATTCTTCGCACATAGAGAGCTCTACGTGGCTCCTCTACACCAAATAACTGGAAGACTTACAAAGAACAATGTGGTGAGTAGTTAGAAGAATCCATTTGCTATGCAAATGACAATTTATATAGCAAGTTTTATTTGCTGAGGTTATGAAAGTGTTTAACTGAGCAGACTGCATTTCGCTTTGACCTCTCCAGAACTCAAAGAAGAATAAACCGCCAAAATTCCAGCTACTGTGGATAAATGATGTAGCGACAACCTCGTGTCTGCTCATAAAGAAAACAGTGAACCATTTATTGATCGATTCTGAGGTTAAGAGAAAGTCAGTCCTGATAATTACTACACGCTCTCTGGATAACCGTTCATATTAAGATAAACATGTTTTATTACAAATCTCTAACACCACCTATAACACAAAAAAATCACGAATTAGTGACCTAAGGTCATTACGAAACTTTTAGTGAATGAGTTAATCCATGAAACCGAAGTGGGTTTTACCCTTCACGCATTCTCATTCCTGTACGAAACTTATATGTACTTTTTGCGTTTTTATTTTTCATTTTTTCCAGTCCTTTCTTAACATATTTTTATTTACCTTCCCGAATTTTGGGAACTATTTCACACTGAATATACCTTGACACTACGATTATTGATTGAAAGACAGAAAAGTCGGGAGATTTTAATGTAAAAAGAAACAATTCTTTCAGATGTGGAAAAAATTTACCCCGGATTTTGTAAACGACTTTGTTGACGCTCTGAATGGAGTTTTTTCTTCAGTACAGAAAAGAGTAGCTGAAACGAACCCATATTTCTAGTACGTACACTTCCCGAACTGACACTTTGAATATTCCAAAGTGTTTGATGGAAAGAGGCGATCACCATATATCCTTTACTGTGTGCCATGTGCTAAAAAATCACGATCAGAATTCCCTCAAAATTGTGACAGTTGTCCTAGCGACGACTGGGCAAATCTTCAAAAATGTGAAGCAGTGTTTGATTTCTCACAGAAGACAGAATATTCTTCTTTCTTTAAAAGTTCTTTGAGAACTATTTAAATGATTTAAAATCATAAAACAACGTAGCAAAAACGGGAAAGCTTTTCACTTTTCGTGCAGTAAGGCATTTCTTCCCACAATTCCTTCCTAACAAACGAAAAACCTGTGGAGAGAAAAAAACCGAAGAAAAGTTCCTAGCACTCACCAAGTAACGTTCAGTAGCAACGCTAACCAGTATCACATCATCACCCACTCGAACTTTCTCGCCTTCAGAGCGTTGCTTTGAAGCCGGATGAATCGTCCACCAACAAGCTTCACCTACAAGAACACTAACATCATAGCTTCATATTTTATTAAACAGAAAATCCTCTGTAAAAGGAATCATTTAAAGCATTTGTCTTCCTGAAAGTTTAAGAAGACATGGTAACCAGAAAACGACGAGACATTTACATCGTACTTATTTGTATAATACCGTAATATCGTAATTACTTATCCGTGCAGGACCAGCTGACTCAAAGGTGGACTATTTTGCAAGAGTTCTGAAACGTTCTATTTTTCTTCTTTTCTACTTCTGAACACCACTAACCTGTGTTCGTTTCCTGTACACCGACATCGAATGCTAATTTGTCATTGGATGAGCAGGATGAAAGACACGCAAGGTACTAAAAAAAAATTCAAAATAAGAGTATTTTGCACAATAATAAAGACAATAGTAATAACTTCACAAATTTGACACCGTGGAAAAAAGTACTGATACCTATTCTACTAATCCTATTATGATTAAAGTCATCTACCTCCTTACTAAGAATAGAACATATTTACGTTCCTGCTGAAAAAACAGAAAAATAACTCAATTCGGGAAGTAAGTAAATTTCAGTCCGATTTCTGCACTCAAAGAGTTATTTACATTTATGGAACCTGTGAAAGAATAATGCTGAGAATCTTATTTTGCACCTTAATTGGGAAGAAGGCAAACTTCGACCAATTTTTTTTAAGGGGAGCCCAAAAATTAGCCTTATAGATAGCTTATGTACAAAAGAAAAACAATAGGTCGTAAACAATGGTTGGTTTTAGAACTCTCATGATGAAAATGACAGCTCTGAACGATGAACATGTTCACTGCGGAGTATACGATCATGATTCAAGAGCTTCCCAGAAAAAATCCACAGTAGATAAAACGAAAATTTTGAAACGCCCCAGCAGAATTTAAAAGTTTAAAGGGAACATGAATGTGTCATTTTCTTGTTCAGCAATCGCGAGGTTTTTAAACAACATACATTTACTTCCATAGAGAAACACAATACAATACAACGCTAGCTGACGTTTCGGCGGTATCGCCTTCTTCAGAGCCGCTTTTTCGTGACTTCCAATGAGGAAGTTTAGAACAGCTGATTATAGTCGCATGTGGTTGACGTCTGCACCATCCCACATCAAAAATCGATGCGAACATACGGGATCACAGCGAGTCCAAAACACCAGCGTGAAAACTCTTTGAGGCTTTTTGGATAAATGCCAGAAACCTACAATGAATAGCAGGGATGAATGCCCGGAGGTCATACGCGACCTGATCCCGTACGTTCGCAACGATTTTTGATGTGGGATGGCGCAGTCGTCAACCACATGCGACTATAATCAGCTGTTCTAAACTTCCTCATTGGAAGTCACGAAAAAAACGGTGGGTTTTTTCGAGAAGTTGTTGATCATGTAATTACCAAAGTTCATTTTTATAAGTGTTATTGAAGCGTTTGGCCTAGTAGATTGTATTTCAGTATGCCCTTCCAGGCTCTGAAGAAGGCGATACTGCCGGAACGTCAGCCAGTGTTGTATTGTATTGTGTTTTTCTATGGAAGTAAATGTATGCTGTTTAAAAACCTCGCGATTGCTGAACAAGAAAACGACACATTCATATTCCAATGCCGAGGTTAATAGAAAGTCGATCCTGGGAACTTAAAGGGAACCTTTGAAAAATTGCCAGCTTATGTGAAATCTGTCCCATGGTATTTGGTCATCATACGTTAAACCCACAGCTCAGAAACTACCGTAGTCGATAATAATTTAAAGGCGAACAAGTCCATAGAGAGAAAAACCAATAGAATTTTTCTATGTTCCCTTTCTTATTTATCTTACCTCTGCATCTAAAGTTATAGTTTTACTTAGAATACAACGTTCGCTTTTGAAAAAGCAGCAAAAACATTTTTGACTACTTTTTTCAGACCAAACGATCGAAAGGTTTCATAAATGAGATGTTTAAGCTCGTGACCATTCATGTTGAGAAATGTATCAATAAAAGTTGTCCTTACTACGATCAATAAAGTTAATTTTAGAACATTTTTAGAGCTTTTGGAGATGTTACATACTTATTAGCCATTTCGAGGTAAACAATGATGTCCACTGTACCAATAAATCTCGGAGATTAGGATGTTTATTACTGTTTTGAGATAAGTTGCTATTAATTAGAAGCTCTGAAGATATGTGCAGTACACTGGTTAGAGATGCCTTGCAATGCACATTGGATCGATGGCTAGTTCAACACGGCGTCGAGGCTCATCACGCCTTCCATCCGCGGTCGGCATATTGGCACCATTCTTGTGTGGGACGATAAAACCACAGATTTGATACATCAGTAGTTGACTGCAAGTCATTTTCTGGAAAACTGCATAGGCCAAGTGTACAGTCAATCCTTTCTGCGATACTGAGATGAGTTCAGTGCATGGCGCATCCCCTGAGATTGATCAACCCCGAACGCCTTCTTGCTTGCCCTTTATTGATGCCGTAACAGCTACTAGGAACGAGCAGATGATCACGGCGGCAACGGAAATTGTGGAACAGTTCCGGTATGTCGCAGATAAAAAGACCAAATGTCGAATCTATAAGTGGCTAGCTTGCACTTTTATGTTGCCACCTTGTCCCTCGAGTATTGTTTGATTAGCAATCTTGAAAAATTCAGACGAAAACTTCTTCAAGAGCGGTTGAAGATGCTACAAACGTAATATAATAGAATCTCCCACCATTTCACTCTGCACGTGTTTTAGCTGAACGGCATGACCGTAAAGTAACGTTTTATGACCGCCAGCACCAGAAGTGGACTTCTGAAAGGATCTTTGTATGTCTGTGCTCACTTTCAAGAAGAGAATTCTAAAGAGGATATAGTTTTTCTACTTAGCAGATAACAGTATGTATTCTGCAAAAAAAGAAACCCGTAAGAAACTGTTAAACGAAGAAGCAAAAGGCTCAGCACATGTTCTGAATCGGCCGACATCATCTCCTGTAAAGCTCTCATCGATAGTGCATTGTCGATGTAAAGCATACACATTGCTATATCTGGTGGAGTATCCTAAAATGACGAATTTTTCGTTTAGAACTACGTTAACAAAATAAGGACACGAGACTGAAGAAAAATCAGTGAAAAACATAACAAGATAGAGTGGTGAATTTTTCGATAAAATAATAGAATTAGTGATAATGTTGCATCTTTTAGTTCCTATGTATTCTTTCTCTTTTCATGGCGGGGTACCATGAGAAATGGAATGACACGAGTGCCAAGATGTGAGCAAACCTTGGCTCCTCAGTTGCTCTTCGAACCTGCGATTACCGTTTCGGGGGGCTCACGTGTTACTCACTGTACCATCCAAGGCCTTGCTTTGGCTTTCTCTCAGTCAGTTTTTTACCCTAATAATGCTCTCAGCAATTATTTGCCAAGGGAATAATCCGGGGACCACAAATTGGCACTGAACCTAGTTAAGCTGAAGCTGCAGTCGAAACCACAATGTCTTAACTTCTATTTACTGCCTGATTTTTTCTTCATGGCAGGGTACGATGTGAAATACAACCGCTAGGACGTAGTATTCTTTATTATAGAACCGCTAGGACGTACTTTTGCAGATAAGATGACACGAACACATCCTTACTTTTTCGAATTACTGATTCAAACGACAATGAATCTTTAAGGATGGGATAGGGAAAAGAATTTTCCGGAAAAAATTATTCTATAGTTGAATTCATACAGATTAGTTTCTATGTCCGATTTGAAGTGCGAAAAAAATCTAGATGTATTTCGGTGGCTATAAAGGAGGCTTCCCTTAAGTTAAAGGGGTTCAACTGAAATTAAGAATAGTACCTCAGCAAATCTCTATTCGTTCCTTGAAGCTTAAATTAAAAAGCAGTTCGCACGAAAATCGAACCCTTTTCCTACAATCCAATCAGCACTTTAACTTTCTTTTAAACGCTTTCCAAAGTCAAAGCTCGTTAAGCTTCATTTATGGAGAAAACGACGAGATAAAAGCCGCATATACTTCCATGCAAAGAACTGCTTAAGTAAGGATATAAGAAAATCCGCTATTTGTTGAACAATCAACTTAATTTAAATACGAATGAAAGGATGGTAATAAGAGAAGAAGTTCTGGTTCACCCTGTCGGACACATTTTCCAGTGTACACATTCGATTACCGAATCCTTCGGTACAAAGACAAACTCGTTCGGAACCAAGTACACCATCACGGTTGTGCGAGGCGACACATGACAAACAGACAATGTCACCCTGAAAACGAAGTAAGAATGAAAATGCTTCCACCGGGTAATTTTCTCTCCTCTTCTCCTCCCTTCTTTTCCTACCAAAACCTTCTCCACTATCAATTGTATCGCTATATAACATTAACTTCGAGACTGGATATCGAGACAATTTGTACGCCTTTTTTATGTGACATTTTTTTGTACTCGAAGTAGTCCCATATTTAAAATGATCCGATTCGAAACCTTAAATAGGTAGAGAATCTCATACAATAGGAAAAGGTTAGTAAACCATTTAAAAGTTTTCCCATTATCTAAAGTACTCTTAACTGGTACAGTTTATATGAGTTTAACACAAAGCATTTTCTTTCTTGCTTATTTAGAAATGGAACAAAATGACCGTGAAAAAAGAAACAAACAGAGAAGGAAAAGAAAAAACCAATAAGGTTTGCCTCAGAAATTGCCTTCAAACCTTCAGCTATCACAGCTTCATGAAAAAGGATAGTGTTTTATCGTTTCTATACCACAGTGTTTCTCACAGAGAGCGGGTAGCACAGTCGTGGTGATGCCGATCATCACGAGCAACCGTGCTGGTTCGACTGTGTATCACCTTCACCAAGTGTCTCATTCCTCCGGACTAGAGAAATTGGTATCGCATTTGACTGGGAAAGGTTCACTCTCAGTAATCCAAGTGAGAACGATCAGCGCAGTCATGATGAGAGGAAAAAACCTCAAGCAGCTTACGAAGCCACACGTAAAAAGTTGGAAGACCTTCGTGGATGATGGATGCGAGGAAATGAATCGAATGTCAGAAGTGCTCGGATCACCATAGAAAGTGTGGAAAACAGCTAGTGTAAAAAAAAAGTACTTCCCACTTGATGATAATAGATGCCTTTCTGTTCTTGCTATCTTTGTAAAACAGCACACAAAAGTAGCTCCCCAGACTTTATACTGGGACATGCATATACCTATGGGCGGCATCTTGGACTCTCCTTGTGTTCAAAACATATGGCATCGATTTGCTGATGTCGAGCTGAGACTTCACCGGTATTTTTCCTAATCACACCGAGTCATGTGTAGAATTACATGCAAAGGATATCCACTTATATATATATATATATATATATATATATATATGAGTAATAGTATAATACTTCTATATTTACAGATGATCTCCTACCTTGTTCACGTAGTGATGGTCCTCATGAAGTTCAGCAACGGAATCATAGTCCATTTATCTTCTAACGAGAAGAAAAGTGCGTGTATATGCTGAATGTGTTCTCCTAGTAGAAAACGATCAGCTTGTTAGAGTAGAAGCATCACTATGCTGTCAATGATTAGTAAAAGCCGAAGATATGGTAGAATTTATGAATGTTATCGTACTGATAGGCTATCACCGTTAAACCCTCACGTGGAACCAATGGCATTTAACAGATTGGATATAACCAGCTATCAACAACGCTTAAAATTGAATAGACGCTTTTGTGGAGATAAACTAAATGAACAATTAAACAATTAGGAAGGAAAACGGTGAGAGATTGATATGAAGAAGAAGAGAATGAAGAGGAAAGGAAGCAAATAATGCGTTCCGTATTGCTTTTTTGTGGAGCACTTTTTCCTCCATTTTACAGAAGGCTTGCTTTGTACTAGTATTGAATATTTTGTTATAAGCCGTTGATTTAGTTACAGCTGACCATAGGCTATCCATAATGTTTATATTATTTACATTTTCACCAAAATGTCATTCTTTCGACAGTAGCATAGTTCACTGAAGAGAACGCTGTTGAAAATCAAAGTAATGGAAACGAATAGATTGCAGCAGCGTCAATTTCATACGCAATTCGCTTGAGGGTCGTCTACCGATCAGCAATACATAGATGTGAAGTTTATGTCAAGAGAGGAGTTGACGACAGATGGACACGAAGAACAATAGAATGGGACCCTAAGAGGAAGCAGTCATCCTTTAAGACAACCATCTACAAGACGAGTGGGCGTACTAATGGCCCACTGCGACTACCCGTATTCCCAGCTGGAAACAATTTATGGATGCCGGAATGAAACTCACACACGACGTAGTAGTTATTTGACCCATGAACGGCAATCGCTAGAATGAAAAACGAATGTGAAGTATACTGGGAACAGTACTACTGATGAAGGCGTATCGTTCAATTACTCAAATAAGTACATCCAGCAGTTCGAGAATTATGAAAACAAAACAAAGTTGTGAAGTGGTACGAATCATCTATATCATCTGTCATTTTATTCACCATCGAATGATTCGTGCGAGCAGCAACAAAGTTTCTATTCGTCATGATACAGACTCGTAGAATACCAATGGGTTTCGCTACATGTACAGACAAGGAGAGTATCACATTTTTCGCAGTAGAACCTTTATTTCTGCTGTTTTAATTTGCGAGAGTGTCAATAGGCATCATGCCGAGCTCAGTTGTGTAACCTGGTTATCATCCCAGAGAACTTAATCTTGGATTCTAATCACGTTTATTTGTTGAATTCAAGTCGGCCCTCAACCGAATTCTACGCATACAGAATGACCAAAAATCATGCGTACCACTAAACTCTACGTTTTTGTTTTATCCACTATTTCTGACGCTCTTTACCTCTTAAGATTTACTATTTCTGTAACCTAAAAATAACGCGAACAACAGGATCTACGCAAGCTGGTTCGAAACAGCGTCCTTTCATTATTAAAACAGCTTGCATTAAACTGCTTCCATGGGTATTCCATACAGTTGCTATCAATTTCTGACCATACTGAGTGTGTTCGAGGTGCAGATGGTGTGTTAAAAAAGAGGTCCAATCAGTCTTGGTATTTCGATTCACATTCAGCTAGGCTATCATCGCTTTATTCCAAAAGTTGTGCCCAATTCACCGTTCATCTACCTTCAAGGTTATAGACTCATGGTACTTTTACTTTCAATAACACTCTGCTTTCCTGATGAGTAACACAGCATGTGAACAGTGAACAGCATGGCTTATTGAATGCAATACTGGACGACGTTTCGGCAGTTTAGTGTTCTTCAGAGCATGGAAGAGCCACGTTTGCACGCAATCCACTCAGTCATACACCATTACAACCTCAACAAGCAAAACTTAATACCTAAATGACTACTCGCATAGTGAAGAGCTTCTCTTAAGGGTGCGCACAGGGTCCATTGACATAAGGAGAAGATTTTGAAGTAGAAGTCACAATCCTTGCACGGATATCTGAAACTTTGGCGCGTAAAATTCTTGAAGGGTTCTGGTTAGCCTTCATAAATCCAAGAGTGAACCACAACGAAGGAGTGTCTTTTGATCACGCGTGATCTCGCGCCATATCTCGGGTCGATTTTTTGATCCAAGTCAGGCGCATTTCTCACCCATATAAGACTTTGTCGGCTAGTCTCCTTCCAAATAACGAAAGCACTTATAAACAATGAAAAGATGAGTGTTTAATAGAAGCTGTTCACTATGTGAGTAAATAGTTATGCACTGATTTTTGTCTGCTAAGACGATGATAGTGTTTGACTGAGTGGATTGTTTGTCCATATGACTCTTGCTGGTTCCCAAGAAGGCAAAGTCGCCGAAACGATAACCATTATCATACTGAATAGATTTTGCTGGTAACACGCTAGTGTTTGGGCATCTTGCATTACTGATCAATGCCTAGCTTAGGAGAAAATAGTTCCTGGGCGCTCTTCTTGTCAAATTAGGATTTAGTCGACGTTTTTGTTGATTGTTATTGACGAAACTAAAGGAGCTTTCTTATTTGTATTGATCGTCCTCCAGACCATCACTCATTTGGAAACTATTAACATAATGAAAATTCTTCTTCATTTGGATTGTTTTGGCATCGAAATAACACCAAGTGATCGTTCTAAGAATGGTGAACCCACATCAACTTTAAAAATCACATCCGACTATAAGACACTCTTTCCATTCGGCGCTCACTGAAGATATATTTCAGCAACTCATTTGCATTTTTCAATCGATTCGCCTTAACATCATACGTTAACTGGTGTTCGTTGTGCAAACGGTAGCTTTTGAGTCAAAGTCACTCTTTGACGACTGGCTAAACAGGTAAAGGAACCCTTCCAGAACTACCCACTAAAGCTGACTCTGCTGTTTCTGCTGATACTGCTTTTTATAATTATACGGATTTCTCTGGCGTCAACGCGTAAGAGGGTTCAGATCTCCTCTTCACATAAACATTCAAGCTTCCATGCAATGATTGCGGCAGAGTTAGTTTTACGTAGGTCGAAAAATAGGTTAACGATGAAGATGCGACTCTATTGGTTCTGCACAAGAAGTTAATTAAATGACAGAAAAATGAGAGTTAAAAAGGAATGAAGATCAAGACTCAAGTCAAATGCGAATGCGGAGAGGAAATTTAGAAGCATGCAAATGAGATGCTTATGTTTTTCGACCACAATGCTCATCCCATCTGATTAGATTCATTAGTCATAAACGCAAGCCAAATGGCGAATTTCTTCATTAATATTACCATGTGTACACGAAAAGTGTGTAATAATTCAGTATAGCGTAGAGGAGAAGTACATCTACCGAATCAGACTGCATCAGGCTATCCGATTGCTTTTGAGTCGCGTTTAACTTCCTATGTTAATTTGATGATACACCACCTAGTCTCAGACTAGGTAAAGTTTTCCACATTAGGTAGAGTCGTTGAAAAAGCTTTAAATGATTAGGGTACTTCGATATTCTTAGCGTTAGTTCCAACACAAAGATAATACAGCAAGGATAAAAAAGAGTTACTATTGTCAGAGCAAGAAGAGAAGAAATAATCCACAAAAACTACTGAAGTAAAAAACAATAACTACATTGCGCACTGGGAAAATAAGCAGTAAAAAAGATTTTAAGATGGATAGAATATAGATGAACGACAACGAACAAAGAATAAAACAAAGAAGAAGAAAACAAGAAGAAGGAGAAGAAATGAAGGAAGAGCATTGATATACTCCAGTGGATTCGACTCGATGCCACTAGAAAGACGCACATCGCAACAAAAACACCAGTGGACATCCGACTTGAAGGCTTTGAAGAATGCGATGACACTAAAGTCTTCGTCACAAAAAAAGTTTGCAATAAGCTCATGTGAGCTCAACAGTGGAAGATGAGAAAAACGGCAAA